ATTAATTCTATTAATATGCTTGTATTAAGTATCTCTTGTTGAATATTTTAAAACTTTTTATGGTTTGAGTTTAATTAAATCGATGTGAAAGGGAAAATTCTATAATTGCGAAAGTCTAGGTTCTTCTATTTCTATATCAATGTAAATGCTTTTAATATCTTAAAATTCTAAATTGATCTCTATTTTATAGTTGAATATTTTTCAATCGAAAATCTTTTTGATATAAATTTTTATGATCCTCTATTTTCTTAATTTATATGATAATTTTCAAAAAAATTTATCCTATCGTATTTAAGTGAGTGACTTATAATCATATTTTCGCACAAGGCTTTATGTTAAATTTTTGTGGTTTGATTTCTTCATTAACTTCTAAAGTTGAATTATTGGTTACAAAAATGAACATATATCTCATTTAAAAAGTTATAAAATACTCTATCACTTAAATGGCAAATGGATATTTATATTTAGATATTATTTTGCTCTCATTATATATACACATTGAATTGAGCTAATTTATCTTTATTTTCATACCTTATCAAAAAATAAATTAAATTTATTGGAATTAAAGAAATTTATTTTAGTTGTAATCATTATTTATATTAGAAGAGAATTATTAATCATTTAATTTAATATAATACAATAATATTTAAATTCTCCAATAAACTTATTTTAAAATTAATTATTAGATGTATTCCATTTATTTACCAATTCATTCTCAATACTTTATATCTTGTGGAATGAATACTTTTATTTGAATATATTTTTTTTTGGAGCAAAATAAGGAAAAGAACTTTAAAAAAAAAAGATTAATTTGGGAAGAAGTAAATATTTTTGTGATATTATTTATCCAGTATTAACAAATTTTCTGCTTTCATTAAATTTCCTAAAATTTATATAAGTTTATTGTATTAATTTTTGAATAATTATATTCGATAAACTTGCAATCAGTTTTATAAATGCCAGTCTAAGATAGTTTATACTATTCTTGAAATAAGTCTAGCAATCTTTCTTTAGATGCTCTTTTAAGAAATGTGACTAAAAATTAGATAAATTAAATCTTGTATAAAGTTTTGTTAATCATTCATGTTACTTACAAAATGCTTACCTAAATATTTAATCTGTATTTCATGATCTACATAGAAGATGGAGAAAAAATCATTTCTTTTTCTTTTGAATTTAAAATCAATTTATAGAAGTCTGAGACTTGGAGATATATTGGCAACTTTTAGTGAACTCACCATTATATGATTTAAGATTATGTTTATATTAAATTTTTTGAGTCATTTCATTTTTTGTCGTAATCCTAATTAATTATAAATTGAGAATAAAAAAAAGATTAAATTGGTTTTGAACTCCTTAATATATAAAAAAAAATAATTTGAAAATCATCAAATCTAAAATCTAAATTTTAAGACAATTTTCCAAAATATAGTGTGATATATCAACATCCTTACATTTATATAACCAAAATATTTAAGATTAAAAATAAATTCAAGTTCATAGATAAAATTGTGGTTCATAGATAAAATTCTTAATATATAGAAGCAATAAAATTTAAATAATTATTTTCTTCCAAATGATGATGGAGATATCCAGAAAACTTCGAACTTTTGACATTTTTGGCTAATAAATTCGGCTAAAAGCATCTGGCTCATCTGTTTTTTAATCTCAAATTGGAGCCTTTATGACTTTACTACTATTTAGCACACTTACTTATTCAGGTAGTTTATTTATTTTGGAAATGAACAAAGGGAAGAATGCGATTTTTAACTCTTAAGAAGCTGTTATTCAAAATAATGAAGTATTTATCACTACAAACTAATTTTTAGGGATTCAGTTTCAACTCCACTGAACTAATATTTTCAGCTGGATTACTTGGTATTTTGGGTCAACCTATTCCAAATGAGGATAACAGAATATTTAAGATAGGATTTTATGTTTGCAACAAATCACTTAATGAAACAGAATGTATTGTAATACCAGGAGAAATTTGTGGGAATAGAATTAGAGAGGCATCAAAAGTAATAAACAATAATTAATTTAGAAATTGAATATTGCTTAAGCATATGAAAATATAACTTATTGTATGAGCGAATAGTATATCCGAGAGAATCCTGAAATAAGAATTTAAGGGTCAAATCGTTATGACAATTTTACTTTATTAGGAGCAGTATAATTAAACCTTCTTGTTCATTATAATAGAAAGATGTTCAAATAACACTGAAATATAGAGTACGATATTATTTAATCTAGATTGTGCATCCAATGAAGAAATCGATAATTATATTGCAAATGCCAATCTTTATTACTCATACACCTTTCATTAACTTAATAAAGAATTAGATGTTTCCCCATATTAGTAAACTGAAAATATCGACCTTACTTCTCTCTATTATAAAGTAGGTAAGTATATTAAAATTTATTTACAATATTCTTAAAGTTATCTAGAATATAATCCCTTCTATTTTTTTCCAAGATCAGTGTAGCATGATGGGGTTGAATATTAAAAGACAGTAACTGATAGTGTGCTTTATTTCTAGGATGCCAATACCTTAGCTAGAATAGAGGTCCATTTGGATGCTAAGAAAAAGGTTTGCTACATTACATATTAAACTTTAATGGATGTAGCTGCTAAACTAGGAGGGTTATTTACAATCATAAGAGCTTTGTTGGATATTATATTATATCCAATTTAATCTATTCTCTATAAGCTTTTTTTGATAAATTTTTTAATCAATCATTAGAATAATGGTACCAATAAGGATATTTAATTATAAAAGTCTAAAAAATAAGAAATATGCATTCATTAACTGATAACTTCTTCAGTGAAAAGAGAATTTTTTAATTAATAATCTTAATTAATCAATAAGTATTTAGATATTAGACAAATATTAATACATCCGCTGTAATTTACATAAAAAATAGAGGGTTTATAGGATTCAATAAAGAAAATTGATATCCTTAGTTCTAGATAAATTAAACTTATTAGCAAACAAGAAATGGATGAGCTTGTTGTGCAAAGCAACAATGAAGAGTGCCCAGATTGCAGATGTTTAAGCTATGGTACTATCAATTCGGAAAGCAAGGTAAGAAATTAAGATAAGTATGCAATTCCAAGAATGAAAATTTAAATTCATTGATGTATTTGATATCTAATTTATAATATTATCAATAAAAAATCACTATGGAATCATTAAAAATTAAATGAGTTTATCCAAATTGTGAATTTATCATTCGAAATCATATGAATTATCAATTATTTTTGATTACTTTCAATAACTGCTATGAGACTTCCAAAAATGGAACTAAAATTAGCTCAGTATTCAAAAACTAAAGATTTACATTTAATATTTTAAAAGAAAAATAGAATTAAAAATTATTAGTAATGTTAATCACTGAATAATTTAATCAAAAGAAAGTGGCAGTAAATATATTCGATTTACATAATTAATTATGATAATATGAATCTTAAAATATTAAAAATTGAAATAACATATAACCTCTGTATATTAATAAAATTCAACACATTAGTTGTGGCATTTTTAATTTTCCTTCTTTGATTACTTAATTTAAATCTTTATACTTGAGACTTTTTATAAGTGCTTCGATTTCAGGTAGATTTGGCTCAATATCAGCTTATCGCAGAACATAAGCAACATCATACATAGCTAATCATAGAATAAATAATTTACTTGGAGACTTATTTCCTCCTAATAAAAGTAAAGCGTAAGTAGCAACATAAGATGATCTCACATTATCGTTCTAATCTTTTGGTTGAATGCATATTGGTTGAATGCATTTTGGTCGAATGCATTTTGGTAAATAATCATATTGATTTACTTCCTAATTATTTTGAGTTAAGGCATCCTAATCAATTCTCTCTACATCAAAATTTCTACAATAATTAATTATGCTCATGAATTCAGATTTTATAACAGTAGTTTAAGAACTTAATACTGTTATTCTTCTGAGAAACTCGTTTAACTTACTTAGTATAATTTGATTCCTTTGTTCCAAATTTTCAAATTTCTGAAACTTAAATATTTTTTCAAGTTGTTCATCAATAATATTTTTGAACTCTATCAATAGGACTTTAATTTCTTAATTTTATTCCTTTTCTATTAATTAATTTAAGTCATCTAAACTTTGGGTAACAATCTACCAAACAGATTAGACAAGATTTAGAGGTTTTTTGTAATAGTAGATTTAACATAGCAACCCAGTTTTGCCTTATTTAGTTTATTCTGAAGTTTTTCTTTAACCTTCTCTTTAGTTAGATTTTCCTCTACTTTTTCTTTTGCAAAACAATCAATAAATTTAGAAATTTCTTCCTTTTATTTCAGATGTTTTTGAAGCATAGTCATTGTAGATTCCGATAAATTTTGGGCTTTTAGACTTCCATCTGCAAGTTTATCTAATAGGTCTAAAAGAGGATCCATTAGTTGAAGTGCTTCTTGATCTTTACTATTATTAGTGGTTTCCATATTGTTTAAAACTTCTTAAACTACTGCTTTCATCTCTTAAAAAATTTATTAGCTATTTTGATGCTTTGTTGCAACAGTCTCTATTATTCTCTCTGATATTGAATTGCATATAAGCTAAGAAATATGACGTGGATCCATAGTCGGGTCAATCTCTTATCCATCTAACATCATTTTTTTTTTGGTTCCATCTGTTTTTTTAAGATATGGTTCACCAGGTGGAACCATTGTGGTAGTATTTTTCGAAGCAATTGTTGTATAAACTGGCTAGTTAACTTGAAGGAGCTTTGATGATACACTCAGAAGCTGTTTGATTTCGTAAAATATTGTTGTAAATTCTTATTATAATTATTATTGAGACCTGCCACCTCTTTAAACTTCGAAAATGGCAGGGCAGCTTGAGTTTTAATTATGGATTGCCTTTCTTAAGACATTAGATATTGTGTTTGGAAATGAATTTCCAACAGCTACACTTATAAATTAAATCAAGTATTTTTATTTCATTTATTCTATTAAATTAGTTAATTAGTTAAAGTCAAAAGACTCCTGACCATCACTTATGAATACAATTGTTATATTATTTTGGTAATAATTATTTAAAAGTTTTTAAAAAATTGTCTTAAAAGTTTCGGTGATATTTCCACTCCCTGCACTTCTAAATGGAAGAAAATCATAAAGTTATCATTCCCATTAATATTTCATCTGCTATGATCCTAGACAGGAAAAAGTAGCATTATGAGCATCTACAACGGCTTCATATTCACCAGACATAGAGCCAGTTCCATCAATAAGGGTGATTAGATAAGATTATGTCGTTGTGCAATTCTTTGCCACATATACTTCATACTAACAGCTCATTTTACCTCCTTAATAATTTTATTTCAAGCTTTCATCTTGATCTTAATAGAAGTCTATTTCTATTATTGTGATTTCTACTAAAATTCTTTTGTAGATCTTAATGCTTCTTAGTAATAAATTAGTTTGAAAATAAAAATTTTGGAAGTAATCGAATGGATTATGTATCATGATTCATTAACAGAATCATTAAATTCTCTACTTAAGCAAATACTTGGGAAAATATTACGAATTTCAAGAATCTAGAATCTAAGAAGAATTTAGAAGTAATTGAGTTAGGGATTATTAATGTTGTGTACTGCTATTATATTCAAGCAAAATATTGGTGCATAAATTCTGGATTTGATTGACTATTTTAAAGAGATAAAATAAGCCAATTAAGGGAATAAAATTATATAATAAAGAATATTTTTTAAATTATTATAAAACTTATATTTCTGTTTTAAACTGAAAAATAATTAATTATTAAATTTTCGAATTACATCAATATTCATGTATTTTAATGTAAAGATTGGCTATTACCATAATTGTATGATTGTAAAATTCAAATTATTTAATAAAGAATTACTACCATAATTAATTAATTTTCTTTGTATTAAAATAAAATGGTTTATCAATATAAAAATTTTAATTTTTAATAATTCTCCTTGCTTATGAAAAAAATGGATTCATCTTTGACCTCATTACCATAAATTTATAAGGGTTATTTAATAATTATTAACAATATCATTATGTAAAATTTAAAAAGAAAGTAATAATTCATTAAGTATTCTGGAATTCAATTATAATTTACATTCATTATAAAAAACAAATATTATTATCAATATTTAATTTTAATTATCGCTAAATAAATTGGAAAATCCAATTCAAATCTCCTTTTAAATTATCATATGAATACTGAAAAATAGTTTTAATTCTCTTTCTTAAATATTAAATATTAGACTAAAAATGTCAAAATAATAAAAAATATTAATATTCTGAAATTAAATTGTGTATTTGTTTTTTTTGTCCGAAGAGCGAAGCTTAATACTATTGGCAACAAAAGTATTTTACATATGTAATTTAAGTGAATGCTATTGTTAATATATTAAAAATTAAGCCTTTATCTTAATTTATATTAAAAGCATATTCCTATCAAATAACAATAGAAAACTTCACTGAGGCAGAAATATAATAATTGATGAGTATATTTGCCTTATATAAACAAATAATTTTCAGATTCTCCTTGATTATTCACCTCAAGAATTGATTTTAATATAATTTCTATACAAAGTAACATTAAATATATATCAGAGCCAAATGAATTAACTTTTCCAATCTTGCTTTTTTTATTGTTTGCCTGTTGGCGGGAGAATAAACTCTTCCACAATTGTTCTATTTAGACGAGAATGAATGATTGTTAAAGGTGACTGTTAATTTTAAACATTTTCTTCTTCATTCAATTCCTCGAACTATGAATTCATGTCAAATGGGGATATTTTGGCTAAATTTGACAATGGAGTGGTAAAATAAATTTTTGGATGGTTCATTTACTATAATTAAATTTGATTTGATTTGGATATAATAACCTAATAATTAATTATATTTTATAACAAGAAAATAATATCATTAACATATCAGGAATAATTTAGGAAAATTCAATTTTTTAATTGCTTATTTAAATTTGAAAAATACAATAAAGCTGATAAACTTTGGTTGGCTTGTAAGTTGTTTTAAGAGCTCCAATAAATTAATCTAATTGTTAAATTAGAATTATTACTCTAGATATTTCTTCCAATGCCCATTTTTCCATTAATTAATTACCACTTCAATATTATTCATAATATGATTCTTAATGAACCTTAATTATTATTATATTACAAATGAATTAACGAATAATTTCTTAGATTTATTTTAATCAAGAATATAGAATATAATATTATCATTCTCCTTTAGACTTTTAAATAGCCATTCTTATTCAATATAGCTTCTATAATTAAAAATATTTTGAGCAGTATACTTATTAATAATGTATTAGAATAAATTTTTATCTTTATAAAAATTAAAAAAAAGAAGGGAGAATCAGGGTTCGCACCAGAGACCTACAGAGATGCAGTCAGGTGCTGAGCTATACTCCCAACTATTAAAAATGATTGAATGAATTCATAATATCAGTGGTTAATTTTATTTTTAAATTTCTTCTTTATTAAATTTAATTATCTATTTATTTAATCATGATAACGACACCAGCTTAAAATAATACTAGCTCAATACAAGAGAAGTTAATGGAGGAACGCAAGAGATGTATGTAATCTCAATTCAAATTTTAGTGATAACTTCTTTTGAATAAAAATTCTTAGGCGATGAATAAGCCCGCTAAGCTTAATATGCAGACCAAGCTACATATAATGGTTAGATAAACGAGAAACAAAATAAATAAGGAGTAGGAAAATACTTATTCCCAAATGGAGATGTGTATTATTTATTGGTGATTATTTTAGGTACATTGGACAGTGGTCTAACGATCTGTTCAATGGAGAAGGCGTTTATCTTTTCAATAATGGAGAACGATACGAGGGACATTTATTGAACGGTAAAAAGCATGGCGTAGGTATCTACTACTATGCAAATGGTAATATGTATAATGGGGAATGGATCAATGATTTGAAACATGGAAAAGGCAAATATTCGTATTACTTACAAGGGGAATCTTTTGATGGTGAATGGCAATATGGAGAAAGACATGGAAGAGGAGTCTACTTATACTCGCTTGGAGATAGATATGATGGTCTTTGGGAAAGAGGGCTCAAATGGGGTAGAGGAATTGTGGAGTTTGCATCTGGAGCGAGATATGAGGGTTAGTTTGCAAGTGACAAAGCCACAGGTTAGGGAACTATGATATATGTTAACAATGACAAATACGAAGGACAATGGAATGATGGATTAAAACATGGTTATGGAGTTTATACTATGGCCGATGGATCCAGATATGAGGGGAATTGGATGAATGATGAAAGAGAAGGGCAAGGTCTTTTTCTTTATGCATCAGGCGATAAATATGAAGGCATGTATAGTAAAAATGTGAAAAGTGGATATGGAGTGTATGTTGCTTCGAACGGAGATAGATATGAAGGAGAATGGGCAAATGATAAAAGGTAAGGGAATGGTACACTCTATATGGCCAATGGGGATAAGTATATTGGAGAATGGAAAGAGGGTGAGAAATCTGGTAAAGGTATTTACTATTTTGCACACGGTGATACTTATGATGGTAATAATTCAAAATCTAAATTCTAGGCTATTGGTTGGGTGGTATGAGACATGGGTATGGTAAATATTCTTGGAGCATAGGCGACTATTATGAGGGAGAATGGAGATTTGATAAAATGAATGGTAAGGGGAAATTTAAAGGAGCTGATGGTTCAGAATATGTGGGGGAGTTTTCAAATGACAATAAAGTAAATTGATTTGTCTTATATATTGCTATTTTCATAATAATTATTATTATTAAATAATTTAGTTTAATTCATCGATAGTTTAATCTTTCAAATTCATTATTTATTGCACTTCCATTTAGTTCTGCATTAATTCCTATTGAAATTCTTGCTAAATATTTTGGATTGTGAATAAATTCTATTGAATAACTTAAGATTGATTATAGATTTATTATCTTTATTATTCAATTATTTATTATTGTTATTCGCATTTTTGCTTCCATTCATCACACTCTGAACTAACCTAATTTTTTTGAATCATCAACTCGTCAATAAATGATTTATATTTTTAAACTACAGATTTTAGGTTATGTTTCTACTCTATCAAACATGATTCTAATTAGGATTTCCTAAGAATATTTAATAACAATCTACATTTCAAATTTCAACTAAAAAACTAGTTTTTTAAGTTCATGATTTTCCTGTCGATAATAATCAACACTATCACAATAAGATTTGCAATCATCATTTGTGCTCAAATTGCTTAGATTCTAAACTCTGAAATAATAAATGACTTGATATACTTGTTTTCTTTATCTGTTGTTTAGATTCTTTTTTTATTAAATTTGTTCAAATAGGAATTTTTTTTGTCTGGGGTGTGAGTAGTATTTATATACATTTTTTAAATTTTAGATGTCTGTTAATATAAAAATTAGTATTTTATATAAATGATAAAACTTTGACATGACTTAATCAACTTTAACTTTATTAAGTTTGATCCATTTTATGATACTCCTGCCTGGAATGTAGTTCTGGATTGTATTCATAAATGTATTACATGAATTAAGATTCTTTTGAGAAAAATCATTTCTATTAAACTATCCTTGTCTCTACAAATAAATGATAAAATTGGATAATAGTAATTAATTATCGTCTTTAATTGCACTTTCAATATGTGAGATATACAATTAATTGATATTTTGCAAAAGAAATAAATAACCTTATATCTCACTAGAATGAGTGTTAATTGGAAATTCCTGATATGTTCTTAAATTCATTGATAGATATCCAATAATCAGACAATAATAATTGACAATTTATTTTAGTATTCACTTTTATAATAAATATAAATTGATTAGCTTAAATGGCCAACATCCTTATATCAAATGGATAAACAAAACTGCATGATATCATTTTTAAGATACTTAGGCTAATTATAATCAAGAAGTTCTTGTTAGATTTTGCATTTATAATAACCATGGATTTAGATTATGAAAATATAAATAATGAATATTAATCAATCCATAGAATTAAAATAATGAAAGTATGTGTATTTTATATTTTCATTTAATATTATTAATATTCTAAATAAAAGGAATAGCCGTATAATTTTTTTGAAGATTGCTTTTTGGCTATCTAATTTCTTTGGATTATAAATTTGGCAATCTAATTGGCCTAATATTTAGTAAATTGAGTACTGAGTTGTTCGAAAAGTCTTCTCTTCTCCACTGCTTTGACTCAGTTGTTGGATTAGGTGATCATAAATCTACTTTGTCAACACTTTCGGAGCTGCCATTGATGAGTTCAAGGAGGATGGTTGTTATGCAAAACTATCCAACTTATTTTTTAATTCAACACTTAATTCCATTAATTTTGAGACATTGGTTTCGAAGTTGTTAACCTGTTTATTCTATAAATCCTTATTTATACGATTAAGTCTGTTATTCTCCTTCTGCAAAACTTATAGTTTCTATTCGTACTCTGACTTCACACTTTCTATCTCTTGTTTTAAAGTCTGTTCTTTATCCATTGTCGTTGATGATAAACTAATAAGATATAATTGTTCTTATAGGTTTTGATTGTCCCTTCTAAGCTATATTAATTCTTATTAGACTATTTCCAACCTTTCTTCTAATGATTAAGTTTAGTTTATTTAAACTGCTGCCTTCTCCAATTATCGTTGAAGACTGTATACAAGCAAGGTTAGTCTTTAATTTTCATCAGTTAGTTTTGAGTTCAGATCAATAAGGTTATCTTTTGTAATATGATTCATAAATATTATTATTCAAGACAATCATTTTATCTTAATTTGATACAAGCTTATAATAGCTTTATAAAATAATGAATAATTGTATTTATAATCTTAGACATAATTACTGAAGAGAATCAAAAGGCAGACTTTTATCAAATGTGATATTCATGATTGGAATGAATTAAATATTTATTCGGTAGAAATCTCTTTGAATTTTCTTAATTGTAGTTCTTAATTAAATACGTAAAAGAATAATGCAAAATAACTTATTTTCGTAACCTTTAGATTATCAAAGAAATCTAATGATATTTCAGTTTCATAGTACATACTCACGAAATTTGAATTATCCAGTAGTATTCAATATCATAAAAATATTTGAAGAATTATCATTTTTGCAGATTGCCAAAAAGTAAGAATTCAGGATGTTACTTTTATAAATAATCATCAGCAATTTTAAAATCCTATCCTTCTGTTGTACAATAATTTCTAAATTAGATACAATATTTTCTTAAAGAATTTGTGCAATTAATTTTGTATTATAAATTTATACCAAAGACTAATAATAATTTTACAACATGCAATTTCATAGTCCATGCAATTTAAGCAGAAAAATTCAACTAGTCAGTTGGTTATAGTTATTTTTTTATTCACAAAATTATGTTATTTTTAGATTTTATTAAATAGACAATTCTGGGGAATAAAGAATATTGAGGTAAATGAAGTTCAGGTAAGGTAGCACAATGATTTTAAATTTTAGTTCAATTGTAAAAGCATTTCTTACAAATTGAAATTGTGAGCATGGATAATTTGATAATTTTATTTATTAGATTGAATTAGATTAAAATGAATAATATAATATAATAATTCATTATTTAATCACATCACCAGTTTAACATTCACTTTCAAACGTGTATTAGGCTTAAGATGCTGCATTTCCTTAATGTATTCTTTTTCCACAATCCATAGTAGTATTAGATAAATAATGATCTTGTTGTTGTTTTAGATCACCTTTAGGAATTATTTGGGATTATGATTATGACTTTTTCATATCTCTGCCAGAGGTTTAGCCATTTTTATTTGGTTGAGGACTTGATTTCTCAATTTTTAACCTTTTTGACCTACTAGTTAGATAAATTTTGACATTCTAAAAATAAATTTACAATTCTTCTATTTCCTTTTTTGTGGGTTAATACCATTTAGGTTCATTAACAATGCAATTTTAAAAGAATACCCTCAATTAAGCAAACTTTTTGACTTGGGGTGTTAATTTAATGTATTCATTGAATAATTCATAAACTTAGATCGATTACTATTAATCCATTTGTTAATAACAATCTAAGAATTATCGTACAAACCTATTAACTAGAATATTGTATGGAATTACCTTTCCAACATTAAATAGAGTGCAATAACATCATTCCACAATAACAAATAGATTTCCATCACTATTGTTCTGTTGTGAGTCTAAAAAACCTGTGCGTAGAACTTATTTCAAAAATATTTGTTTACTTCGTGTTATCCTAGGATGAGATTGAGAGCGTTAATCATTTTATAAAATTGCATTACGTTAGAATCTATGTCCTTAACTAAAATACAATAATTCAGAGTTAATTACATACAACATTAGAGTTGGATTTCATTTTACTCTTCGATATAATTTCACTGATTAAAGCTAATTTTTGTATTATCATTGTTTATACAGAAGAAAACTTACTAAAAGTGTCCTTTTGTTCCATGTGTTACCAACCAATCCATCCAAGGAATTATTACACAAACAGTCTGCCATGTTTGATATCACCCATTAAGACATGGATTGTTAATAACACTTTTAATTTCTTTGGACTTTCCAATTATTAAGGTATGAGTCTTATGAATTCTTTGAATACTTAAACAATCGTCATGCTCTAGACTAATTGATCCTCCTCTTCTTTGGATGGGTAACCTTTTTAAGTTGTAATATACACCTACCTTACAACATTTTTTTAATGTCTTCCAAATCAACTGTTTCTGAATTATCATAGATTGTGCTCTCAAATAGGTACTTCTAGAATCTAGTTTGTTTCTTGAACATATTCTTTAGAAACATTTAAGTTTATATTTTAATATAATCAAAATATTTTATAATTTGATTAGCTCTTTCACAGTTTATTAAATTTACATTTATTCTTAAAATTGTACATTTAAATTATTCATTCTTCAATCTATTATTGTAACAACTATGTCTTTAATTACTATGCAAGATCCTCTATCTTTTGTTATAATAATTCAATCTATTTAGTACGATCATCTTCATCTTCAGATCTAATTGGAAACCAATTCACACTTTCAGATTGCACCTTATCCATGATCCAATACTCTAGTCCAGTGTATTCCGTTGAATCCTTATTTTACAGACAATAAATATAGAAAACATAATTCCATAAGAAATGCTTGCTCTTTATGTGCTCTTCAAAGTCTTCTTGTTGTTTTTCAAGTGTTTGCCTATCAATACCACAAATAAAACATTTGTTCTTTTTATCATCCTCGATTTGGTTTCTTTGATCTCTCAATTATGCAAAAGTATCAGTCATTATACCTGAGATGATATTGGTAAATAATAGTGCAAAGAACACGAAGTAAACTGTATCATAGATGAATTTCAAGGGATCCCATTGTGCCATTGAACTACCAATCACTCCCGAAGTCATCAAAGTGATCATACAACTTATTAGACTGTGACAAGGGTCATCCACTTATTCAGGATATATGTCATCCACATAATTATTGAATCCCACTATACTGAATACAAATTAGAACAACACTCCTAACAAAGCTACTAAAGATAGCTATTTTGCATTGTGGGATATTGCTTAAAATACGCTTTGCAATAATGATAATTATCCAAATAAATAGAATAAATGCAATGAAAAATAATACGTATTTGAAATTAATCCAATAAATGCAATTGCAGTAAATGATATGTGAGACATAAAATCTTCACTTTTGAACACAATTATTAAATTAGATATCTTAGATATTACATAGGTGTGAATCTTAGTCAAAGAGAATTACTCTTATTTGAGTTTCTTGAATTCCAATGAAGCCCTGCTTATTACATAAAATGTACATGCACATAAACTGAAGCCAAATTACAGTATGGATAAAATAAATAATGTTACTTCTTCATAGTCATCTGTTACTAGTGTTGATTGCTTATCTTTTATCATAACTGCATATGCAAATATCATAAAAATGTTAATGATTAATGACAATAATTATGAAATATTTATTAAGAGTTGAATTGTTTTATGTGTTATTGGTAAAATCCAATTCTATAAACTAAAATTATAACTGATTTCACTGAAAATCATCTCCATTTCCTCAAGTAAAGATATCAATTTTTTTCTCTGTGTGTCTCTTGGTATTTTGAACATTATTTTATCTCTGGTTTCATCGCTTAAAAATTGAAAAACTGGATGAGCAGGGAAGAATACCATTTGATATTCATTCTCATAGAAAATTTCAATTTTCCTTAAGTTATTCAAACACATAGTCTAAATATCTTTTAAAGTTGGATTACTCTCAAATTCCTACTTAAAATGCTTCACCCACTTTTAATCCTTACTGACATACTCTATTTTCTCCTTAATTATGAACACATTCAACATTTATTGTATCTCATCAGAGAATCTAGCTTCCTTCTTAAAATCAAATATTTTCTCAATGCCAACCTTCTAAACAATTAATTTTATGAAATTAACCAAAAATCTACAGTCCAGTTTCTATTATAATTCCTCATAGTTTTTTTGATTATTCCCTTCTAACACCAACATAATTGATTGAATAATCTTTGCTTACAGTTCAAATAACTCATCCTGTTCTTCTGGAGTGTGGAGTTCCCTTTGAATTGATTGGCTTTCCTCTTTTTAAAATGTTTCAAACGTAAAACATACATCTTCCATATATGTCGACTTACATAATGTGACTTAATTTAAAAAGCAAGGCAATTGAATGACTTCATTTATAAAATCCACTATTTGCTAAGTTATTGATACTACGTTCTTATTCAGTATCTTCAATAATATTCTTAATTCTTTAGTAGCAAACTCTATAAAGTTAATACTATTGATATGGACTGAATCTTCCTTATCAGTTTATTCTCTTAGATAGTTTTTCATATGAACATTGTTGTTCTCACACATCAATTACAACATTCTAAATGCTCTCCACATCACTTTAATTGATAATTATCTATTCTTTATAGTGTTTTAACTTTCAACGGCTGATGGTAGTGTTCGTTTCAGAGTTTCAGTCTTTTCACTAAACTATGTTAGATTATCCACATAAACAATAGAAAGAAATGGGTTTTATTTATCTTTCTAAAATTTAGACTTCTAAATCTTGAAATTAGTATTAACAAATTTGCTAAACTTAAGAATAGATTATTGCAGATTGCTCATCATCTAATTCGATGAATCTTATTTCAATAATTGAAGCAAAGAGTCTTAGCACTTGGAATTGCCTCCTAATAGAAATGCATTTGAAAATATTAATAACTAATTGAATAATTCCCATCTATCATCAAAATTTTCCTTGAACATTTCATAAATCAATTGAGCTGCTCCACATCCAGCCAAAAAGCATTGTATTTCTTGAATCTATTATCTGGAATCGCTCCAAAATTCAGGTTCCCATTCATCTATTGCCAACTTGGCTTATTCATCTTGGCTGTTGATATTGGGATTCTTTTCGCTTATCATTCTAGTTAATATTTTCAAAAAGTAGCTTCTTAAATCATCATTCAATTTATGGGTGATATTCATCTAGATTAAGTTCTTTAAGAATTCTTCCAAAGTTATTGCTGGATCTTAAGTTTAATAGGCAACCAAAGAAAACTCATCGATTTTTGTGAATTCACTGCAAAGTTTATTAAACTCTTATTCAATGAATCCTTAAAACTCCTCATTCTCATTGAATATTTTAATTAACTTCATCAACCTAATGTTCAATTCTACATTGTTGTCAGGTTCTTCTATTACTGAAAGTCTTTTTTTGGATTTCAAATGGAAGATCCTCTTTAGTGTTTGTTAAAGATTTGATTGAATCTTTTCATCTTATGTCAATTTAGTCTCAGTTACAATTAATAATCTATTTATTATGCCATCCTGTTCATTCTATTCATTTTATTCGGTATCCTATTTCTCTTCTTATTTTAGTGTAGTTTGTGATTCAATTGCATTTTCATTGAATACCTTTTCTAATCTCAACAACACACTATTATCAAAGGTTCTAAACACTATTTTCATTATGTTTATCAGCACTTAACACAGATGAGTTATATGACTTGATTTAAACCACATCTTCTAAATCTGAACCAAATGGCCTGCAATCTTGAACAACAATTAATGGATCTTAAGATTATCGATCTCTTTACTTAATTGACCTTCCAATTCCGATAAGAAATTATCATTTAAAAACAACAAGTTGATGGAGTATAATATCTCCTGCATACATGCAAAGATGTAGGAGAACATAAATTAAAACCTAACACCATCAACGATCTATACTTGCTTTATGTAATTGCACCCTTTCAACAATAGTATTTAATCTAATTAATGTCGAATTATCTATAATTAATTTGAATCTTACCTCTAAATCCTCCTAGATGCAAAGCTAACTGATCAATTCCATCTGACTATTATAATAAAGACGATTGATGTAGCTTCGTAAAAAGTGCTATAATGGCCAGCAATTACTTTTATACGAATTTTTCATCAAAAACAACAAGGATTGAAAAGGGTGCATGACTCGACATTTCTCCTGATTAATGACATTACTAAATATATGTCTAATAATTATACTGATCTTCAACTAATAAACTGAATATTTCAAAATGAATAATCATGTATTATAGTTGTGGTTGCATACGGATTAGCTTTGTCTCCTCTATCTTCTCATAATTAGCACTGTAATCGTCAATTAATTCATTAAAACTCTCAGCATCCCAAGCTTTCGACTTTTGCAAAGGCGTCTCTGGTTTATTTACAGAATCAATTAAAAAATCAGACTGCAATTCATTGAGAACATAAATTAAATTCCTGTTTTATTTCTGCTGCAACAGAGCTAGAATCTATAATTGATTAAATTTGATTGTCTTATTATGATCATACAAGAAAACTCTCAGTGAATCAAACAGCTTGACCCTGTACATACTATCTGGCTTTTCCTTATTCATTTATTGAATGATAGATCCAATAGCCACAGATACTTCATTTTCATTGTATAGCAATTCTTTATTGTTATGGTAGAGTTCTCTTACAAAATCAATGCAACAAGAATTGTATTGTAAATGACAATAGATTTATTTTAATGGCCATTTTATTTCAATCTTATTGGTTGCATGATTCCAAATAAAAAGAGTCAAGAATTTGTAACAAGAATTCAATAGCCCATACAAATATGGATTTATTTCATCTGCTCCAGAAATGTAAGCTACTAATGTTTGATGCATATCCAATGCTTTAAATAGAGTTTAATTTGTTTTATCATTTTCTTCACACTCGTTAAAAGCCAAAGAAATTTAAACTACTTAACTTGGAAATCTATGCAATTTCAATGAAACACACAATTTATTAAGATCCTCAATAATCTCATCCACTTAAATGTTAGAAGTACTTTAGTTCTCTTTTGTTATAGTGTAAACATTCTTATCACTCAACTGTTCTAATCGTTATCTGATTTGAATGCATTTGCTAATCAATTCTTTGACATTCTTTTGACAATTTTTAGAGAGCAATACAATTTAAGAGAAGTGTTTGATTAATTCTCTTCTCTGACCAAGCATCCTATTAAATAATTATAAAGCTGTCTCGACCATCTTTGGTTCCTGCATCAAGGATATTTCAGCAAATACCAAAATCACATTATTATCGAAATTTTTGAATAAATTTCTATTATCTAATAAATCTTTAATGACTTATATCCATTAAGGAATGTTATAGGAATCTTACTCAGTTTTGTCTTTAGAACCACTCAAACTTTTAGCAAAGTCTTTAAAGACTGAACTATTGTTGTCTAATAATTATTATTGTTCTTCAGGAGGCTTATGTGAAAATCTATGCACAAGATCTACCATTCCACTGATTAATCCCTTTTTAGGAAGTGTGTTGTTTACTGACTCGTTTGTATCATCACTCTCTCTCTTATTTCTGAAATATGCTACCATTTAATTGATCCTAATGTCATTTTCTAAATCCAGAATATTTAAGATGATATTAGATGCTAGCATCTTACATTCCATTATTGGTTTATTCTCTGAAGATACTTTAGTCATTCTATATTTTGCTTTTTTGATATTCTCCTCTCCCTTTTAATCCTCTAAGCTTTAGAAATCTTTTTGGCAAGAGCATATTCTCAACAAATCTTATAATAATTGCATAGTATCTATTTCTAAATTCATAGTCAATAATGTTTTTATTATCATTAATACTCTTTACAGAGTCTAATTGTATTTCTGATCATAAGTAAAATGTGTAAATTTAGTGATAAATTATTAGACGTACTTTATGATGTTGTTGAGATCACTCACATTTTATTAGGCCAACTGATTGTTTTATCCTCCAAAACTACTAACTTTTCTCATGGATGTCCTTTTCTCTATTTAAATTAATTCATTCTCTTCCCAATCTATGACTTTGCTAATCACAAGGGATTGATATCCAGGAGTGTCTACAAAGGCCAAATGAATGACCTTTAAATATGATTCAAATGTATTTATAGATTGAGAATGATTATCTTCAACCAAGGCCAATAAAATAGAAATTGATATATTTTCTTTAACAAAATCCTATGATAATTTATTTCTGTTATAACACACATCTCCTAATAGATTGAAATAGCCTTAAAAGTAATTCCATGTCTATAACCCATCCTATTCTTGACTTTCTTAATATATCTAACGTATTCTTCTCCACATAGGTTTTAATTTGTTGATTCTGCAAAGCACTTCAACTTTGTTTTTGGTATTCAATCTAAATTTGAAATTCAATAACTCATTACTTTGGAATACCAACTTTAAAATTAAATTTTGATTTTTTAATATAGCTCTTCCTTTGCAAACACAAATACTACTCAAAATGGATAAATATTTTTCATTAGGATTTTATTTCATTTTTTCAAATACTTTCTGAATGTGATCATCTGTGACAAACCTTTAAATAGATTCATAATTATCTTCTAATAATTCTTTCAAACTATCCTAGGCTCTTGCTTCATCATCCATAGCCTATTCTAAAAAGTCTTTCAAATACTTTCCCATATCTTACTTCAATTATTTGTTATTCTATGTTAACTCCTTGATCAATTGGTAGGTTAATTTGAATATTTTTTTCATCTTTTTTTATAAATTCTTAACATCAATACCATACAACTTCTTCTCATATATGGGCACTAAGATTTTCATAGCCAAATCAATGATATACGTTTCTTTTATGCATTATTGTCGGTTGGCAACCTCAAACTGCAAGAATTGAATCAATTGTTATATCACTTCGACTACTTGAGACAATTATTAAACATGAAGCAATTTCCAAATAACATCAACTTGTTTATTCAAAATCAAAACAAATTAAAAGAGCACCTCTTAAGCTGACAAAACAAACATTAAGTTATTTTTAATGTTTCCTTTGACCTTTTTGATTTAAAAAGCATGTTAATGTTCTTTTTCCTCAAAAGCCAATTGTTTCTTTATCACAGTTGTCTCCAATTCCTCATCTTCTTTGATGCTATCATTCCATTAGTCCTCAATTTGAACATTTTATAATAATTCCTTATCTATTGACATTTGTATATAGGAATTCTCTACGATTTCCTACTAGCCTTATTTCGCAGCCAAGATTTCCACCACTTAGTTGGATTCCTATATGTATTCATGCAATTAAGGCAATTAATCCCTAGATGTGAGCACCTTACCTGAGATGTAGTTCCGAAGAATGAATTCTTACTATGGGATTTTCTTGTTGACTTATGATTATGCTTGTTATTATTAATCAACAACACTTCTCTATCTTGGTGCCACTCTTGAAAAATCCTTCAAAATATCGCCGCTGTTTTAGAAAACTGAGCCTCTTGAGTATTCTTTAATAAGCTGTGGTTATTGATTGCGCTTATAATCAGAGGTTGGTTATATCACTTACAATTCCCAAATGGCTGCCAATGGAATGTGTGTCCCGGCTTGTTACAATGAGACAATCTATTATTCTCCATTCAAATACGTGCCATCTTCAGTGTATTATAGATAGATTAATTCATAATTCCTTATAGATTTCTTTTCGATCCTCTGATCATTCCGCATAAATAACTTCATTTTCCAACTAGTCTTACTGTTATTGGTGATGATCACCTAATATCTTTGCACATCCTACAATCTCTTAATATAAGCCAAACAACTTTCATCATCCAACCATTATATGGGTTTTTCGATAAAATCCAAACAAAATTGTTGCTTGGTATTCACCAATAAGAAGGGTTCATCAAAATATATTGGTTAACCATCCTTCTGATATGTTTGATATGCTTCTATTCTAAATAATGCCTAACTGGAGGGTTTACTGCTCAGACTGACTTGAAATGCTTCCATTGACTATTCCGAACATTTGTAAGATCCGACTAAAAAGTATTCAGAGTCATAATGTTTCAATACTATTTCCTAACCAAACAGAACCTCTTCATCAATTTTGGTTTCCACAAAGGAGAAATATTGATTCAACTCTGTTTTCAATCGTTAATCCAGGAGATCCTGATTTGCTCTAATTTTGATAACTCTTGCATGCTTACTTTTTGTGAGACTTCATGAACTCATCATGAATTTCAAAACTCCCCTTGGGAAGCACTTAAAATAAAGACTCCCTAAAATTGCTTATCTTGGACAAATTTGTGTAAGTCATATAATAAACATTAGTCTGGGTGTATCTATCACAATTATGCGATAACCATACCCTTTCGTTACTATCATCCCAAAATCCCCCTGAATTCTTACAATTTACCCATATCGAAGATTATTCATAATATTAAATTATAATATCACAGAAATATTTGAGTTTTTTTCTCAATTCAAGTGTTTTGGAATTCAAGAGAAGGATGTGTTAGTAGTTTAATTTATCGAATGTGGACCGACCGACATTTTGTAATGCTTTTACATTATATACATTAATTATAATTTTTAATTCAAAAATGGATGAAGATTAAGATGTATTTCTTGTTATTGTAATTCGTAGCATTTTGTAGAAGACGATGGAAGCGATGATGATAAATTTGAAGAGACATGGAAGAGACAATATGAAGTAAACGAGTTATTAAATACCTAATAATAGACACTTCCAAAAAAGTAGGATAAAAGACCTGAATCCAAACATGGAAGACCTGAAAGTTCCAAATTCACTTAGAAGAAGTATAGTTTGAATGACAACAACATACCGATTTCTGTTGCTTTACAAAAATTCAATTAGTTAGTTACATTTAACAATATTAAAATTGAACAATTTTGGAAGTCGGATTCAGTCAATGCCTCTCCAGAAGAGTTTGTATCATTTCTTGGTTAGGCAGGTTTCCATATCTCCTAATTTAATTAGGTTTCACTTTCACACAAGAAGAAATCAATCAAGTTTTGAGTGATTTAGAAAATGAATTCGGAAAAATCACTATTGAAAATATCTGTAAAAAGGTTTAAGCTTGGAATTCGAATGAAAGTACCTAATTTTTTAGATTAACCTAGACGCTATGCTTGAATTCATTAAAGAAAAAGCCTTGCACATGGCATAAGCAAGCAAAAGAAAATTCTCAGCTCAAAAGAAAAGCAAACCCTAATCTGCTTCTGCCACAAGGACTGCTCCCAAAGATTTCAGACCTATCAGTGGTATCTCATACAAGAGTAAACAATCAGGGTTTACTGAATTCAAAATGTAACTCATATTACCCAATATACAAGTGGTGAGGAGAGACCAGTCCAAAATCTCTCCAAGTACTATCTTTAAAAGGCCAAAGAGAGGGAAAAGGAGATGGATAGGTTACTTCAATTAACCATTTCGAAAGGGAAAAACGAATACGAATATGAGATGCTTATTAAAATGGGAGAGGCCAATGAGTTGTCATAATTGTTAGAGAGCAAAATAACCTATCGAGCATATAAATCAGCATAAGGCAATCTCAAGGTTCATATGTATGAACTGGATCGATTCAATAAAGACATGACATTAGAGGAGTTCTAAAGAGAGTACAATATGATAAAGAATAAATATAATGAGAGAAGAAATCTAAAGATTTGGGAAGTGCTGTCAGAAAATAAAAAGAGTTAAAAGAGCTTGTAGCATTTCGGCACTTAGAAGGACGAGATTCAATAGGATTCCTAGAATTAACATCAATCAAAGGTTATTAACAAAAAGGAAAGACAATCTGAATTAAAGAAGGTTCTTTTGGAAACGATGATGTTGACAAATGTTCTGAAGGAGTAGTTGTCTGTGCTCTAAAAGAAAGGTATTGTGATTTAATAACCCTCGATGTGAATTAATATTAATATTATTATAATTTATATATATATGAAAAGTTTTCAAAAGGGTTATCTGGAGCTCAATTAGATATGGCTAAGCAGATAGTATTAATCTTCTTTAAATTAGAGAATATGAAGCACATTAAAAACGATTGTTAAAATAACGTAAGTTAACCCCTCCTCGAGATTCAAGGATATATGAATAAGTTAAGAAAACCCAATTTTTGAATAATAGAAAAAGGGAGCTCATGAAATGGCAAACGATTTAGGAATAAAATTCTTAGATTTTGGCCAGGTTGGTAAAAATTAGCAACCGATCTCCAACAGTAAATAACTATATTTATTTGTTATTTAGCCTCCAAGTTAGAGTGGAACTCCAAGAGGAAGAAGAGCTTTGAAAGAACAAAAGCTCAGAATAGAAAGTGAGAACAAACGATTACATAATAAATTAAATGGAATGTATGGTTTCTCATTTTAATGATAAAGTTAGTCAGATTTGAGGTAGGAGAAATTTCAGGAATCATTTATGAAACATAAGAAAATACAAAAAAATATGCAAAGATTTTACTTCGATCCCAATTTACATCAGATAAAGTTACGAGTTGATGCATTCTTAGACAATGTGAGTTCGTAAAGAATACATGAACGGTCCAAAAGTCAATATTAGAATTCGAAATCCTCAAGATTTGATCATTCACCCTTCATGAAATTTAGAACTGTAAGTTAATCTTTTTCTAAAGCTAGGGTGTGATGTTGTAAAAGTTCTGATATTACATTACTATTATAAATGAGAGTGAAAGTGTATTTTATATTTTATTAATTTCTTACATATTTTTAAGATTTTATGCTTGATTTTATTTGGAAATAACATAGATACCAATATTCTCAAAGTAGACAAAATTAATTTGCTTATGATTTGATTTATATCTTTAATATTAATAATAAATGATAGATTTTTTGATTAAATTAACGATTTTTAAATAAGATAAATTTTAATCTGCATCAGTGCATAATGGCTTTTTACTTTATTTTCTCACTAATGACAAAGCTTATGGTATAGGGACTCTTCTTATTAAATTTTTAGATCCGATGTACCTTAACATTGTTGTATCTAATTTAGTTTTAAAGTTCTTACAAGCTGATGATAAATTCAGGATTTTAGTATGGGTAATAAAATAAATAATTTTAGGCTTTGTCTAATTCATCTTTATCATCCAAACAGAAAAAATGGCTCTAATTTATAGTTTCTTAATTACGGAATTATTTAAGTCTATGAAGTTTGCTGGGTTTTCTTCAACCCTTATCTTATTTTATTATGGACTTTTATTTTTCTTGTTTATTGGTGGAGAAGATCTATCTGAAGGATTCAAATCGAAATCGTCTCCATTTTTTTAAATACTAGGCAATCTTAAATTCTCATTTTTCTTGCTAATATCAATCTATTGACTATGAAGCTATGTTGAACTTAAGGATTTTCTGCCTTGTCTATAATTCTTATTTTCCTGTGTATTTGGAATCATACAACTATTATTCTGCTATTGAAGTAAATTACAAGAATTAACTTTAATTGTATCTTGAACTTTATCCGTATCAGGAATGTTTAACATGATATTATTTTACTTTTTATTTTCTGAACTGGATTTAAGCTAAACAAAACAAATTTCATTAGGTATGTTATCTTCAGAATGTGAACTTTAATCTTCCCCATCAAGTTCTTAGATAACTTAATTTTTGATTTGAAAGGTGTTATTTTAAGGAAAGAGAGATTTGTCCTTCCTGTGAATCATGGAATCCAAATCTTAAAATTGCTCCTTTATATCATCCAATTCACTTATTAGTAAGATGCTATTTTTATCAGATGACTTTATTATCTCCCTGCTAGGAAAGAATGCTTAAGATTAATTTTGTTAAATATAGGTAGAGGACTATTGATTATAATTTTGAGTTAACTCTTTTAATATTTCTGATTGATCTCCTAAAAAGTTATTTTCCTAAAACTCTTCACCAACCATTCCTATTTGGAATAGATATTATCTAGTATTGTTAGTTCTCTTCTTATTTCTTTTATCTAATGATAAATCAAGTATTATTACATCTAGTTCTTAATTGATGATGGTCAAACTAATATTTACTAATAATCTTCTCTTTATCAGGCTTATAATGAAGGGCATCGCATTAAAATATCAAATGTTCATTTGAATTACAGCAAAAACATTACAGTCCAATCAAGCCATATTAATTATTGTGTAGGATTTAGTCCTTCATATACGATGCTAGTTCCTAATTTAATTCTTAAACTTACTAAATCTTAACGACTACTTTAAATAGCTTCTAAGAAATCACTCCTACGTATTTTATATGTTTCAACAGGACCTAGACTAACAATTGTACTTGTTCTAGGGAGTCCAGTGAAAAATGATACTTCCCCGAATGTTTACATTTCTCCTAATGTTTTAATCCCAACCTACTTTGTATTGTTACTCTAATAACACACCTTTACCTACCCTCTTTTAATCAGATACATGGAATCATCATCATTACAATTTTGCCTCAAGATAATTTCATTGGGTTGAAAATACTGTAATTACATATTTTCTACTAATTTTTCCTAGATATTTTATGAAAATTAGGTCAAGACTAATATTTTCTTAAAATATTTAACGTTAACAGTATTCCAAAGAGCTTTCTAAATTTCTTAATCAATGTACTTTATTGACTTGGAATCAATCATGAAGTTCTATTACTAAAAATCCTTTTTCATCTCAAATTTGTAATTACTTAGAGCTTTTTTCATTAGATTTTAGTCTACTTAATGATTTAGCAGGTATGCTTTAAAATCAAAGTAGTTTTTTTACAATAGATATTAATGGACATTCTAATTAAAAAAGAACAATATGTCTAAAATTAAACTTATTCTATTTATTGTAAAAATCAACTAGACCAATAATGCCAATAACAATTCAAAGTTTGTTTCATATTCTAAATTACTAGAAAATGAAAAATATTGGCTTATGTATGAATTCAAGTAGTTCAAGTAGGAATTAATTTGCAAGCCTAAGGGATCAAACTAAATTTGATATTTATTGGAAATCGAAATTAAAGAAAATACATGACAGTAAGACACTCCTTTAATAAATTGCAATCCCAACCTAACACAAAGCTGTTACGAGATCAAAGTATTTAATTTAATTAATCTTACTATTAACAGATTCAATGTAATCAAAGCCAATACAGAAATTGTAAAATTCGATTCACAAAATTATAAAATAAAGATAAACGATAAATATTATAATAAATCTTGTAGTCCATATCTTCTAATATAGTTCTATTGTATTTTTCTTAAATGAGTTACTTCTACTCCGTTTTTGTAATAACAAGTATTCAAATTTAAAACTGAATTTAAAACAGTTAGCGAAAACAGGATTATTAGTAAAGTTTAAATTTCAATATTGCTGGGATAAATTAGAATAAGTGGTGAAAATATAATAGTTGTTAGATAAGTGATTTGCATCAACAGTTTCCAAAGTTGTCTAAATTTACACTGACTAGAAATAGGCACTGCAATATAGTATTTTAACCTTTGGAAAAAGTCTTTGCTGTTAGTATTTTCTTTGTGAATTGGATTTGAATAGGTTTATAACAGTGTATTGACATAAAGTTATTTTGTGAATAAATTATTACTAATTTTAATTTTCTCTACAAATTTTTATATAATTTAAGCCATTCTTAACTTTTGCTTCCTTTTTTTCACTGATGGAGAAGTAATTCTGCTCCTTTCCTATATAATTATTATAATATACTGCCAAAATAATCATCTACTATGAATTTTATTATTTACTTCTATTTGAATAGGAATCAAAAACCTAATGTTCTTTAATATCAAGGTCAAATCCATTTAAATCATAAGTAATTGAATCTTTTGGCTGACAAGGATATTGCATATTAAATTAATTTGAGGGCATCTTTTAATGTGATTTCAAATTTGCATTGATGGGTGAGCGAGACTAAATTCTTGAAGTGCTTGAACTTTGCAAATTTCCATACTCTCGAAATGAAGATTAATTCATGTTAATTTAAATTTATTTAATATGAATTTGCAAACATCTTTGTTGAAATATTTAAATTAAAACTGTTTGTATTTGAGAAAAAAAGACATTTCCTTTGAATAAGTAAATCGTATAACAAACTCAAAGATTTCCATGGTTCCGATAGTATTTTACAATGACAAGTGAACAGCTATTAGAATAAATTGAAGATTCGGCAATTATAAATAATGAGGCATATATTTTAAATAAATTAAATTCTTAATACTTTATTAATCATTCTTATACCTTTGTTGCCCATATATCAACTAAATTTATACTAACCTTACAAATAGGACAAGACTCTTTTAATTGAGCAATTTCTCCACATGATTTGCAAAGCATATGCATACACTTTTGTATGATGACTTCTTTGAGTTATGTTTTACATTCACTACAGCAAGCAGTAGTCTTGACTTTTGATAATTATGCCTATTCAAAAATGGTATCATCCTTCTTTAAAATAAGATAGCCTTTCACTTATTCCAATTGAGCAGGATTGTTTAATAGAGTCGATTAGGATTCGATATTGGCTTCCAATTCAATTATCTTTTATTTCAACCTATCAATTTCAAGCAAGGATTCATCATTTATTAGCTTAGATTTTTATATTTTTTATGCATAACAATCTCTCTCAATTTTTGTTGTGCTTTGCTCTGATAATAGCTTTTCATACTATGATTTATATAATTCTAATTGTTTAACTAATTCTCCATGATTGTAGTTTATTTATAACTTTTCTTGAGAGTATTTTTAATTCAGTTGTGTTTAATTGGCTCTCTATTATTGTAACTAATTGATTTACTCTTATTACTGTCTTTCTTTTTCTTTGAATTACATTCTTTCATTTTCAAACTTCGTTTTTTCTGCTTATTTATCTTATATTAAAACAGCCTCATTTTTCTCCTTGATTGATAACTATTATTCAATTATCTTAGATTTAGCCATAACTTCTTCATAGATTTTAGAATTGTAATCAGTTTCATCCATCATCATTTGCAAATGTCTCTTTTGGTCTTGAATTTATTTATCTTTTTTGCTGATCTCCTTCTCGAACTATTCAATCCTTTAATCCCTAGTCTTAATATACCCAATAAGTTCTTAAAATTTCTCCTTGAATTGTGGTTAATGTCTAATAATAATTTACAAGGCTTCTTGTATGCATTCCTTGTGTTTATTATGTCTAAAAGTCAATTATTCAATATTTAATTCTCCTGGGATTCGAGCCATTAATCCTACATTTTTCTATGAATATCACAAAATAATAATACCATTTCTATTTCATTTTATTTATTTTAAAGTTCCTAGAATTATTTAGTTAACTCATCCAAATTATTCCTTAGTTCTTTATTGGCTGATTTCAAAACATTATTTTCACCACTTTGAGCATCTGTAATCTTTTATGATTATTCGTATCTTTCTTTCAAATTCTAATTGTATCTCTCATTTTCATTATAAATATTTTTGATTCCAAATTGCTAATCACTTGAAAACTTCCTTAGTTGACAGATTTCTGATGTTAACTTTTGGATCTCAATTTCATAATTATTTCTCAATTAATTTATGTCAAATTGTTTTGAATTAGCCATTTCTTAATACTAAGTTTATAAACCCTATAATTATTAAGTCAATTAAGAGTTCACATCTATGAGATTCATGTTCTATGTCTGTAAAATACTAAAAGTTTCAGATTCCACAAATTGGTCTTCTCTGTATTCATTACTAATTTCTAATTCCTTAATCTTCACTTGCTATTAGGTTACTTATTATTAGTATTTTTTATTCTAGATTTAAAGTATTTAATAATTATTTAAAATTTATTCTAAGTCCTTAATTTCAGATTAAGTAAATGTAACATTCAATTAATCATCCTCTATGGTTGCCACCTTTATTTACTTACTTTTTAAAGTCTTTAACAATAACTGTTAAATTATATATGTACTGTTATTTTAGGATTAATATTTTTTATCCAATTTGGTTAATTACAACTATCTATCTTCACTATTGTCATACGATTATCTAACTATATCTAATTGATTATTGAATCCCATTTATTTTATCTATACACCACCACAAATACATTCATAATTTTCTTCCTCTTCATTCAATTTTTAATTAATTGATTTGTCATTATAATTCATCAATATTCTTAATCTTCTACTCAAAGTTTCGTTTTGCTTCTTGCTTTCTGCGTTCAGAGATTACAACTAATAAATGGTCTAGAATCCAAGTTGGCCGTCTAAATCACTTAATTTCTTTTCCTTTATTTTTTAGATCTATTTTAAATTTTACTCTATATCCTGATTCTTTTTCACTAAATCTTTATTTGTGCTTATAAGTTTCTTCACATATTCCATATAATCCTACTCTTCTAAATCTAATAATTAATTTGTTCTCTCCTTAATCATTTCCATAAATTCACTGTATTCCAGAGATATTTCAAAGTAAATATTCTCAATTATTCTCAAAAATTGCTCAAATTTATGACTAATTTACTTTTTGAATTGTCCTTCAATATTATTACACAGCAAGTACTGACTATTGAAGATCTAATATAATATATCTATCTTACATCATCCAAATATTAGAATGCATTTAGATATTTGTTTTCCAATAATCCTTTTTTCTTTACAACACTTTCTATTCTCAAACTCCTTTAAAGAAACCCTCGCCAAGCTACTTCCAAAAAGCTAAAAAACTTTTAATGTCGTATTTCTCTCTCCACCAACTCTGTGATTATTGATTTTTGTTCCTTAATAGTTTTTTTTAAATAGTCCATTCTAGTTGCCAATGAAACATTCTAAATTTTCAAGACACTATCATCAAAACCTTATTTTGTATATTATTCATTCTCCTAAATTTGAGGCACTGTAGGTAAATGTAATTACTTGAGTTGAAACATTTTATTAAAATATAATCTACAAAAATTAATATAAATAATTTAATATAAACTTTATATTGAAGTTTGAATTTCAGCATCTGCTATTTAAATCGTATGCACATTTTATCTATATGCTTAATCATGATTACTAATTTAAAGATTGCTTAAATATAATTTAATATAAGAGATAGGTACATGGCAAAATTCCCATTAACGAATGTAATCTAAGAACTCATTCCTATAAAAAGGCTCTCCCTTTCAAAACATCCAGAGTTCCCCCAATCTTGTTATATATAATAAAATGAATTTGAGGCTGAAAGCCTTGGATAACGATTTAAAAAATGCTCTGTTTGAAGTCCATTTCTGTAAAATTTCAATTATTATTAATAGAAATTTTAATAATTTATTTATTAATTATAATTTAGATTTAGATTATGTATCAATAGAGTAATGAGACTCAAATTGATTTAAATTTAATGAAAATAATAAAAATTCACTTAAGAGCTAGGAGTTTTTTATTAATCGAATCTAACATTTATAAATCTTCTTTATCCAGTATATTATTATCTAATGATCCATTCTATAAATTACATTTATAATTACTTAAAGTATTTTATAGGCCTTTTTTTACCTTTAGTGCTTTAAATAATCAAATGATTTTGGATTTGGCAAAGATGAGACTGATTGTTTTGCTTCATTATCATTTTTCTATAATCGTTTTACTGGAGGAATATTTTTAATGTTAAAAGTGGCATTTTATTTTAAATAAAAATCACCTACGTCTCTTGGAGATATTTTATTAATTGGCAACTTCTCTAAAGGTATGAGTTTTTGCTTTTTGACAATCATTTATAATTTCTCTTAACTAACACCATGATACTAGTGTTTAGATTAAATTATCTTTGAGAGAGATTAATATTTTTTATAATCAGATTAATGTTTGATGTTGTTTTTCATTAGAATTAACTTATCTTAAAGGTCTTCAGATACAGTAGGCTTATGATTTTATTTTACTTCCTATATAAATTATGTAAGCTTGTTTAATCTTTCCTATTTTTCTTATTGAATTCCATTTTCAATTTTTTTATATTCTTCCTTAGCCTTTTGGTATGAGGCTGAATGATATTAGGCTTTAAACTTATTCCATTAGGCTTCTCGTTCATCCCATTAGACTCTTCTTTTTTTCTATTTTTCAATATGAATTTAGTTAAATTTATCCTCAAATTATTTAATTTCTTTAGCATCAAATTCTGGATTCTTATTTTGAGCCAATATTTTCTTTCTTTCTTATTGCAATTAAATCATATATGTAGCGTCCTATTCTGCATACCTTAAAGCAAGATATTTCTCTTTTTTCTTTTTTTCAAATCTCCTATTTGCCTCTTCTAATTCAACCTTTCGCTTAGCCTATTGTTCTTCTAATAACTTTAAGTTCTTTTCTATTTCCTCTCTTTTTTTAGCATTTGTTGTTGATTAAAGTTCATTCTTTTTTTATAATATTATTTTTTCTTCTTATTCAACCTTCTTAAATTACTCATCTATCCTTTTTTTTCTTTATATTTATATGTCATTCCATTCTTGTATTTACTTTGATATGAATTCTTATCTTTATTTTTCTAAATTAGGATCTTATTGCCATTTTTCAACAAACTATTTTTATAAATTAATCGAGCTAATTTCAATTTCACTATTTACTAAATTAGGATTTGATCCAAATACATGGTGCTTTTATTTTCTAATTTGTTTCTTTAAATGTTCTATCTTATCTTCAAGATAAAGTAATTTCTAAATCAAATCCTGTCTTAAATTTTATATTTATTATTTTTATTCTATCTAATCTATTCTCAATTATTAAACCATCTCATCTAATTAAAAAATCTCAGAACTTATTTATTTTCTTTTTTTCTCCAATTTATTACAATCAATCTTCATCAATTGCTTTTACAACTTCTCAATATTATTTTTCTCCACTTCATTTTCTACAAATTCATCATCATCTTACAGGTGCACTTCTTTCCCAATCGAGACATTTTATAATATTTTATCAAAAGATTCTCTTACAAGTTTTGTGGCTACTTTCTTTGAATTTCCAACTATATCTTCATTTTAAAATTATTAAGAGAAATATTCATCGATGGATCCAAAATCTTGATGTGGACTCGGTAGCATTGATAATGAATCATTTAATTTCTACAGGGCTTACGCTTATTTTTCTATTTTTGATAACTAAAATTCATTTATTACTTACATTTAATGAGTCTTAGCTTAAAATTTATTGTGTAACTGAGTCCTTCACTTCCTTATACTATACATTTATAAAACCCTATTCCTTATTACTTTATTTTATTGTCAATTTTTGTGCACCCTCTACCCTCTAAATAATTGAGTCCCCAATAAATTAGAATTCATCATTAGGTTTTTACCAAACTTCAATTCTAATTTCTGTTGCTTTTTTATGTTCTAAAACAAATCTGTGATTCCAATTATTTCCCAAAACAGTTTATAACACTGTGGGTCCACATTTTAACTTTACTTAAAAATTAGTTTGATCTGATTCATAATTTATGGCATCAATAATTATCTTCATTTTTATAATTACTCAATATATTTTTATTGAAAAATTATTATTCGCGATAAAATGTGTAAATTGGCTGAATAAACAAAAATAGGATAGTTTGAAGGTTTTAGTTTTAGAATCAATATACATTCACAAAAACAGTTTTAATCAATCAAAATGTAATTTTTATAAAAAGAAATGTAAAGGTGAGATATCGAGTAAAGAAGCTCAGCCTTTGTACATAAATATATTTTTTGAACAGCTGAGCAAGTTAATGTATATTTTGTGGTTAAATTAACATTAAAGTAAACGAATATATGATTTAATAGAGAAAATAGATAATAAAAATTATTGATATATTATACAATTAACAAATATTATAGCGATAATGAAAAATTTAACATAAACACAAAACATATACTAATCATAAATCCTAAAAGATATTAATTACTGACATAAGCATTGTAAATTATCAAGTATTCTATTAATAAATTCTCATTCAGTTTTCAAACCGTTCATTTAAACTCAAAGATCAAACTTTATAGTAATATCTAGATTTATTTGTGAAGAAATAATGGGCAAAGTCTAGTTTATGATTTGAAGTTGAGGCAATGAATAAAATTATTTATATTTATTAGATTGCGAACTCTAAATCAAATTTAAAGTCATACCTTTTATTTATAAAGAAAACATTTATTTAGAAAATATTTACCTTTCTCAATATGTAATTATTATTCTTTACACTTGTAATAATATATTTATCTCATTATAAAATCATTACTTCTCTGAATAAATAGTGAAAGAAAATGACCTTCATACTTGAATCTAAATTAACTCGATATAAATAGATTATTTTTATATGTCGCTAATATCTTTAAAACTATTAGTATATAAATTTATAATAAAATATGTGGACTTTGAGAGGAATAATATTTGCATCAATATAATTCCATCCTAACTGCTTAATTTATCTTTTTAGTTTCATATCTGGACATTGAATTGGCATAAGGAGCTACGAAACAAAAGAGGTTTTTTATATTTTGCCAAAGCTAATATAATATCTTATCCATCTTATATCTTTTCCAAATCAAGAAAATCAGCAAGAAAATATTAAATATCATGCAATTTTCTATTTCCTAATGGATTTGTATGGATTAATTTTTTTAGAACTTTAAATATGGAACTTTTGGATTATTTCATCTTAATTACTTATTGGTTTAATAGTTTTAGGTTGCTATATCATTTACTAAACGTTTTTTACGATTGTATCATATTCAAAATTTTTTTTCAGCTGTTAAAAAGATTTTTAGCTTGATTCTATACTTGAACATTTTCTAGTTTCATAATTTTGTATTGCATTAATCAGCCTTAATTTGGTAAGATTTTATGATTATTCTTCGTTGGATTTATGCTATCAGTTTTTAAGGATATGTCAATATTTTTGTACTTACTTATTTTTATAAAAACATGGTAAGGAAAATGCATTATAACTTCATTATATACTCGACACTTTAATGAATATCTATGGAATCCTATATCTAAATTATGAATCTATTTTTTTTTGGTTTATTTTAGGTTAGATAGCTTTAGGATGCATTCATTACTGTACATTCATAATGAGCCTTATAATATTTACATTTTCTAATTACTATTTCTCAATATGCGATTACATATATTTTCTAAACAAAGTCATAGAAAGGGATGATTAAGCTGGATACATGAAAAATTTTATCAGACTTTATTTACTTACTTAATTAGCTCTTGCTATTTAATTTATTTTTGAGTAGTTTTTATTATCTGAAAATATATGGTCTGAACTTATCAAGACTGATATCATTTATTTTATCTTTAGAATCATATAATATTCATTCCATTTAATAATTTAAGAATATTATTAAGATTTTGGGAGTCATTATTATTATCACTTTACTGTTTATTTTTTAATGGATATTTTTGGGTTGTACAGTCTATTTTTAATTAGCAATTCGTTTTGGAATATACTGTTTTAAATAATATTGGGATTCATTATATATTAATGGATATTGATTAGGTATGTATATTTGAAAGTTCATAAACGTCAGTTCTCTGATAATATGATTAAATGTCCTCTTTTTAACACATTTATAATTTTTTTTATGCTTGAAATAATCTTCTCAATAATAGGTATCAAATTTAATTTTGAAGGAGTTAAATGTTATCTAATACTTCGTATGATTTAATATGGAATGGTTTTGTTAATTATTAAATTCTCCTTTATAATTTCTGACTTTTGGAAAGTGTTAATTACTATTATTTTGTTATTATTGTCTTTAATAACAGTATTATATCTTTTCATAAAAATGTTTCGATTTCTTTAACAATAAATTTATGTAAACCTATTACTTTTTACTTAGTTATTTGTTGATTTAATTATTATTGGATCACTTTTATTTTCATAATATTTAAAAAATAAGAATTTATTTTTGGAAGAGTATCAAAATGCTTAAGAAGACGAGTAAATATATAAAATGAAACAAATGTTATGGTGGTTATAAGAAGATGATATTGAAAAAATAAAAGTTGATCAATCATGTATTATATGCTATGAAAAACTATTAAATGATTCAGAAACATGTAAATTGGAATGTCATCCAACTCATGAGTTTCATATTTAATGTTTATAAAGATGGGAAGTTGAAAATTCTACCTGTCCAATTTGTAGATAGTAAATCAAAAGATAGATTTAAGCTTTAGTAATTAATTGATATTTCTAAGGATTTTTCGCTCAAAATGAAATTTAAATTATGTCAAATTTATTATTCCTAACCATTTTTAAATATAAAATAATATATTATAAATATCTATTTTAAATATATTAATTTTAACGAATATGATATTTGAATATACATTATCTTTAAATGATAAAATAAGAAGAGCTGTGACTTAATAACATCTAACAAATTAATTACAAAAAATTAAATTGAGAAAGCCAAAATAGGAAAGTCCTTTTACGATGCAATCACAATTTCGGAGATTAGAAAATAAAAAATGGACAGAAATTTTTCAAGAGAATCAAAAGATTCATCAAAACTTAACAAATGTCAAATCTGTATTAAATATAACTAGTGACCTATCTGACTTTCAAAAAATAGCAAAATTAAATACTTAAAATAAAACAAATAATATATTACCAAAATTACAACCTAGATGTAATTCATTGCAGAGAGTATGATAATTAAATTAGCACTTTATATTATTTTTACAAAAATCACTCGAAAATTTAAATAAAAATATTCTTTTTAATATTTATGCTTGGCCCTTTAAAAGAAAACTCTGACTAATCAGATTCTGAAGATATAATCGATGAATAAACCAACAATTTAATTGGAATATTCAAGGTTCGTAAATTAATAGATTCAGACAAATAACCCACTGATCCTCAATTAGTTAAAATATAGGATTATTTGAAATGTCCTATATGCTTAAGTTTATTTAAATAGGCAGTCTATAGTATTTATTTAATTGAACTCAGTAAAGGATTGTAGTCATAGATTTTGCAAGGAATGTATAGAGAAGAGTATAAGATCACAAAGAGAGAAATCTTGTCCGACATGCAGAAAAAAAATAGCAACAAGAAGAGACTTGCGTGTTGATGAGATTGTGTCTAAAATGCTCAATACTGTAGTTCCTGACATGGAATAATATCGCATATAGGAAGACTTACAAATATAATAAGAAATTAAGAACTTTAGTTAATAAAAATAGAAAAATGAGGAAATCTAAAAATTAGTCAGTCAAACTGATACCATACTATCGTGCAACGTTCAGCTCTATGCTCAAAATTAATTGATTCATCAAATCGATAAAAACTATATCAGAGCTCCTTTTAATACAACAGTGTCAGACATTATTTAATTGATTGGACTCAAATTAAATTTGCCTGAAGAATTCACCCAATATATTGACATTTACATCAATAATGAAATTCAAACACAAATGGACAAAACTTTGGCTGAACTAAATTCTGAATATTGGGGGAGGAAGGAAGATTTTTAAATTTATAATCCGAACGATTTTCATAAATGGAGCAGTTCAGAAATGAATATTGCTAATAGATAAATACACTATTCTATAGATAGATTTTATCAAGGGTATCTTTGAGTATCAGTTAATAAAAAATAATTCAAATTCCTTATAATTAATCTCCTTATTAAGTTTTCCCAATCGTTTATACAACAATTTAATATCGTCTTTAACATTATAAAGTTCAAAAAAACGTTGAAGCTAATTTTATACTAAATTTTACATCTTATCGATTGAAGGTGCCCTTTTTGAAAGGATCAAGTTTGTTAAATATTTAAAAAAGATTTTACTCATTCAAGAATTATTTTTTTTTTAGCCTAATTACTATTTCATTTTCATTCCATTAATTAAACAACAACTGAATGAATCCAATCGTTGTTTTAGAGAATAATTATGAGAGTGAATAAGAGAGAAGACTGTTTTTAGCTGGTTTCTTACAAATGTAGGTTGAGCTCATATTTGAAGGAGAGATAAATTCAGAGACATCTGAATATCTAATAAATCCATCTTAATCTTTATCTAAGAAATTAAATAACTCAATCACGTCTAAGTTTTAGAGTTATAATAATTCCAAAAAATAAGCAAATTCATGTTGATTTACTTTGCCTTTGTTTTTCAAATCCATAAAATGAAAGAAATCCATAGAATTGAAGTCTTTTTATTACTATAACTTCAACTTTATTTCTTCTAAATACATTTCCAATTTCAAGACTTCCAACCCTAAATCAATAAATCTTTATTCATCATTTAAGAAATTCTCCGTTAATTTTGTTGTTTATAGACTCTCTGTAATGGACGAGGCTCTTCTATTAGACTAAAATTTCTTTTTGTTGCTAGCTGAAAGGTTTCTGGATTAAACAATTTGACCAGCTTTATTGCTACTACCTAATTCATCAATAAAGATGTTCGAACTCTTAGGTTAGGAGATAACGGTCTATTTAGGAGTTTATAGAGCATTATTGGAATTAGGCTGCTATTCTGCTTTTTGTAGAGGTTCTAACATTCGACGGAAGTCATTCAAAGTAATCTATCCTGTTCTTTATTTATCTACTCGATAAAAAAATGCTATCTATGAATATATTATTGTGATGTACTAATTCTTCTTCGTATAACAATAATCCATTTCTTCTAAAAAATCGATCAAAATCCTTAAAATTAAGGATATTGTTATTTAGTGAATCCATACTCTAAAACATTTAATCTGGATTGTAGTAATTACCAAGTCTGGTTTTCAATCTCTCTAGGTTTATTGCTTCATTATATTCTCTAAGATTAATGCTGCAATTACAAATTGAATAATTAAGCTAATGTGTAATCGATCGATTTTTCTAATACTGCTTTTGTTGGCTGTTTCATAGCTGTGATCTCTCTCAATTCGCCATCAGTTTTTGGTAATATTATGTTTAGAAAGCTGAAAAATTAGGAACTATGAATCATACCCTTGATAATTAAGAAACTCCTTCAAAAATGTTTTATTAAACAATGTATTGAGCTCCTATACGAAAAAATCATTTTCTTTCAAAAGTTGTACTACTTATTCAGGCTTAATCTAATTTGTATTCATTGAATCTAATCTAGGCTTTGCAATATGAATTACCTTTTGAAACAAGCGTATGGATTAAAACTAGTTTTTCTGCATAATTATATTCTTATTTGTTCTGCTCTCCTCTCAGTTAGGCTTATTTGATTAATGATCTCACATAATAGTTATTGTGCATCTTTTGAAATGCTATAGGCCATCTTACTGTTAAATATAATTATAATTTAATAATTTTGAATAATAATATAACAAGATGATTATGATTCATTTATTTACGAGAATGTTTATATTAATCTTGGGAGAGAGGGTCTAAATTTAATATTCTTTAATATCATTAATCTTTTGAAATCAGTGAGGGAGTAAATAATTTATTAAGCTTTGAGAATATAGTAGACAGTGATTAAATTGAAAAATAAAATAAATATTATAATGAGATTAAATAAGATGATAAATTTTTATTTAAGAAAATACAGATTTTAAATAGCATAAGAATTTTTTAAAAAATATTGTGCCATTGTTTTTTTCAAGTTATACAATATGGATATTTTACTAATATTAAGGAAATGATGAAAAATTAAGGTTTGATAAGAGACTTTGAACAGATTTTAATTGAAAATTCTCCTCATCTAATAATAAAATCTGATTTGCAAATTCAATCAAATAAAAATATAAAATTTACCAACATGGATGACTCTAAAAAATAATATAGCAAAATCAAAAACGACTTAAGAGAATAAATTATACACAAGATCCTTAAGGAAAAAAAACCCATAATGGATGTAATCTAACATTATTATTTAGGTGGCCTAAGAGCATAATCTCTTACAATCCACTTGCAAATCTATCATAAACACGTATATGAGAGAAGGTAGGGTGGGAAAAAAAGAGAGCAGAGTCAGAAAACTAAAAAAAGTGATGAGGACTTACGAAGTTATACTAAATCCATTATATCCTCAAATGTCTACAATTGTTCAATCCTAAAAAATTGAAAATTGCGTAGAAAAATCAAAGAAAGGGTTAAAAGAGGAAAGTAATTAAAATGAAAAATTCAGTGAAGAATAAGAGCTCAACAATTTCTCCATAGTTTAATAATGGTGCGATCAGATTCAACAATAACTAATTTTACTATCTCATTCGAATTAGTTCTTTTAGAACACCGCGAACTTGATACAGAAATGATAGAGGAAAATAAAATTTAAATATATCATTCGACAATTATAATATATATAATATTCAATAATATATTTTATGTAAAAATGAATTTCATTTAAGCTTGTGTCGTTTTGTAAACTCATCGATTTGTTCTTCAAATGTAATATCTGATTTAGAGATATCCTTCAAGATAGGTTCATTGATTTAAGCATTTTTGCTAAGTCTGAGTTTTTAATTTAAGTTATGTAGCACTGTAGATAAATCTTTTTGCTGTTATCGATGTTATCCGTGCCAAGTCAAATCACTCGATATCAATGATGACCCAATAGACTTAATTTATCTATTGGTGCTGATTTGAATGGGTCTCAAACTACTCTATGATGCAAAAGTATCAATAGTATTTTGATCGTTATTAAATAAGTTCTTTTCAACAGCATATTGGTAAAAGTCAGATACAGATTTCTTTTTAGTGATAGATTTATGATGTCGATTGGTTATTGGAAGAGATAAGTTTTACTTATTATTGTTGACTTCCTTGTTTGTGTGTTAGGAATAATCCTATCTTTCTGTATTTTCTAGTCTTTAATTTAGATTAGTAAGATATTAATTATTTTAAAAGAATTTAGTATTTAATAAAGATTTGTCTCTAAATTCAGGATCTAAAAAGTTTAAATTGCTAGCCCTATCAATAGCTTTTTATCTTTCCCTCTCTTTCTATTTGAGCATAAAGTCTAATTTTGGATCTTTTGAATCCTCTCTAAACATATTCTAAACTTCCAATAATCTTCTTTGAGCCTCAAGTTATTTAAGAGTGGGACCTTGTATTTCAGCTTAGTAGAGATGTCTAATTTTAGTAAACTTGAGATCTCTAGGACTGAATTCGTCTCTCATGACAGTAGCCTTATATTACTTTGGCGATTTTAATTGAATTTTGCCAGTGACTGCCAGAGATTCAACTAGACTGTATTATTCAGCTTCCTTCTCTGATTTGGATTACTTTCTCAAAATATCAATGACTTTGAAACCATATATGATTCTTTTCCTCAATTCTCCTTGTTTTGAATATTATATGTTCCATTTGATTGGCAAAGGATGATTAATATTATACAAAGCAATGAGACTTCCAATTAGATCGAAGATTGATATTTATCCATCACTAGTAGAAATCAGAATGTATCTATTATCTAATTCTAAGAAACTAATAGAAATGATCTGTTTTTTGGAAACCTTAAACATGTGTAAGTTTTTGATGCTTGTAAAATTTTGAGGTATGACGATCTTTTAGGTTTCGCCTAAAGATAGTTATTCTCTGGCCTTCCTGAGAGGATTGTAATTGATTCTCTCATGGATTGGTTCTGTTGTTTCTAGGTTATCCAAATTCAAAGAAATTCTAATAACATTGCTTTCTGAAGTTGCAAGTAATAACTCCAGTTCTTTTAAATTAAATAGCATCTTGGTAACAAATTCTTATTCAGTCTCTTCAGTGATATAATTGTTTGACCCAACATCGTAGAGATCAAATATTTCTGATTCAACTTAAATGTGCTCTTTGATGTTGAACTTAACAAATATTACTTTCCCTTATATTGTGGAGACTGCTAATAATGGATAATTAGCTATGATAATTATGTTAGTGATTTCAGCATCAAATTCAAGGACTCCCAGACATTTGACAAATTCATAATCGATATAAAATAGTTTAGAGCCCTATGATAATAAAATGAGAGAATGATGAACTGATAATTCTAATTGGGAAGCTTCGAAGTGAGTAATTTCTCTAAGGATTTCCCCAGTCATTTTTTGAATTAAAATACTATCTTAACAAGCTGTAATAACTAATTTATTTAAAATATCTAACTTTAGGACATTAATATCTGAATGTCCTTTTAATGAAGAGATGTACTCACCATTATGATGGTAGATTTTAGCATTACCTTTTGAATCAGCCAATATGAATTTATTAAAATAATTAAGAGGCCTAAATTAAGTAATATCATCCTCAGATTCTGACAATAATCCATTTAAAATTGTTTTAATTTTTCCAGTATAAATATCAAGGAATATAATTTATTTTTTGGTGGCAACAATTAACTCATCTCTTTATTGATCAAATTCCACTTTAACAGCATAATTTTCAATTTCCTCATTATGTCTGATATCCAATTTAAGAATATTAACCCTTGACCCAAGAAAACATAACATATTAATATCTGACATATCCAAAATTTTAGTAATTTGAGTTTTCTTTCCAAAATTAAGAGATTATAGACATGAAAAAGTTCTAATATCCCACAGCCTTAAGGATCCGCTGTCATCACCTGAAACCAATACAGGTAACTTACCAACCATGAGAATAGATGTTAACATAGAAGTGTGTCCTGTCATTTTACCAATCTGAGTTACATCGTGATATTTAGGATTGATGTCATAAACATTTATGTATGTTGAATATCCACATGTAATGAATACTTAATAGTAGTAAGAATAGACTAAACTATGAATACCCCCATTGTCCTTGAGTGATAATGTGATTTTGATTTCTCCATTCTGGATATCCCATAAGGCCACTTATTTATCTAAGGAGGCAGTTGCAATCATTTTCATATGGACAACTTCAACACATTCAATAATATTTCCTTAGATGCATTTATTCTAAAAGATTAGACTAGCCGACTCATTTAATAGATCCCAAAAGTATAATCTAAAAGTGCTATCTGTGGTAATCCATTGATTCTGGTTCTCTAAAAACCAAATATTTGTTTGATATTCTTATGAGGCCAAAACAGTAGAGAATATTCTATATTTTTTGAAGTCACCCTCATACATACAGATGGAATGTGATTTTAGAGTCAAACCAATCTAATTATATAATATTTAAGAATACTCTCTGTTATCTATCAGACCAAGCAAAACTCAAAATGATGGTTTCTTTGTCTTCATGTTATGATATCTTAACCATTTGTTTCAATGAACCATCCACATGATAGATATTAATCTTTGAATCCAAACTATCAAGTGTTATAATTTGTTTGTTGCAATATACTCCTGTATGAACAATACCATTATGATGTCTGATTGAGTCATTTTACAATGAATTTGGAACTATATGAAATATCTCATTATCATTGCTACCGATAATTTTGGCTGATTCCTAGAATTGTCAAATTTATAACTTACCACATCTATTTCTCTGATCCTTGTTTTGTTCAAGTTGAATTTCTTCGGATCCGATATCAAACGTTATGGCACCATAGTATTTTCACTTGTATCTACTTAACAGACGTAACTTGTAACATCTTACAAGCTGAGTTCATTCTATTAACTTATTGCTACAACGTCTTTATATAATTCAATCAATCCCATCACTAAATATAGAAGTTCACTCTATTTATGATGCACTATCGGAATCATCAATTTTATGAACTCCACCATATTTAATCGTTTTGCAGGCCATTGTCTTTCCATCACCAATAATTCATCTCTCTCAATCAATTCCAGTATCTGAGACTTCTTCGATAACTTGAAGTCTGTGTTCTCAAAATCCAACATACTTACAAGTACTTATTCGATTATCTAGTTTACAGACATTCAATCAAATATTTATATATATATATAATAATATATCAACATAATATAATATCTATAATATCTCAGAACTATATTTAACCATTGCTAGGATTTAATTTACTCGGATCAAAAGGATAACCCTTGAATGGACTACCCTCAGCATCCCAAGCTTCCTTTAAAACTGCTAATTGTCACTTCTCCTCTGTCGTTGGCTATCCTTACTATTTCCTTTGTTGATCATACATATTTCTAATTGCTCTTTGAGTCTCAGGACTAAAAACTTCCAATGGTTTTGTGTTCTCAATTTTCGTTGCATCAATTTCTTAATCTCCTTGAATAACAGTCTTCCAAATATTCTAAGGTAATCGTCAATAGATTTTCCTCTATCGACAATACAGACTCGTCACTTTTTACTTTATCATACAAATTTCCATCAATACCTACTTTATCATTAACTTTCACTGATAATGTGTTCGTTGTAATAAGCACCTTGACCTAATAAATACTCTTAACTATATAATACATTCTTCTTGTTCGATCCTTCTGGAACTTTCATTGTCACCACAACATCATTTCCAAATTAGTTTCAACAATATTTTTCTGTTTCTCCTCCATTAACAGTATTGATGTATGGATCTATTTTTTGCTTGTGAGAAAGACTTTCGTACTTTTATGGATTCTTCTTTTATTTTATCTTCACATCCTATTAAACCTAACCCTCGTTCCATTAAACATATATCATTTACTATTGTTAACTCTAAGCTTCTTTTTGTTATACTTCTTATTCCTTTTGTTTCTCTTATAATTCCTTCTACTTTTTTAGTATAAACTAGTTTCTCTTTATATTCTTAAGCAGACTTCTTTTTATGCACTTTATAATTTTCATCCTAATATTTTTTAAATTTATTAGCCATTTTTAAGGCAACTCCGAGGTAAATCCCATTATATCTCCAGGATCACCTTAAAATGATAATCATAATAGTAATCGGTTCAAAACTGAATAATGAAATTAGCAGTCCTTCAATTCCTCATGTTTCTTTTGCTATTAAAGAGAAATGTTCATTAAATCTATCAAACATTGCAAATCAGAATTTATTTATTATTCAAATTTTCTCATAATATTTTATATATATTATGTGATTGAGTTCTGAAGATTTGTCAAACATCATAATTGTCATATTCACCAACACACCAACACTATAGAATAATCAAGATTTCTTTTGATTTCAATTGAAATACCTAAAATAATTTCATATTTTGTTTCTTAGTTTTCATTTATTTTTCTATTTTTTTAATAAAGTACTGTGTTTCATCCTAATCAAAATAAAATTTAAATAATTGAAATGATCATTCATTTGTTCAATCCAATGGATTTAGTTGTATTCCAGATGCACGGGTTACTGTTTATGAGATTCTTTCGAAATATCGAACTATGAAGCCATAAGCTATAATCAAGGGTATTTAAGAATTATACTAATCATAATTGTGTTTGGAAGAATAAAAAATAAATTATAAAAATATTTAATTAGATAATGTTTTACATATTCTATATGATGATATAATAGATGGCTGCTATGGACTATAACATCTCTAAAATTACTCCGTTATTGTTGATATATAGATATCATGGGGAGTGGGAATCATTAACAAATAATGTTTAAAATTACCTTTCTATAATAGCCATTTAATATTTAGAATAGACAAAAGGGGAAACATTTATATAATTTAATCCTCAACAAGATTTGACACAGAACGAGCTGTCCCTTGCTAAAATAGGTTCCTTTAATATCATTTTTCTTGATCCTATTTACTTTGATGAAAAATTAGTTGTAGGCTTATCCAATATCACTGATATGAATGAGACGACCTTGTAATGACTTATAATAATATTTAGGTCGTGGCATGGGAAAACAGATTTTGTATACTATAAATATTATAAAGAAAAAGGAGGATACCCCAATGTCTCATGCGAAATCGAATACGACATATAATTAAACTATAACGAAGGTATGATAGCGTTTAAATTTAACACTAGACGAAGTAGATTCCAAGAAAATCGATATTACCATCTAATTAAGAAATGAAGTCAGCGATAATAAAGAATGCAACATCCAATTGATTTCTCAATACCAGCTTTACTAATCAAACCACTATAAATAAATATTGTTTTACAGTGTGATGCTAAATATACTATGTGCAATACAATACTTTTGCGTAACTAAAATAATAGATAGTGTTGTAAGGGATGACGAGAATTCAATAGTCTAAAGAGTAACCATAATTATATTATTAAGATCTCTATTTTCTGCGTGGGCTTCGTGACGATTTATGATACATTCCTAGCAATTAAAAACTTGAGCTTTGCTTTTGGGGAAGCTGTAAAATTATCCACATATCACAATAGTATTTCCCATACTTCATTTTTCCTTCCTTTTTCTTCTTTATGCTTACTATGAATTGTGATCTCAAGCTATTATGGATCATTTGCAGAATACGATTCTAAGATTAATTCTTGGATTAGTAAAGTTAAAGACAATTTCTAACGAAATTCTTCATTATTTATTGTATGAAATTGATTTATTAATTTTAATTAGATGTTTCAGTCCTAACATTGTTTTTGTTGTTGCAAGAATATGAATTGTATAACTCATTCTTACTGGTAATTGGATTCTTCATGACTCCTCAAATAATCCATAACATTAGATAAGGAATTAATCCAAAATTCATACCAGAGTATATTTTTGGATTTTTATCTATAAATATTGCTGTTCCTGTATATTAATTTAATAATTTAAGTTATACTTCAGAGGATATCCCAATAACTTTAGAAGATTAAAGCCATCACCTGAATTTTGTGTTTGCTTGGTTTTGATTTATTTGATCTAAATTTTGATCCTATATTTGCAATACAAAAAGGGTCCTCGCAAGATTATACCAAAGTGTTTATTACCAAAATAATACAACTACTATTAGGATTATAAAACCTAGGAACTTGAGGATTGTGCAATATGTTTGTTACATCTAATGATTGAGCCTGATTAATAAGAATAAGATTTAGACAGAATGTTGGTTAGTAAATTGTTGATGATTACACCCTGTGGACATAAATTCCATCCTTCATGCCTAAAAAGTTGGATGGAAGTAAAATTATCTTGTCCTACTTGCAGAAATACTATTCCTCCAATGTGTGAATGAATTGATATACATTATTGTTTTTTCAATAATCTGAAACATTTTAAATGCCTTTTATTTATGATTCATACATTTCCTACACATTACTTAGATATCAACTCATAAGTATCTTTAAATTGAAAAATTATATTAATCTTTAATAATCTCTGCAATAATTTAATTCACTCCATAACTGTATAACCCTTTAGCTATTAAACTGTTATAAATTATTAATATTTTTATATTTGCCTATTGAATTTGATGTTATAAATTTAGGATTAGTTGATTCTTTTGATACTTTCTTTGCAATTATTATTAGAATGTATGGATTTCTTATAATTTTATTAACTACTAGCATCAATTTCTGGGTTCGTTTGTTCCTTTTATTAAATTTTTTATTAACCTTTTTAAGTTTTCAAATATAAAACTCTTCTTATTAAGGCAATTAAGGAGGATTATAAAAAAGTTAAATTAATTAACTTCAAAACTCTGATTCCTATTACCATTAAGGTAAGGATAATAATGGGGTCCAAAGTTGCGAATATTTGGAATTAAATTAATTAGCTATTGGGCATTCACCTAGATGAACTTATGAAAATGTTGAAAAATGAAAAAAATTGTTTTCTATGATCAGGTGGAATCCAATATTTATGAGAAAATACATCGTATAGTTTTTTGAAGTCCTTTAGCTAGCTATGATTGATAAAAAAATTGAACAGAATATAAAGACAAAATAATATGTAGAGAAATCCTACTTAAGTTAAGTTTTTTTCAGAAAATAATAGATTATTTTCTTAGTTTAGGAGCATTTGCAAAAATCATCTACTACAGTTTAAAATTCACAACAAGACAGAGATAAGATTCTTGTCTCAGAACGTAACAACAAAAATAGATCTAATAAAGGAAGTGACTAAAATATTAATAAGAAGTTAATATAGGGTTCTTCTTCAGGATCGTAAGATAGTGAAACAATAGATGAAATCTATAGAATGATATTTTTCAGATTTATTTAGCCAAAAAACCTCTTATTAAAAATAATTTGGATTTTGATCACTAACCAAATGGCATTTTATATATATTTTGAATGTATGTTTTTAATTGATCTTCATGTATATAATAGATCATTATTCTACTTCAATCCAGCCTCCTTCGATATGTCCACTCATTTGAATCAATGAAAACTAATTTATTAATAAAATAATTACATCGAAGTTTTGGATACAGGTTTGATCTGTTGTATAAGTGACCTTCTTTCCATTGTAATCGGTATTCTCATATAAAGTGACTCTTCCTTATGGTGGAATCTTGATGGATCTAATTTGTGGAGGAATGTTGTCTGACTAGAAGTTTGGTGATTTTGAACAAAATTCAAATGAAGCTCCCTTAAAATCACATTCACTGTAGAAGATTGCACAGGCCTCCTTTGGTTCATACCATAATTTGAAGTCTCTGAAACCCCATGATTCTAATTTTGTTAATAATAGTATTACCATCTATGGCATCTTGATCCAAAGTGGATGTATATATGATTTCAGCCTTTGGAGCTTGATGATTGAAGATTTCATCAATACTAGTGAAACCATCCCACCAAACACCTTATCCACAGATGTTGGCACCTCCAGTTTAAAGATTCCAAGATGTCTTCCATACTTCAGTGCCATCGACCTTAACAATCATGAATTCTCCATCCCAAGAGTCAATCTTATAGATTGTTGATTACAATCTAAGTCTCTTGTGTGGTGGAATATCAAATGTTTTGGTAGCCTTAGCACCAATACCCATAATATCAAATCCTCCAACCATTGATTTACCATTGCATTCACTAACTGTTTTTCCTGCCTTGTTGCCTGTTAGAACCCAACCGTTGATTCCTGTGAATTTATCTTCCAAGAAAGATTGTTCCAAAAGAACAAAGTTTGGTAAGGCTTGACATTTGCCTCCAACCAAAGCCCAATTGTTGGCACATTCTATTTTGAATATATAATGATATAATACTTTTGCAATCAGAATCCTTTGGTCCTGTACACTCAGCACAGTTATCAGCACAAGCAGCATAGAAGATGTACAAATCTCTCATACCAACAGATTCATTTCCTACTTCATCAAGAGTTGAAGTGAATTCAAACTTAGCTTGTTCACCAGTATGATCAACATCAACTTCTGTTCTAGCGAACATTGTTTTCCATTCAAATACTGGGCAACCACATATCTTACCAAAATAACCCTCAAACCATTAGAATCTTCTCTCCCATACTAACTTTCCATCAATTTTGATTTAAGCAGCCTCGTTGTCCCAAGAATCTAACTTAGCCCAAAGAACCTTGATCTTGAGCTTGTAATGTGGCTTGAACTTTAGAAGTTTACTGACAACTGCTCCCCTCATCATTTTCTCAAGACCTCCAAAAATGCCGACAGCTAAATTTATAATTTAAGAATAATTACGTCCACATTATGTAGAATGAGCCAATCCACCAGTTACTTCCCAGCCATCAGCTCCTAATTTATTAGAATCTAATTCTGTCCAACTGGAAGCGAAAGATTACCAGAAATTACAGTTCTCTGACTTATCATCAACCCTAGCAAGCAGCACATCCATTTGGGCATTTTTCAACTGATAAAATAAAGTCTCTGATAGCCCATGATTCCTAAGTAAAATAATAATTGTATCTTACATTGTCGGCAGCCTCATTCAAGTTGGATGTGATGACAATGACGGCTGTTGGACCAGTGTGCTTAATGTTCAAGTTATGATTAACGACCATTTCCTTCCAGTCACCTCCTTGGCCACACTTTTGTCCCTCCCCTTCGTTGTATTAGAACTTTCTTGACCATGCTAATTGGTCATCAACAAAGACATAAGCTTCTTTATGTCCCATGAATCAATCCTAAAATGATATAGTATGTATATCATACTTCCAAAATTAAAGTTTAATGTTTATATATGAATGAGGTGGAAGTTCAAAGGCTTTGCTTGCAACCGCCCTAGCACCGAATTTTCCAAAGCCTCCAAACATCTTAGTGCCACTGCACTCTGTTACATGAGCTGGGGCTCCAGCAACTGTCCAACCTATATTATTAATAAATTTTGTCACCATCTGCATCTGAAAAGTCATTAGCTGTGAACGATTAGGAAACTGCAACCGGTTCTCCAAACACTTAGACTGCAGTGAATGCCAATACTACTAAGACTAGAGTCTTGCAATTCATAAAAATAATTATGCTGTTTTTTTTGTAGATTATTTGCTTAAAAACGATGATTATCCAGTTTATGTTTAAATTTAAATTAAATCATTAATTCTTAAAACATTATTATCGCAACCTACAATGTTTTCAACTAAATAAAGCTTTTTTTCTGCAACTATAAAATTGGGTACTTTTCCTAAAGTAATATCTTAGAAGATATTAAGTACAGAAAAATTCTTGAATAAAAATATTTTTCATTGAGCTAATTGGATGATGAAGATATTTAAATAAACCATCTGCCCTTCCTATAATCTATTAATTGGAGTATGTGTCTTTTAAATAGGATTGATAAAAAAGGGGGATATTTACATTTTTTTTTTAATTTATAACCTTTAGGAAGTTTTATTCATGAAGCAGAGGCAGATTGGTTTTGGACTATATAAATTAGAGTCAAATTGAAGAAATTCATAATTGGGCATGATGATTGATTCTATAAATAGATTTTATTTAATATTATTAATTATTATAATTTTATATATATATATATAGTTGTTACTCATACATATTTTATAATATATATATAAATTGCTAATAATAAGAAACACAGATAGTGAAACTTGGGAATAATTCAATCACGATCCAAATAGAAGGATTAATTCTTTAAATATCTTGAGAATAAAGATGCTCTCCGTATCATGTATTTGGACTCAGAAATTTTACTTTAGAACTTTGAGTAAATATTATCGAATTATCTGCACCATTGAAGTTGGATCCTTATAAATTCCATAGATATGCTGAGATCTCTGAATGAGTTTTACTTAAAAAGATTAATTGATTTATTCCCAGATTTGGGTTGGGTTGTTCATTTGGAAAGAAGCAATATTTAAATGAGAATAAACAAAATTTATTTCAAATGAAAATGTGATCGTCTTTTAAAGTAAGTTCTGTTATTTTCTGGCCAGGCCAGCGCAGTTTCAATAAAATTTCTTCTATAAAATTAATTAGCAATTTTTTATGAATCCCTAAGTCAGATATAGGCCTCCTCTTCCTAAATTCGACTAAAAATTAGTAGATATTAAAAATATCGAAGAAACTAAATAGAAGTCTGTGTTATAGAAGTCAGACAAGAGAAGGTTTAAATAAGTGAACCTTTTGATTGATGAGATGCTCAAAAAGCTCACACAAGTTAATTTTTAATTCCTGTAAAATTTAAACCAAGAAAACATCAAAGTTCAATGTCTAGAGATATTGGGGGATGAATTAATAGAAAAAGTAAAATCGAGAAAATATTCCTCGATAGCTTGTGCTTTGATTATCCACTCCCTAAGAATATTGCTTATCCCATTGAGAATCAAAGAAATTACTTAAATTATTGATGTGGACGAGAAGCAAGTTCGCAAGATCTTAATTCAACTGAATTTAATTAAACCATTCAACGAAGACGCCTTTACAATAGCTTTCATGATTAGAATTTGTACTTGCATAGGATTTAATCAGAAATTTTAAACTTTATGCAAATTCTTCTATTCACATCTGAAGAATTTGCATCTCGTTTAAGGAGAACACGAGCATGTCATAGCTTCAGTCTTGGTTAAACTAACAGGAGATTTCATATTCAAAGAGAAGGGAGGAATCAATATACACACAGTATCTGAAATCGCTGGATGTTGTGAGATCTCCCTTAAAACTCTCTTATCAAAATTAACACCTTATAATTAAACTATGTATGAATCAGCTTTTGAATTTTATCAGAGAACTAAATGAAAGAATGGGCTTCTATTTAAATTTTATAGTTAATAATTATGATGGCAAATTAATAATTCATTCATACAGAATTTCTTAATCCATGATGATGTCATCTGCCCTTATATTTTCACCCAATGGATCCTCATCCTAAACAATGAGAGTGTCTCCTACTCTAAGTTTTTTTCTATTCTCCTCATTTATGATGATACATCTCAATTAATAATTAATTATTACCCTGCAGAACATCCATCAACGGGAGGTACACTCCAATCACTTGGTGTGCAACAAGCGCATCCGTGAATCATAATTTCTGTTCTTCCACACATTCTATCTTAGTCGTTGCCGTCTATCCAAAAAGAACAAGGTCTATCCACTGGAGGATTATGCATAGTATTTTAGCATGTTTTTATTGTATATGTATTTGATGGGGCAGGTCCTTGATTTTTTATACATTAAGCTTTTGGGTCATTTCTATACTAATTATGAATTCATATAATAAATACCTTTCCGGCCCCAGAATACCCAAAAGTATTAATTTATGACTCTCCACTTCCTCCATAGAATCTTCCAGTATTGGTAAAGTAATAGAATGTCATTGGAGCTCTTGTTTTTAAATCTTGGCAACATGTTTGACCACAATTTCCAGCCTATGCTATGGCAACAAATAATAGAGCAAGAATATATTTCATAAAAATTGATAATTTTTATAACTAACATTTTGTTTGCGTAAAAATATCGGTAATCTTCAAACAATTGTTCATGGATATAGTAATTTTTCAATAATTGGAGTTAAATCCAATCTTAATTTCTAATTGGCTTCATTTAAGATGGTATATACACATTTAGATGATGTAATAAGAATAAGATTTACCCTTCAGAATTTGATCTTTTGATGGCTTAATCTAATCTCATTTGTATAAATTCACATCCATAATTAAATATTTACATCTATAATTCATCTAATAATAGGTAAATTCTGTCTTGAATTACTAAATATCCAAATGTATTTAAATATAGAATAATATTCTAAGGAGCAATTAATAAAAGTCCCCTCATTTTAATGCATCGAAATATTTTATACTATCTTTCCTAATTCAACATATTGTAGACTAATATCCTTTGACTCAGTTGCACAGTCTCCTCTTCCCCCAAATAAATCTCCTTAATTATATATCGTTTTTATTCTAAACTTTAGATCCAATAACAATAACATCATTATCCATTAATGAATGTGTAATTAATCAATAATATTACATAATTGAATTATAATTCTATTGATACTTATCTATTAATATGAAATTTTTTATATGAATTATAAAATATAGTGGGTAAAATATTTAATTTCATTTTTTAGTATATTTGAGTTTCACAATTTATGATCCCAACTTAGGCTAATTAAGAGTAGACAAGTTTTTGTATGATTAAGGTCTTATAGACTTAATGGCAGGTTCTATAGTACGATCTTCCCCAACAATATCAGATTAGTAAATAGAAATTTCATCTTCTGGTGCTGATTCTTAGATTGATTCCCTATTCTAATTGGAATGGTAGGAGTTCTTGAATCTGGTAGGCTAGGTGTTGTGTCGTTGTGACTATTAAGGATGGCATTCTTGGAATGAAATATGAAATAAAGGATATGATAAATCTTTTTCAACGTATCCACTTGCTTGAATAACTCTGCGAAATAATTATTTAAACTTCTCATATTCTTGGGGGAAATCGGAGGCATTGCTGGTTTTGACTAAGTTTAGGAAGTGAATAAACTCAATGGGAGCTGATTTAAAGGTGATTTCTGGAATGATGGATAATTTAATATTCTCCAGTTTTTTGAGTTTCAACGCTTTGTTGTCAGCTTTAACCTTGAAGACGGTAGAGTTCGTTGCATAAACTAACAAGATGTAGGCAAGTGATTCTAAGTCGTCCTTCGGTGTGGGAACTAACAGTATAATGGCCATTCTTACATTGATTCAAATGTTGATTAATACTCGAGTATTTATTGAGAAAATGCTTGTTTGAAGTGGATTTATAGTTTTCCAAACAGTAGATTGACCCATGTTGCAACTTGAATTTGGTAGCAAATTTGAAGTCACTAAGTAAGATTTCATTACCATTAGTTGTAAGTAATAGTTTTTTAGGTCTGATGTTCCTGTGGACAATTTGGTGTTTATGGATGGTTTCCAAACAAGTTAACTAGAATATCAAAGGGTGAATACAGTTTATATTGCTATGAGACACAATATAGGCAGAGGTATGGATTTGGACAGATAATTGTATATGAGCTTAATGGAGGGTCCATGTCTTTACAGGATTTGATAGTGATACATTTGACCACTGATGATCTATTCTCCGCAATTGACTAAGATTGGGACACAGTTGGCTAAGAATATGAGATACGTTTATACCATCCTTCAATCTTAATAAAAATTACAGTTCTGGGATTATCTCATTTTGTTGGGTTTATCTTGAATAGTTAGGGGATAAGTACCTTTTCATCTTAATTAAGTAAAACTTATCTTTGTTATCTGTTTAGTTGATATCATCAGACTCTTTCTGGTTGATGGCTAGCTATCTTTTAACTTCATCAAATATTACCTAAATACATGTTGTATTATTTCCCTCTGTAAATATTTTTGATTATGCTGTATTTCTAGTCAATAATTATGGAATTGGTTGTCTCAGTAGTGCTTTTGGTTTAAGATGTATTCAGCATTTAAATAAAAATTATATAATGTGAAGTTTCAAAGAAATTGCACCTTTAAAACATTGGCCAAGATGGATATCCAGTATTTAAGGTGTAGGTACGAATTGGGACTGATATGAAGGGAGTGTGAATTCCAAATACGATACTTTAATAAAAAGATGTTAGGGATTTAGATAAATATGAAACATTATGAGATAATATTTTTATTGTATATTTTTTAATAAAAATATAATTTCTTTTATAAAAATGGATTTTTAGCATCATACTAATAGCACTAGGTATTTGAGTGTGATTTATTGAACAAGCATAAGCGGATCATCATCTCCTAGTTCCAAAAGAGGAGTTCAAGAGTGTTATCATGATATATTTCTGGAGAAGAGATAGAAAAGGAGTAAGCAAAATTGTTATAGAAGTGGTTCTATAGTTCTGGGATCAGTGAAGGAAGTATCGGAAGATATCGAGGATTATCTTGTAATTTTGAATCATATTAGAGATTTCAAGGATACCTCACATCTAGATTTAAAATGACAAGTTTGAGTTCAGATAAAATATTAGTCAGAGAGATAGATCATCGCCTCTGCTCATCAGATAAAAGGAATACAGGAAGAGGAGGGCTTCTTTGAGTCCTCATGGAACCAATGCGTTACAGAGAGTTGAGGAAGTCAATGGAGATGACGATGAACTCAAGAATAAATGCATCTTTAAACTAGGATTGATATTGGATAAGAATGAATTTAATGATAAATAGAAAAGATCCTCAATCCTTAAGGAAAGAACTAATCATGATGTAATCCAAATTTATCGAGATGTAGCCAAATTTGTCCATTCTTGAAGATGTTTAAGAAAATGTTAAAGATTAACCCACATTTGCTAACACCACACTGAAATTGAAGGTGGATGAAGTGGATTTTGGATAAGATAAAAAACAATGGGCTCCCGAAGAAATTATTGAAATAATTGAAGAGGAAAAACCAGATACTATAATTAATGTCAAGGAGAAGGAAATGTTTTAGAAGGGTATTACTATTAATATAAGATAGTTAAAAAAATATTACATGAGGAACGAGATTTTTTGAAGAAAATATTAAAAGGTGAAATGATAGAATAGGACGATATCAAAAAGAAGTAAGAATTTTAGATGCAAATTGGAGAAATCTATTGGAAACAATTGATATAAGAAGCAGAGGAGTAAGTCAATAGCGATGAAGAGCATCAATGATTATTCTATATTATTAATTATTTTACAAGCACCACATTAATTATTTCAAATCTATAACGTAGTTTAGAGAACAAATTCCGATGTGAAGGAATAGGAACATATTATGGAATTTGAGTGCAAAGATAAACGGTGTCACATTTTAAACTTGAATTATGTGCAATTAAATTATAAACCATCAAGAGTATATAATAAATTTTAAGTATTTATATAACAATTATGTGATTATTTCTAAACATGCTACTACGATACTAAATCATTAAAAATAAGGATCTTCTAATAACTAGGTTGCATTCGGTCTTTTACTAGTGTCTCTTATCAACATTTTTAGAATTAACTCTTTCCCAGGCCCATCGTATTTCATTTTTATTCTATAATTAATAGAAAATATCCTACTCCTTAGTTTCTATCTAATTAAATAGTTCCAACATTATTTCACTTTAGAATGGCAATTTCAATTCTACTATGCAATATAGAACTACACCTAAACTCCAAACATCTGCCAGATGACCATTATATCCTGGAATTTCACTCTTTTTATTTTCCCTTAAGCACTCTGGAGCAACAAATTGGAAAGTGCCCTCTGTCCCTTTGACTCTGTCATTTTGGGGAGTCAATTATTGGGCTGAACCGAAATCGCATATTTTAATCTGATGATTTTTGGTCAAGAGGATATTATGGGGTTTAATATCTCGATGTGCTACATATTGTTACTATAGATATTGCAGACCCATCAACATTTGCTTGGCATAATCTTTGAATGTGAGTTCATCGAATTTCCATGAGGCTGTGAATATTTCTTATTTGCTTTCCCATTTCAAAATTTACCCCATTTCTGCAAATTCTAATACCACATACAGTTTCTCTCTCTCTTCGTCATCGTAGATCTCGTGCAACTTAATTATGTTGGGGTGATCCAACCTTTGATGGATTTCTATTTCTCTATACACTTCATCTAACAATGAAACGTATTTAGTTGCTTAAAATAATTCCATTTTCATTTACTTCCGTTGGGATTCTTGTACATTTTATTCTTCTTTTTCAGTATAAACTTATTAAACTTTTTTATTGCATATTCATGATTATCCTTGATTGCTAACTTAATTTTCCCATAAGCTCCCTCCCCTATTATTTTGATCACCTTGTAGCCGTTTATGATTTTCTTTTTCTTAAAATTCATTATGACATTATCTTACATCATTGGGATCCCTCTAATACACAATCTCCTTGGTTTTAAATATTTTACATTGCATATTCATTTAATTAAATAAATTAATCAAACTAAGATGCATATCATATTGATTAAATTAAATTCTAAATTTGAATCCCATATTTCAAGAGAATCAAATTATATAATCCATCTCATCATTTAGATTATTTCATATTATGAAAATATAGAAATCTATATTAAATAGAAAATATATATTTTTGATCTATTTATTTCAGTCATTGAAATACATAAGAATATTCAATAAGAATGAGCATCTCAATTTGTCATTAAATTACCTAAAGAAATTAATGGTGATTATATTTCACAATAATATTATTGAAAAATTAAATTTATTAAAAATAACTCTATGGTTTTAAATTAATCGATAATGACAATCAAATATTCAAATATTTGAAAGAATTTAATCAACATTTTAAGAAACATGGGGATTTATTGTTTAAAATTTAGACTCAGAAAATTTTGAGTCGTGTAATTTTAAAAATCGAGAAATTGTATGTCGATATTTTTATTTAATGAAAACAAAATTGAGTTATGAATTCATTCCTTGGTGGTATTTTCTAACTTTTATTTACATTAATAAAGTTCATTTTCTAAAATATTGTTCTGCTCAAGTAATTGAGTTCTTTCGATATTCAATAATTCGCATTTAGACTTTTAAAGGGAAATTTATTCTAAAAATGTAATCATTAATACTCACCTTCTAATTGAGAAAGCCTTAATTCAAAAACATCCACAATATCATGTTGGGGCACTGTGATATAATGGTTAATAATTTATTTCAATGGATTTATTGAGATTTAGAAATCTATTTTTAATTGAAATAGACTTTGTTTTAATGAGAGGTTTTCTATTTTCAATTGTTGCAATTACTCCAACAGCCTACTATAGTTGTTCATCTGTTGGTATTTGATTTGAATATTCTAGCATTAGAACTTTAATAAATACATCTAAAGAATTGACTCGATTTTGTTTGAGTGTTTTATTTTCCTGAGTGAGATAATCCACTTTTTTTGTAAGTTCAATGATTTATTGCTGCAAATTGTGAATAAGACTTCTCTCTGATTACAAACAAGGAACTGATTTTTAGTGTTTTTCTCGTTTTTAGTTATTACAAAATTACGAGAGCACCAACTAGTAACTTGTTGGAGAATGTTCAATCTTTTTAGATGATTATTGTGATGATTGCTTTGAAGAGGCAGCTAAAAACATGAAAATAATAACTACTTGATGGAATGTTTCGTATTCTGTTATCGGACATTTATATTTATATTGATGTAAAATTAATAATTTTTGTCATCACAGTTTTGGATACTCTATATATGTTCAAAAGGTAATATAATATTCTAAGTATTTAACTAAATAATTACAGTAGCAATGATATATTGTAATATTCCCTGTAAAGAGCATAATAATTAAATTATGACTACTCATAAATTGATGTATTAAAATAACTAAAGATCGTATATTTCTTATTGATTTAAGTCTCACTTTAAAAATTATTACAAATATTTATGAATCCAGAAAACATTAAGGAAAGTAAATTTTGATAATATTTGACACTTTGGAGTCTTGTTATTTTGAATATCAAATCATATACTAAGACATTATTTATTATTTTTGTTTATAATAAAATGCAATGGAGTTATTAAGTACAAGTTTACATCAAATAGAAAAAGAAAAACTGCATTCCAATTTAGTATGAATTTTATTATTTCACTTATGTAACTAAGAATTATAGATTCCGAAAAAAAATAAATCTTGAATCATTTTTAAAGAATTTTGCTAGGAGTCATTTTTCAAAAAAGACTAAACTCAAATAAGTATTAGCAATTAAATGTTTACAGCTAACTCATTGTGGAAGAGATTAATCTTACAATCTGATGAAAATGAAGAATAAATGGAAGAGCAGTAAAGTTATAAAAGCACAAAAGTAAATAATATATTATTTACTAAAATCTGTATTGAATTAATTGTTTATCCCTTAAGAAAATAATAGAATAAACAAAATCATTCAATTCTTAGTTTACCATTTAGATTAGAATTCGTGAACAATAAGTATATGCAATATTCAGAAGTATTAAAATTCAATTATCATTCTATTTTAGATATTCCTCAGCAATCCTTTTTAACCTCTAAAGATTTCATCGAAATTTAAGTTAATTTTAGTCAATTCTATTTGATTTTAATATAAGTTTATAAATAGTATGAAAAGGAGTCTCTGAATCACAATTGCTACAATTTCGAAAGTCATTCATACAAAAATTTATAATTGTTTCTTTTGCTACTTATATTTAGGGTTTTGACTAAATAAAACAGAGATTGCAATTCTATGAATTAACTCTCAAATATAATGTTATCTGATTATTAACTAAAATATGGAGAGATTTGATTGGTTAAATGAGTCTAGGATGAAGGAATCTAAATGAAAAGTTTATGATAAAATTGATTAAAGACTATCCACACATAAAATCAAAGTATATTTTGAATTTTTGAATATATTTCACTATGACTATAATAATCAATCAATTCAGATAGTTTGAGATCGTCCTACGTACGGGGACTTCTTTCTATCTACTTTATTGATAGATAGTAATTACAATAAGTCATCATCATCGTTCTGCTCTTCGATTTGTAAGAATTCAGTTCGCAACTATGATAAATTATGGATCAACAATTTGTGATTATTGAGTATTGTTGCCATTGGTAGAAAGGTCAATTGTCTTGTCATTTGCTTCATTATCACAGGTTGTCTTATGAAATGGGATGCTATTCTCAGAAACATTATTAATATTAATGGATTAATTTCTTAACGAATTTGAACAATATTGCAGAAATATAGGGATTTTGGAGTAGGAATCAAATTTTGAAGAAAAAGCCGATGAATTAGGCTAAATCTTATTCAAGCACATACTGAAACTAAATAAGGAATCATTAATGTAATTGTCCAATCGAATTGCAAAACAATGGTTGGATCAGCAGACTACAAAGACTGCTTAACCAAATAGCGCAAAATAAAATACTAAGAGAAGCAAACATAGTTAATCAACACCCTAAGAATCTATGAAAAGTATTATAAATAGCAATATTTAATCAACAAATTATTTATATGATCAATATATATAAAAAGAGGAAAACAAAATTCTAAAATCTCAAAAGATTATTGAAGAATAATTGAAAGAATGTACATTTTAACCTTAAATCCTAAAAAAGAGTCAGCAACTTGATACCAACGTTCCAGTGCATGATAGATTAGCCAAATTTGGAACTGATTAAAAACTAAAATAATAAATTAGCTCAGAAATTAAAGATAAAAATGATCTAAAATAATGTACATTTAGACCCCAAGTTAATCAAAAAGCCAATAAGGTTTTGGAAGGTGATCCATTCTCGAGGCTCTATTTAAATGCATTATCATAACGATTATCCAAACCTCAGAGTCAAGAAAAGGTCTATTCACATAAACCCTAACTAATCAGTTAGCCACCCCAATAATAATTAGGCTACTTGAGTGTACCTGTAGAATAACGTTTATATAATAACTTCTTTGATCAATAGCAAACCCTTGTATAGCAATAAGAAGTGGAGAAATTGGCTGAACTTGAAGAATGCACATTTACACCGATGATTAACTAGTATGCTTCAATCTCAAATGGAGTTGAAAATAAATCGAAGGTATTTGAAAGACTTTACAACAAATCTGCAACTCTAAAATCAAATTCAGAAATGAAAGATCAGACTCAAACTCTAAATCGATTTTCCAGTAGTAAATAATCCGAATAGATCATAAGAAATGCTAGTTTTGATAAATCTAAATATGTATCTTAGTTTTAGATTGAATAATCTCCATATGATAGATTGCATGAAGAATATAAAAGAATTTAGAAGAAGAAAAAGATAATTGAAAATTAAGTTTTCTCTAGTATTCCATTTAAACCTAAAATTAATAAAAAATGAAATTGAGTTATTCAAATTTCCTATAAATAATTTCATGTCAATTTGATTTCAGGAGAAAGACATTCTTAACTTTTGATTTTGATATTCAATTTCTTAAATGAAAAATTTAGGTGAAACTCAACTGTATGACCTTAAATTTTATTAAGTAATCATATTTGGACAATTCTTCAGAAGACTTAAACTAAAAAAATTAAATATACTTTTACAATTCAATAATTTTAGTTATAACTTCTTATTCACAGAATTTGTTAAGTAAATTCTTTGTTCTTTCTAGATTTTACAGTATTTAATCATTTTATTCTATTGAATTTACTTCATAAAATAATAAATAAATTTTCTCCTTATTATCTCTTGTTAATTCTTTTGATTTGATTTTGAAACAAAGACTTGGTTGATAAATCTTCTTATGATTTAATATTGTAATTTTGAAAAATATATATAATATGTTCTTGTGTCCTCTTGGTAAATATGGCTTGCATTTACTGAAGTTAAAATAATTATTATAATTAATTAATAGGAATTTAATTGGAAATACAAAAATGATTTAATCTATTCCACTTACTCTTGATTAGATTTATGGAGTTAATTTTAAGAGAGTTCCCATTTTTTTCGGGGAAATGGAAGGAACCAATCCCTTGCCAATTAATGAGACGGATGAAGATTTGTATTCAGAAAAAAATTCAAGTGAACAATTAAAAAGATCGTTGCCGCCATTACAGAAAGTGGATATAAGGGTCTTTGGAGAGAAATAGAGGAGACGATAGAATGTCCACAAGTCTCCCATAGTTTCAACTCAATTGGAATAGCATATAGGGTTTAGAAATTCATTTTATAGGAATAACAAAATCAATTTGGCATCTAGACAGAGGATAGAGGAGATTAAAAATAGAGAGATGGGTTTATACACGAAATATGCTCAACGATTCAATGTGCCAAAATCTTAGATATGGAATTGATTATAATGAGTTTCTCGTAATTAGTTTAGAAATTTTAATAATATTAATAATAATATTTATCATAATCATGAAAATTTGAGTAATTCTAGTAGTGCCCCTTGCAGTATCGTTAGAGAGAGTAATGAATTCAATATATAAATTAAGAATCTTATAATATAAAATATAAATTATAAAATGGATGAGGGGATCTATATTAAATAGGTGATTGTAAACGATTTGTTTGAAATTTCTGATTAGTAATGAAATAATTACGCTAATTAGGATATTAGCATCGAATGTAAAAGATGAGTCCATAGAGCACTTGTATAATTCCATTATCCAGCATCAATCGAAAGATGAATAGGAGGAATATGATGAAAGGGAGTCTTCAAAGAGGAAACTCAACGATCCCAAGTAGTATTATTGATGTTTTGAGGATGTTATTAGATTTTCCTACTCTGAGGACAAACGGATCTTAGAATTGGTCTAATAAGTGGGTCCAAATTTTAATAGCATTGTAAAATATTTTCCAGGGAAGACAATGAATATGATAAAGAATAGATACTACAAAAAGTTAAGGTACATGAAGGAAGACGATTTGAATGAGAAGGAGAAGGTGAGAGGGGTTCGGAAACAGAGAAAGGCAAACTGAGAACCAAAATCTAACATTTTTGATATATATGTAATTACATATATTTAATTTAACTCTTTAAATTTGGGGCGGGGGATTAGAGGGAAGGAGGGAGATTGTGAAAGGGATCTTGGTAATGAATAAATTAGTTAATTATACTATTTAATTATAAATTTAGGAATATGTATAATAATTAAAATAGAAATATTAATGAGTGAAGCTCAAGTAAATCCGGAAGTAGATAACTAATCTGTAATATCAGAAGACAGCAACAATGAAGATGTTGACGTGTTTGGTCAAGATTAAGAGATGTAATGAAAAATTATGAATTCAGTGATAAGTTTCCTCTCTTAACGAGTATTTTGGATAGTAGTTGGTCTCAAATATTAGTAAATCTCTTAACTATATATGCTCTATTTGGCGATGATATTAGAATTATTGCCTTTGATAAGAGGGCTGATGATGGATTTGATGTGATCACCATAATATGCATGGTAAATTCATCAAATATAGTAGATAATATTTTCAATAGAAATCATCATTGCCAGTTTGGTTAGAACTGACTATTTTAATTCATTCTTTTTTTGGCTTGATATAATATCAACAGTTTCTTAGATTTTGGATATAACCTCGTTCAATATTGCAGTTGGTTTATAGTAACTAATTTTAAGCTTAAATATATTTTAGAGGTTCTGTGGCTGCAAAATCCGCCTCTTAATTGTCCCAAGCAAATAAAGCATCTAAAACAAGTTCGAAAGCAATTCGAGTGGTTCGACTTGTTAGATTAATTAGAATAGTTAAGTTGTATAAGGCTGCAAGCTATTCATAAGAATAAGCCTTTAAAAGACAGCCCATCCGAACTTAGACTACGAAAAAAAGCAAAGCAACAATTTATCCCTCGGTGTACGAAAATATTAACAATGGGCCAGTTGAACAGGAGAATCTAAATAAAAAGGAGAATAATACTGAATAAAGGGGTAGTATTGAGAGTCATAAATTAGAAGGAGAAGATAATGCGAATAGTTAAGAAAATCGAGAAAATTAAAATATGGTTGCAAAATAACAATAAATTGACAATTCTATTCCAAAGGTCTAATAAATTCGTAGACAATCCATGAAAGAGCCATCGTAAGTCAAAGCCAAAGAAAAAAAAGAATCCAGAGTGAGCAAAAGGTTGTCGGATTCCACAACGAAGAAAGTCATCATCCTTGTCATTTTATTACTCTTAATAATGCCTTTATTTAGTTCTGATTACTATTTTGAACCATCCTATAGTTTAGCATATGCAGCTGAGTATGTAAGAGTAGTGGCTGAGATTCCAAATACAAAACTAACTGAGATCAATTAGACAATATATTTCGTGATTGATTAGCATAAATCATTTGACACGCCAGTAGGATACATTACCAACCCATTTACTGAGATAGAGAATTATGAAACCCCTTCATATTAGTATTTAAGAGAAAGTTCGAAAAGCTATTATTTTGAATTAGTAGATCCTGTATTGGTGGGTTTGGAATACATTGGTGATCCTGTCATTCTTTTTGTCTCAGATAATTCTGATGTTGAGTCTAAGAATTCAATCATCAATATTGTTAATACTTTATTTGTGAGTGCCGTATTGTTATTTGGAGCAATTGCCTTTTCTAATGATGCTAATAATGTTGCCTTGAAACCAATAGATAGGATGATAGTGAAAGTCAATTTAATAGCTAAGAATCCCTAATTGGCCAAGGAGATGAAATTAGAATCTGATGGAACTCAAAAGGAAACCACTTAGATAGAAAATGCTATCATCAAAATAGGGGCCTTGTTGGCATTGGGATTTGGTGATGCAGGTTCTGCTATTATAGGAACTAATATGGCATCATCAGGAGATGTGGATCCTATGTTACCAGGTAAACGTAAATGGGCAATTTATGGATTTTGTGATATTCGTAATTTCACTGATGCCACTGAAGTCTTGCAAAAAGATGTGATGTTGTTTGTAAATAATATAGCTGAGATTGTTCATTCAATGGTGGATCGATATCAAGGATCAGCCAATAAAAACATAGGAGATGCATTCCTATTAGTTTGGAAAATCAATGATTCTTAATGGTATGAAGATGGAAATGAAATCAAATGGTAAATATCATATTATTATTTAAGGTCCAACTTGACATTCATAAACTAATTAGCTGATTGTGCTCTAATTGCTTTCATGAAGATATATGCTAAGATCAATAGAGAACCTAAAATATTAGAATATAGAAATGATGAGAGATTAAGTCAACGTTTGCCAGGATATAAAGTAAAGATGGGATTCGGATTGCATATAGGATGGGGCATAGAAGGTGCCATTGGATCAGAATTCAAAATTGATGCCTCTTATCTGAGTCCAAATGTTAATATGGCTTCTCGTTTAGAAGCTGCTACTAAACAATATGGTGTGGCTGTCTTAATCTCAAGCGAATTGCACCAATATTTCTCCAATGAAGTCAAGAAATACACCAGATAGATTGATAAAGTCACTGTTAAGGGAAGTGTCAAACCTATTGGGTTGTTCACTGTGGAGATGGAGGCTGATGATCTGCCTCCTAGCAAATAGGATTATCCTTAAGAAGAGAAGTAATAAGTGATGTATGAGAAAAAGCAAATCTTTCTTTAATAACTAGAATCTGGGGATTTCAATGCAGAATTGTATATAAAAAGAAACAAGGATCTTGGACTTATAACGAAGAATGTTAATCAAGAATTCTTGGTAATCGTATCGTTTAATTATCCTAGCATCAATTTGGCTAAGGGTTTTAAGGTTATCTCTTGGGAAATTGGAAAGAGGCCCACATGTTGTTTGAAAAAGCGAAGTAAATCAGACCTAATGATGGTCCCATAAGTACTCTATTTAATGTAATGGGGGAAACAAATTTCAAAGCTCCTTCAGATTGGAAAGGCTATAGAGAGTTAACAGAAAAATGAATATTTTAAGTCTATAATGTTCGGCATTTCTTTTGTTTCGAAATTATATATTATAAGAAAATACAATTTATAATAAGAATTATGAAAGTGGAACCTCAAAGTTTGAATGAAGAGTTATTGCAATATAAATCTAAAAATTACTAATCCAAATAAAATCTAAATAGTTTATTCTTTACTCAAATCAATAAAATTATCCAATCCAAAGAAAGAATCATCTCTAATCGAGGAAATAGAAAACACTCTAAGCGAATCTAATTACCTACCCAATGAATTGATTGGTGAGTATGATGGAGGTTTTGAGCACAATGAACCCATTTTGCTGACATTGAAGAAAATGTTTTTAAAATACTTTATCTGGATAGGATTACTTAAATTCGTCTCAGTCCTATTTTTATTCACTACCCCAGTTTTAATCAATTATTTGACAACTGCTTTGGATGAATCAGTTAATGATTTTTTAATCTATTCAGGTGCAGTTTTAGGCTCAACCTTATTGTCTGCCATTACTGATACTCAATACAATTATTAGATTAAGATTTTAGAATTTAGATGCAAATCATTCTTGGTCCAAACTTTGTATAATTCTATTGAAGCATAATCTAATCTAGATCTTATGAATCTAATCAACATTGACGTTAATACCATCATGAATTTCTTTATAAGTTTCCACGAATTTTGGTCCTTAATCCTGAAACTGATCATTGGAATGACTATACTATATTTGTAGATCTAAGAAGCAGTCTTTGTAGGATTTGCAACAGCCATCATATTGATGTTGGTCAATTTTGCAATTGCCAATAAAATTGGTCATTATTATTCCTCTGGTCTAATTTACAAAGACTTAAGAATGAAAGCAGTTAAAGATTTTATTTCGAATCCAAAATCTATTAAATTTCTTAAATGGGAGAACAAATGGGAATCCAAAATAATGAACATAAGAGAAAAAGAGTTTGCCATTATCGCCGGTTCGAAATGGTTGGACTCACTTTGCGTCTTATTTTGGTCTATTACTAATACGTTGATATCTTCTATCACTTTGTACGTATATTCGAAGAATAATGATCTGGACAATGTCTTTACTATCATATACGTGTTTTCGTTATTGACAAATCCCTTGAATTCACTTCCTTGGACTTTGGCAGGAATGTTATAAGCCAAAACATCCTTTTTGAGGATTAATTCTTTTGTAATAACAAGTAAATAGAAAAACTAGTATGAGGAAGGTATAGAAATTAATTAGGCTGAACTTAAATGGAATTTTGACAGTGATTTCACATTGAAAATACCTCATTTCAAAATTGATAATATAATGTTCATTGGAGGAAAGGTTGGATCTGGAAAATCTTCATTTTTGCTCTCACTTTTGAATCAAATGAAAGTGTAATCAGGTTTTTTCTAAGTGAATTAATCATTTTCTTATGTCTCCCAATAGAGTTGGCTTTTTAAAGGATCAATTAGGGATAATATTGTAATGTAATCAAAGTACAATGATGAATTATACAAATAGTGTTTGGTGTAAAGTAATTTAATTGACGATATCTAAAAATACCCAGAAAAAGACTTGTTTGATGTTGGACCAGATGGATCAAAGCTTTCAGGGGGATAAAAATAGCGGTTATGCATTTGTAGAGCACTGTACAATTAAAATAATATTTATCTAATGGATGATATCTTTAGTAGTTTAGACCCACAAGTAGGAGATAGCATTTTTAATAACTTATTGAAACTGACAAAGCCAATCATATTTGCCTTAAACGATAATTATTTATAGAGATACAAAAAATACGCAGATTAGATTATAATCATTAAAGATGGTTAGGTGATACATGACAAACAACAGATTGATATGTATTTCTAAGATTTGCAGGAATAAACTTTTGATTTGAAAGAATAAAAAGTTAATGTAGTTTAATAAGAGGCAGTATAAGATGAAGGAGAAAACTAATAGAGTGTTGAAGTTAAGAAAACCTAGCAGTCTTTGTCATTTTATTTAAAATCACTAGGCTTATTAAATTTCATATGGATATTAGTTTCATTGGCTTTAATGCAAATCTCCTTTAATGTGTATGATATATGGTTAAACACATATGTTAATGAAAATCCTTTATTTATCTTCAATAACTCGTTTGTATTAACTTTGTTCATGTTAGTAGTGATCGATATTTTTATTAAATTATCAAGGGCTGTGTCTTTTGCTTATGGCAATTTAGTGTAAGCAAAGAAAATATTTATTTAATTGTTGAGTCATGTGATTCACGCAAAATGTTCTTTCTTTGATGCTGAAGAGAGCGGAGAGATCTTAATAAGATTCTCGGATGATCAGAATGTTGTGGACAATAGATTTCCATTCGAATTGAATTTATTGTGCAATAATGTCTTTAATTTTATTGGAACCTTTATTGTATTGGTAGTTCTATAATACTATTTGATATTGCCTGTAGTGGTGTCAGCATTGGTGTTTTACAGATTATAATAGTTATATAGGCCAACGAGTTTGTCATTGCGTCGATTAGATGCAGAGACTAATTCAAATTTGGCGACTTCGATTTTCGAGTAATTCAAAGGGATTCTCACTATAAATGCATTCAACAAGAGGGAGGAGTTTAGAAGTATTTTTATATGATAAATCTTAAGATATCTTTCTACGCAAATTAACTTAGGCAACATAAGTGCAATGGTGTAGTAGAGTGATTGCATTGTGGTTATAGATACGATTACAATTAGTTGCAGGTTTCATCGTATTATTTATACTATTATTTACTGCTTTGAGTCTACTTTATGAATTGCCTATCAGTAAATCAACTTTGTAATTATTGTTATATTATTCATTAACAAAGATCAGTTTATTTAGGGATTTGACATTATCCTTGACTACTTGTGAATAAGAACTAGTATCATATGAAAGACAAAACAAGTATTGCAGTCATTCCATAGAACAAGATAAATGTCTTGATTATTCGGAGGAGATCAAGTTTAAGGAAATTAAATTACAGTACTTTAATGGGCAATTGGCTTTGAAAGGAATAAATCTGGAGATTGAGAAGGGCAAAAGAGTGGCATTTTGTGGGAGGACAGGCAGTGGCAAATCATCAATTCTGGCAGTGCTATTTCAATTATACGAACAAACTGATGGAGATTTGTCTGTGCCATCTCAATAACTATTTGAATGGAGAAACAAAGTTGGTGTCATTCCTTAGTTAGGATTTGTATTTGATGGCACTTTGAGTGAGAACCTGGATTGTTCGGATTAAAATCTGATTTCAAAATACATTTCCATGGATGGCAACTCTTAGATAGACTCAAATTCAATTTCGTAGGGGATGAGACAATTGATTTCATTCTCGAGAGTTGTCTTATAAAATCCTGATATTATTTGCTTGGATGAAGCCACTGCAAGTGTGGATTAATAGGTTGAGGATTTCATTCAATAATATTTGAGGGATTGTGGAAAAACTATAATTACCATCTCGCATAGATTAGAAGCATTAAAGGATTATGATCGGATCTACTATCTGGAGAATGGGTTAATAGTTGAATAAGGTACATTCTAAGAATTGGTTGAATTAGGAGGGGGATTTGCAAATTTGAGAAATTGCTGAGTTTTTTTATCTATCATCACAACAATAATTATTTATTTTCTAAATTATACGAAAATACTCTTATTTGTATGAAATCCACAGTCCAAGATAAAGAAAGATAGAAGATTAAACCAAATTAGAATATTAACATAGAACATTGCATCGTTAAAACAGTGTCAGACACCTTTAAGACATTTTTTGATTCTAAAATTAAAGAATATGGAATGCCAACCTACATAACTATGAATTCAGAATTTGTATTTGTTGGAATGGATTAGGCCTATGTTGTTATATTTAGATAAGTATAGAAATTTAACAATCTAGGATTGCAATTATACTCAAAGCCATAAAGTACTTGGAAATGAATTCCAAATAAGTAGGGGAAGGGTTAAAATGATACATATCTCCATAGATGGATAACTTTTACTAGTGGTTTATTCTAATGATTAATTTGTAATATATAATCTCAAAGTAATGGCAGACATTTTATTTAGTCTTTTATCGAGATCTTTGGTTGTAGACTTAAACTTGTGAAAAACATTAAAATTGTGCCATTGACAAATCAATGTCTATACTACGAATTAATCGTTCAATTAGATAACAATTACATTATAAAGATGCCTTTAGATTTAAATAATACAGGATAGTTTAATAATACAGGATAGTTTGAATTTGAATTAGGAATACCAATATATAAGGTCGGAATGTTATGCGAAAAATAGCAGTTCGAAGAAATAAAAACAGCAGTAAGAAATACTTGTTAATAATTAAGTCGATAGTTGAGGAGGATTACATTGCTCCTATGTCTTAAATAATATAAGATTTATCAATTATGGATACTAGTTATTAGGAGCATATCTAATGTATGGATGATAATGACAAATTGACTTAGATAGATAATAAAGCGAAAACGAGTAGAATTATCTAATCCAAGTATTTGATGGCTGTGGCATTCACAAACAGAGTCTAGGTTATATAGCTGCATTTTGGAGCCAAATTAAATCAAGAAGAATCAAAAATTTAACTATTGCTAAACTTTTTGAGACCAGATGCATTTATTTATAATTTGGTATTTAATCAACCTTATCCAAATACATTTGAATCCTAACAGTTGTCCATTTAATGTTCTTGTACTTGGGGATTGGGCAATTTCAAAGAAACTAATAAAAGATATGTATTACTGATAATCAATTGGGGATGCAGGGAATATTATGCATTCAAAGTTATGTCAAGCAATTCAAATATTTAAGTCATTTAAGGTGGTCATTTTTACAATGCCATAGATTTTGCTACACTTTACACTTTTCCTTTGACTTGCAAGTTTATAACTAATTCAATCTTTTTATCCTTTGTTGTAAATAATATTGATGGCCTCATTTCAACTAAATTGAAATTAATGACTACTTCGTAATTTGAGTATGGAGTACCATTTACTCTAAGTTAAATAGAAAAGCATTACAATTAGGAGAAATAGATACAAAATCTATCAAATGGGTAATATCAACCAAAATTTAGCTAATATGTTAGTGAAAATAAATAATAAGTTATTATTAGCTAAGGCATTTTAGACTCGATATAGGATGGTTATCAAATTTCAAATGATATCATCATGAATTTCAATTAATTGCATTCCAATTGTACATATCGTATCATTATTATTCTAGTGCAAATAACCTTTGAGAATGGATTATGCAATATATTGAATGGCACTGATTTGTATACAATTCGATTAAAGAAATGGGATGAATACTTAATTGAATTGAGTAAGAATGAAGAATGGGATAAGTGTTTTGAAACAGCCTTTAGCATTCATAAGGGTTATCTGACACTTCTATGTGATATCCCTGAAAATGACACTCAAAGACACAAGTACATTTAGGATATATGCGGCAATTTGGGATTGCAATATATAATGACCTAATTAATTAAAAACTAATAAATAAATAATACATGTATATAAAAGGTTATTTAGTTTTTCATTAAAACTCAAAATGAAGAGCAATTATTTGATTAAATTGAAACCTTTATGGTGAGTAATGGCTATGGCAATATATTCTATGATAGTTTGAAGGACTTAATAAAACAGTTCCATGTAAACATCCCATATCAAAATCAACTAAAAGTCTTGAGAAGATTCTCAGATATGAACGAGAAGGATATATGCCAACGAATTATTTTCTCAATCTAAAACATTTAGTAATTCGACCCCAAGAAATTAATAGAATTCTGTTAGGAAAAAGATTTAATAGAACCGTTAATATACGTATGCTCACAGTTTAACGACTTTTTAACACCATATTTGAGGATACTTACTCTGATCACAGTGTTGTCAGACAGTCATCATTCGAATTAGACTGAGAAGAGCGGCATAACTTCACTGACGCTGGAGTAACTAAAAGTTAGTCTATTTGGGTAATTTTTGGATAATAATTAGTTTTCTTTAGTTTTGTTTTACTGGTCAAAATTAATAGAAGCCTGAACTCTTTTTCACTGATAAATAATTTAAATCTATGTTCAAAGATTTATTTGAATATTTATTTGATTTTAAAAATGTAGAAAAGCTATTAGAAATAGATTATCAAAAATCCTTACAAGTTTTTCTATTGGTTTTTTCGGAAAGGATCTAGGATAATTTGAGACAGTATATTAATGAAGGAAAGCAAATAAAAATCTAGATGAGCAAGAGTGTTTAGGAGGGGTTCTTACCGGAAATCCTGAGTAATTAAGTGATTATTAATAATTTATAGATTTGGAGTAGACTGAAATTCATTTGCAAGTATTATCGAGGATTTATGTTTTGATTAAAATTGCAGAGATGACATATTTTGGTAAACTCAACAATAAGAAGGAAATTGAAAAATTCTTATAATACTCATATGCATTTTCTTCGAATATCTTTGCAATTTGTTCTTTTAGATTTAACAGCAATCACATCTTGATCAATCTGTTAAACTACATGGATATTTTGAGGTTGGAAGAGTCCACCTTGTTTGACATTACTTGGGTTCTGAGAGGGAGAGTGCAAAAGGACTTGCCTGATGAAGTGATACGGAATGAGTTTTTGGATAGGGTGATGAAGAAATTGGATAAGTCATTGGAAGGGTAATACATGATATTGGAGGAATTGCGAGAGAAGGCGTAGGAAAGGAAATGGTATGCTTTGAATATAGTAGAATAGGGTTTTGATGGAGGGATGTTGTTTGATAAAAATGAAACGAATTCCTGAGGCTCTGTATCTGTATTTAAGTCACCCGGATTGGATGCTATCTGAGAAGGTGTTTGGTGTGTTGGCAGATTAATTAAGATTGGAGAAGCAGGAGGAGTTCATTGAAGATTGGGTTTTTAAGAATTTAGGGATTCTTGGGTGTGAGAACAGTTAAAAGCTGTTTAATTTGTTGTACACTTACAAGAGGGAGGATATTGGGAGGGTGTTGATGGAATTAAAAAAGGTAGATGTTGTGAAAGTGGACAAAAAGATGGGGAGGGAGCAAGAGATGAATCTATTTATTGAGTTTTTAGAATATTTAAAACCTCGTATGTAAATTGATGTTTCGAAGTACTTGTGAGATATATAATTTGGCCATTATGATTGATTTTTTGATTATTAAATTATTTTATATAAAAAAAGAGGATGGGCAACTGCACGGGAATTTGTGGTAAGGATATGGTGGCTCAAACAATTGAGGATAAGAAACAAAAGTTAGATATGGAAGAATAGTAGCAAATGGAGATAGCTTTGGCTGTTGAAGATGTGCCATAGGATGATGCTCAATAGTAAGCTCAACCAAAAGAGGAGAATTTGGATGAATTAAAGTAGGAACAGCAGCATGATGACAAATAGAAAAATGAGTCCTATCATGAAAAAGTGAAACAAGTGGAAAGCAACGAAGCTTCAGTTAATCCTCATAAAGATAGTTAAAATAATCAACAGCCAGTTCCTGATGAATAGAAGGAGTATGAACCAGTAACTTTGGAGACAGGTAATTCCTTCGATTTAATTAAAAGGTGCCACTTATGCAGGCTAATGGAGAGGGAAAATGAGATGGGGTTGGGGAAAATAAGTTTGGCCAGATGGTAATTATTACTATCTCATCTTTAGGCTCTGTATATGAAGGATACTGGCAGAATGATAAGGCATGTGGCAAGGGCAAATTAATACATGCTGACGGAGATGTCTATGAAGGTGAATGGCTTAATGACAAAGCAAACGGAGAGGGCAAATACATTCACAACAATGGAGCTCAATATGTAGGATTTTGGAAGGATGATAAATAACATGGAAATGGTAAGGAGACTTGGCCAGATGGAGCACATTACGAAGGATAGTATGAGGAAGGAAAGAAACATGGAAAAGGGAAATTAGTCTTTGCTGACGGTTCTATGTATGAAGGATAGTTTGATAACAATGATATACATGGATATGGTGTTTATGTCTGGGCTGACAATAGAAAATACTAAGGCGAATGGAAGAGGAACAAAATGCATGGTAGAGGAACTACAACCTGGCCAGATGGTCGTAGTTACGAGGGAGAGTAATTATTATTAGTTAATATTGATCAGTTACGAAGATGATAAGAAACACGGATAGGGCACATTCATTTGGAGTGATGGTAGAAAATATATAGGAGAATGGAAAAAAGGGAAATAACATGGCAAAGGAATCTTTGTTAAACCAGGAGGAGAATAAAGAGAAGGAGAATGGATTGATGGTAGAAGGTAAAGATGGTTGGATGAAGCTGCTGGTGATGGACATAATGCTAATAATTGATAATAAAGATATATTTAAATTCCAATTTAACTTTCTTATTATAAACTTAAATAATTTTGAAATGCTGTAATTTATAAATTAATCATGATTTTTATTATCTCCCCATTGTTTTAACTAGAAAGATTTTTCTTAATTCCTAGACGCATTCTCTATCAAATATGTAAAGAACCATATTTATTTGAGATTTCTTTAATATTCATACTCTAATTCTTGAGATATCTTGAATTATTTTCCTACTATCAAAATATACCTTAACTTTAAGAACCTTATTTCTTCTGAACACCTAAATAGAATAATTAGCTCCATATGATAAGTTTTATTTATTTCGTAAGATGTAGAATCACAAAGTGATTTCTAATTTAACAAATAATCCAAAACATAGGAAATATTATAACAAAATCTCTTAAATAGTTAAAATTATAACACTTTTATTTATATTAAATACAAAAAATTTTTAGATACATATGTATCTTAATTAATTTGGTTATCAAATTTGTACATAAGAGTTTGAATAATATTTTTGTGAATTGAAGGAGGAAACTCTAATAAGGGATAATGAGGTAAAACATTTAAATTGGAATAAGAAAGTTAACATAACTAATTTGGCACTAAAAGATAAAAGGACAAATGAGTTTTAAACGATAATAAAGCTTAAACATGTTATTAATAAATGATGTCATATTTATTATAAAGCATATCTTTTCTGTGCTATTATATATGCAAAAATTTTTGTTGCAAATTAATTATTAAAAAAATAAAGATATATGTCATAAGCTAAAGGATAGACAAGCACATTTAAAATCCTACCTTACCATTTCATCCACGTTTTGGATTGCAATACAAACGTGACAAGAGTTGAGGTTGGACCATAGACCTTCATTCGTCAAGATCATGAATAAGTAAGAAACAAATAACAACAAAGGTAACATCTGGATAACAACCCTAAAAAATGATTGTGTTGCCAAAGTAGCATTATTGTATAATTGAAAACCCCATCGTGAAGGATAAGGATGGTTAACCAGCCAAGGATAGATATTGGTAAAGCTCATAATCATCCATTTAGTCAATTTGTTGTTCTCCATGGCGAGCGAGAGATTCGTTTCTTTGATAAGTATAGCACTCCATTTCCCCTGTATCCTAAGGAAAACCTGATTCAACAGCCCACAAAATTGACTGTCGTGAAAGAAGGAAGTGCTTTGAAGATTGAGGCACAACGGAATTTTAAAAGAGGAGAAAATGAAATGTATCTTTTTAATACTATAATAACGTAGTTTGGCTGGAGATCAGTATCTATTCAAAGGCCCAGCAACCTATTACCCAAGAATCGAAGAAAAAATACTTGGATAAATTGATTCCATTCTTATAAAGGAGAATTAAGCAATTCTTATTCGAGCAAAACAGGAGGAAACAGATTCCAATGGAGTAGTCAGAAAATCTGGAGAGCAATGGTTGATTAGAACTCCTGGATACTATCTGCCTCAAGTTTATGAAGAGTTTGTCAAGATAATTGATGCTGAGATTTTGGACAATCGAAAGGCTTTGCATTTAAAAGCAATTCAGACTTTCAAAGATGTTTATTGTAAATGAAATGTGTTATTTCTTAATAGCCGTTGAGAGAAAGGCAGGAGAGGAATACCTGATAACATCTGAACAGACATCAGCACACATTGTCGATGTGTTTGAAGAGTTAGTTACAGTGATAAATTTGACTGTCTTAGATCCAAGACAATATTGTATAATAGAGAATCCATTTGATTTTGAAACCCAAAGAAACAAATTTGGATCCAAAGTGCTTGTTGAAGGTCCAAGAAGTTTTTTCCTTAGACCCAATGAATCTTTGCAATATGGAATTCAAGATTCCTACATCTTATCAGAGGATCAAGCCTTACTGTTGAGAGCAAAAGAGAAATGCAAATTCACTGAAAAGAAGTTGGCTAAGAACAATCAATTTGAAGAAGTTGAAGTGGAGTATGAACCAGGTAATAAATGGATGATTCATGGACCATGCATCTACACACCTCCCATTGTAGTGGAAGTGATTGAGAAGAGAGAGAGAATTCCTCTTGACAAGAATGAAGGTGTGTATGTCAGAGACACAAGAACAGGTTAAGTGAGAACTGTCTTTGGTGAATCCTATATGTTGAAATCCCATGAGGAATTATGGTCTATGGAATTGCCAAACAACGTTGATATAATTGTTGTCATCTCAATATTTCCATACAGGTGGAAAGAGAGACAAATGGAAGGTTGTTAGTTACAGAGCTCCCTTCAATACCTCAGTGTAGGTTTATGATTACAAGACCAAGAAGACAAGAATAGTATTTGGTCCTGCTTTGGTATGTTTAGAACCAGATGAAGTATTTACTCAATTATCCTTGTCTGGTAAAACACCAAAGACTCCTGGTGTTGTCAATACATTACATGTTATGATGGGTCCAGAATTCTCCACTGATGAAATCACTGTTGAAACATCCGATCATGCTGTCTTGAAATTACTCTTAGCTTACAATTGGAGATTTAAGGTAGATGAAAACAACATTGAATCTGCCTCCAAGATCTTTGCAGTCAAAGATTTCATTGGAGATCTCTGCAATCAAATGGCTTCGAAAGTCAGAGCTGCTGTTGCCTCTGTTGTCTTCGATAAATTCCATAAGACCTCTGCCAAACTCATTAGAACAGCCATCTTTGGCACTGATGAAAATGGCAAAATCAGAAAGGAATATCTGATGGTGAAGAATAATCTAGTCATTACTAATGTAGATATCAAAACAGTCGAACCAGTGGACAACCAAACTAGATAGAGTCTTCAAAGATCCGTTTCTTTGGCTATTGAAATATCAACCAAGAAATAGGAGTAGGCTGCTTAACACGTTGCTGAATAACAAGAACAATAAGCTTAGGGTGAATTAGATCAATTGAGAATTGAAGACGATCTCAAAGCAGAAGCTGCTAAATAGAAATTGCTTGAAATGGAAAACAAATCACAAGAAGTTACATAATAAGGATCTGCCATTGCAGACGCTGAAGCCATCGCCAAGGCTGAACAAATCAAAGCATAAAAGGAATATGAGTTAGCTCAATTGAGAGCTAGAGCCAATAAGATTGAAAAGGAAGCTGCATTGAAACAAAAATAAAAGGAACAAGATCAAAATATCAAGTATGAATAAGAGAAGGCTGAACTTGAAATCCGAAGAGCCAAAGAACTAGCTACAATAGAATCCAATAAGTTTGAGCAAATCATCGAAGCCTTAGGACAAGATACTCTCATTGCCATGGCCAATGCAGGACCAGAAATGCAAGCTGAGTTGCTTAAGGGATTGGGATTGTAAGGTTACATCTTCACCGATGGAAACAACCCAATAAATTTATTCAATGGAGCCCAACAATTAATCGGAGGAGCATTGCCATAATGATATTATACATAAATCATTAAAAACATCATAATTAGCTTTAAAATGACATTTCCCTTGTGAACTTTATAGGTGGCTCCTCAAAAGATTGATCTTGCTTTAATTAAGGTAGCTGCTGCTGTTACTGTTGTTATTGTTTGACTTCTTATGTCTCATTCAACAACTGTTTTTTCTTGTTTATTTATTTCTCTATGTTCTATTGAGCCAAAAACTAATCAAAAGGCTTATCACTATACATTTCCTAGACCATATTTGGAATTACGTCTATGTATTTAATCTATATTGACAAATGGTTTATGTACCTTCTGATCTTGGTTAGTTATTTTGTTATATTGGATGATCTATAGGACTGCTTCGTTCTGCAAAAATTCAAGGAATAATTCTTTTATTTTTTTCTTTTGCTTCTATTATTCGTTGTTATCATTCTTATCAATCTAAAAACATCTTTTGATAGAGTTAATTGCTTACTTATGAAAATCCCCTAACTCATATCTTCCCTATTTTGATTTTTTATTCGACTTTAATTGATGTAAAAATGTACTAACATCATCTTCTTTTAAAATTTTCGCCCACTTTTTGAATCTCCCCATAAAAAAATGAGGAATGCGTCTTAATTTGATTCAGATTGTTACCTGTAAAAATCCTGCGTTTCCTTCACTTCATTCGGTTATTAAGACTATTGTTCTTGTGGTTATTGAGACAATTGAGCTCCACTTTTTTCATCTGAAGCAGATGATGATCCATCATCTTCCTATTATTCAAATTGGGGATTAGACTCTTAAACCATTCCCTGATTTGACTCAACTTGACCATGGATCGTATCGTTTAGTTCTGCTAAAAATTGCTTTGCTTATTAAAGTTGACTGAGGAAAGTTTCATCCACTTCCAATTGATATTTCCCTTTGCTTTTCGAAATCAGTTTCATCTTCTTCATCATTGCAGGAGCTGCAATCACTTACTTCTTGATTTAAGTCCTTGTTTATTTTGCTCCTAAATAAGAATAATTTGTAAAACCTTTTTTATTACTAAAGTTGCTCATTATTTAATATTATTTATACAATTATTCCATATAATTTAAGATATGAACTTCATACTTCTAAAAAATCATATTTCATAATATTATCAAATTTAAAAATTCTAAAAATCCTAGAAACATTTTTAACCTCAGGCAGAAAACACATTTAAATATAGAAAGTGTAATCCTCCACCTGATTTTGATACTACTAGGAAGTCTGTAAGATTGAAAGAATTACAACTTGAAGGTTTAAATTATCATTCGAAAATAAATTTATTTAATAATTTACATTTATTTATACTAAAATCAAACATAATAAATTACTATTAGAATAGATATACTTCATCTAATTCTCATTCCCCCTCTCTTTTATTAATAAAAATATCTTCTTCTTTGTCTATTGCTGACGTAACTTATATGTAGGTTTAGTATTACTTTATTTAAAGAATATGATAAAAAGTAATCATATTACAAAATCTGGAATAGTAAATTCTTCCCTTTCGAAGAAATTTGGTCTAAAAAAATCGTTAGTTACGAGATGAAGTTGAATACTTTTAAATTGCGTGGATGGGATTATTGCTTTGTACTTTTTCGTTTATAGTTGTTTATTTCTTAAAATATAAAGTTTAGGAGAATGTTGATAAGAGAGTAGTTGTTGCAAATGAGCAAGGAGGAGAAAAATAATATAAATCTAATTAATTGATTAATCCTTGAATAACTAATCATTTCTTAACTTGCTTCTTTGGGGCCTTCTTATTGTTTTTCTTGGGTGCTGGCTTTTTAGAACCTGCAGCCCTTTGGCTTAGCTCCTCCTTTCTTGCCTTGCTTTTTTGGTGTAGTGGCAGCAACTGGTGTTGAGGTGGCTGGTGCAGGGTTGGAGTAGTTGTCACTGGGGCTGGTGCTGGAGTAGCATCAGTTCGGTTTTTTAGTAACTTTCTTGACATGCTTAGTAGCTTCTACTATAAGTTATATATTTGACTTGGGTGGTGTTGTCTTTTTGGTTCCTTTATTTCCTTTTGGTGCTGCTTTTGCCATTTTATTTATGTTTTCTTATTTTTATTATTAAGTTTTTTTCTCCTAAGCTTTAAATTCGAATTATAAAATTTCGTTAATTTCATTGGTTTATTTGATAACATTTTGGATAATGATATTGCTCTACTTTAATTGTCAAATAGGTAATTGTGCACATCCTCTTCCTCATAAGGTATTTTAAACATCAAATAATTTCAAAATTCTGCCTACTAGAGCACATCAAAATGTGATTAATTTGGATCAATTTAGCACTTACAGCAGAGAATTCACTTCTAAAAACACTTTTCAATGCTTATTAAATGATAATCTTGAGAAATTATTGGGTTTCTATCGATAATTCAAATTTGAAACAGAATTTTAAAAAAAGGAATTTTTACAAAAAAAGTAATAATAAATTATTTTTTATTTATTTTTTTTTTCAATTTTAATAATTTAATAATTTTAATAAAATGCTATATATCAACTAACTTTGGTACTCCTCCTAGTAATCAAGAATCTCTCCACCTCCTCAGCCAACTGAGGACCACCGCATTCCATAACAGCATTGATCACATCTGCCATATTTTATTTTCCTCCTACGACAGCTTTTTCTAATTCCGCAATTTATTGCTCAAGAGTTTGATGGCGCTAATCACTTAGTACAACAATTTTCTGTCAATTATTATATATTATGTGGTTACCTTGTTTATTTCAACCTAGTGTTGTAAACTCTCAAGTTCAACTTAATCTTTTTTACTTTGCAAGACTAATTTTTATATAAATAATATAATTTACTTAAACTTTCGTTCTCCTATTTCAAAGCAGCTATCTAGGCAATGTAATCAGTTAATAATTTAGCTTAATCCATATTCTACATATCAGGCTACTGCAGAATTAAATTATTCTAAGCCATTAATTTCTCTATCTCTTGAGTTCTAAGTGCTATGATTCATATTTACTTTTTTTTCAATTCAACATTCTTCTCTGCTAATTGTTATTTCAATTATTCATTTTCCTATTCTACTTAAGTATTTGAATTCTTAATTTGTTCACTTTGATCTTAAGAGTGTCTGCCTTTCTCAAACAATTCCTTCTCTAAATGTGCTATTCTAATCTTATTTTATTTAATTTCTTCAATTTTACTATCCACTTCAATTTGCTTTGTTTTAATTAGATTTTTCATTTGTTCCAGAATTTCTTAATTGCTATTTTGTCCTGACAATTAAGAAGCCTTGATGAAACTATCATTCTGAACCAACTAAATCGCTTACTGAGCTCTTTATAATTCCTTTTCTAGATTCTCTATTTCTCTCTTTTTATTCTCATTATCTCTCTTTTGGCACTCCAAATCATATGATTGATTATCAAGGCCTTTCTTAAATTGTTCTGCCTCTCTTTTAATTTAAGCATTCTCTCTTTTAGTTACTTCCAAGTCCTTTTTCCATAATTCAGCTTCCTTCTTATAGAATTCAATTTCTTTAGACTTTTGATCTAACTCTCTTTTTAAATGGTCTGTTTCCTTGTTGACCAATAAAGAATGACTTGAACTATTGTTGAAGCTCTTAACCTATATTCTTTAATATTCATTTCTTAGATTGCTATAAGTTTCAGATAACAAATTAAAAGCAGCTTCACTTTTGATTTGTTGATCCTTTAAACCTTAATTTTCATTGGTTAATTTTTAAATCTAATTTTTTAATTAAGCATTCTCTTATTGTAACTATGACAATTATTATCTCCATTAAGTGGAATCTACCTCTGTATCCAATTATTTGCTTGACAATGTCAAACCTCCATCGATTTAAGTGGGTCTCGTCCCAAAATTCTCTTGAAAGTCTCCTTTCTTGGACAGGGGTTTAGGTTTAGTTGAGCCTTTGAGAATTTCACTCTATTCGTTGGGTGACGTAGCAGACAAGACTTCGTTTCTGGTTTTAATTCTTGAATCTTATCGATTGGGACTTTTAGAGGGGGCTCTATTGTTTGAGTTGTTTTGTGAGTCCTTGTTGAGTTATCTGAAATCTAGTGGGTTGTTATTTGAAGATTTAAGATTTTCAAATCCTCCAGTTGATTTTTAAATTTATTATTTATTTATTGGTTTATAATCTTTGGGAGTTTGAAATCTACGAGGACTCATGACTCGAACTTCAGGTTTGCGAATTTCTTCAAATTTTTCATCCTCCATTTGTCCTTTTTTGATGGGTTCCTTTAATTTCTTGACATACTATTCCCTGACCATTTCCTAATGATCTTTCCATTAAGTGTATGTGGCATGTACAGTTCTCTTATCGAAATGAAGTTCGTCAGCAGGTTTCTTCTATTAAGCAGTTGGTTTCTAGGGTTGTGGAGTTGGAATGGGTTGGTCTCTCATTGGACTTACTTAGCGAATTTATTTAGACTGCACTTAATCTACTTGATTCCAGGCCAAACTCATTTGAACTTGGGCTTCCGAATCGAATTTATTCTGAATAGTAATTTTGTCAATGATAAGAGGAAGATTGTTCTCAATGTAAAAGCCTAAATTAATGGTTGCTTCTCCAAAGATGGTCTAACCATCGTAAAAGTAGAGTTTCAACTACAAATATATGCAAATATCCAATACATTGCCTTTCTCGACATATTACACATTTAATTCAATTTTTTCCCAAATTTCTTGAATTTCTTTGCATTTGCATCTGACTTTTGAGTCCAAAGCGGAAGTGGAGAAGGCTAAGCATAGAGATGTGATCAATACAATCGCTTAATTTAATAGAGCATGATTCGAGTGAGGAGCCGATGAAAAATTGGATTGTCTAGACTTCTATATCAAGATGTAGCATTTTGAAATAAAATATGTTATTTTATTAATTAATAACTCGACTAAAAATTATAAAAGACACCTATTGAAAATTTGAGTGTCATTCTAATAAAGTGCATTCAATAGACACTCAGGAGAATAATAATATATAAATGCCATTTAAATTTCATAAATTAAAACAATTCTTCATGTCTGCCAAACCACAAAATCTTGACGACGGTAGTTTGATACTCAATCCAAAAGCAGCACACAAATATTCCCTGATATGGGTAGCAGAATTAATCATAACATTTAGATGCATGGTTTAGGAGATACTGCATATGGATTTTTAGATGTCTTTTAGCAATTCCCAGTAGTAAAAGCAGAAACCAAAGTGCTCTTGCTTCAAGCTCCATAAAGAGCAGTGACAATAAATATGGGAATGAAATTCTCAAGTTGGTTTGATATCAAAGTGCTTAAGACAAATGCGAATGTTGAACAATTCATTTAAAATTTTCAGGATGTAATGACTAACGAATATTATAGACTGTTTCAATGGAAGAAATACAAGATTCTAAAAAAATTGTCACAAATTATTTGGACCAAGAAGTGAAATTAGTTTCATCTAAAAATGTATTCATCGGTGGATTTTCTTAAGGATGCTGTATGGCTTTGGAAACAGCCTTCAGCTATCCATAACCATTAGGAGGAATAGTGGGTTTGTCTGGTTATTTATTCCCAACCACTTAAATTAATGATGTCCAAAAAGAGACCCCCATAGTTCTCGTTCACGGCGAATAAGATCAGATGATTCCATGCAATTTATCAAAGATAAGCTATTAGAGATTGGACAACTCAAAGAGGCAAATGTTTAATCATCATGTAATTCCAAAGATGGGTCATGAAGTTCCAATGCCTGTTATTAAGGTGATGTTAGATTTCTTCTAGAATGCATAGAAATGATAGGAATCATTCTTGAACAATTTATCATTAATAAAAAGAATAAGCAATTCATATATTAGTTTCTGATTCTTAATTCATTTTTAAGCTTGATATTATCTCGCTTCTACATCCTTCCAATTTACGATCTTCCATATTTCCATATGTTCGCCAAGAAATTTGGTCTTACATTCTTGTAATACTGCCGATAGGTGTATTCCCAAACATCAATTGCTAATCATATAAATTTCTGAATCCATTATTAAAATTGGTGTAAGACCATAGTTTTATGGAATTTCTAAGTTGGGAAGTTTCAAATATCTCAATTTCTTCGATTGCTAATCAACTCCCAAGAATTCACATCCACTGCCTGGAATTGCTGCAGTTCTAGTATTGAAGAAAGTCTTGAGAATTATCAACATTTCCCCAATTTTTATTGACTATTAGACTAAAGCGTTGTTTGCATCAGGTAATTGTCCTCCCCCGTTTTTAATTGGTGTTCTGCATTATAAGTTAAATAAACATACAAGTTCTCCCAAAACAAACTATGATTCAAATGACCACCCAAATTGAATTTGATAATGTCTTGGACTTTGGCAATCCTTTAGAATTCATTCTTTGCTAAAACACTTCCAATTACTTTTATGCAGCATTAAGATTTTTGATATAAGCTAAATGATGTTTGGAATGATGAAATTCAAGAAGTGTTACACTCAATTACTGGTTCTAGATCTCAGTATCCATACTTAAGAGCAGGTAATGAGTGAGCGTTGAGAGTGCCAAAGAAAATTTAAGAATTTATAAAAAATTACATAAAATTATTTTATAGATGTGATTTTTGTGTTTATAATTCATTGATAAAAATTCTCGTATTTCTTTAAAATTTCATCAAATTCCACATAATTGAATTCAATACCCTAGTAAGCAAATCTATAGGTTATAAAATATAATTGGTTACCTTTTGCAAATGACTCTAAATTAATCATCAGTTAATGGCAATTTATGAAAATCCATAATAGATCTAAATCGAGTAAAAGTAATCTTTCCAGATTTAGTTTTGTCCTATAAAATGTGAATGACATACATTACCTTATCTTGGAAGTGAGGTTTGAGTAGGATTCTATGTTTTTTAACGACTTCCCCCAATCTTAACATAATAGTATGCAAGGCCTCCTCTTCTTCTGAAGTTAAGGCATCTCTTGGATCAAGGAAAGTTGGAATAACATGGACAGGAGGTTTCATCAATGGATCTTTATCCAATCCCTTTGTTAAATTAGTAAATATGGATTCTTACAGATTTTGTAAATACAATTTCAACATCCTCAATGAATTTAGCGTAATTCACTCTAATGGGATCTTCTGGTACAACATACATGGTTTCTAATAGGTCTAAACTCTCTTGATCCAAATCTATCTTCATTTGACTCAACACTCCTCTAAATTTATTGGTAGGCATCAATCCTTTTCTTAGAGGATCAAAATCTTTGAAATAATCACCCAATCTCAATCTTTTGATCTTAACAGCCACTTTAATTTATTCTAAGAGTACAGATGGTTGTAACTAAATAAACTTATTATTATATATACTTTTTCTTTCTCTTTTGGTTTTACTCCCACATATGCTTGAGATGCCCCTGATTCTGTTTATATTTCCAAGGGAGGTTGAGTATCATTGATAAACTAAACATATCTAATATCTCCATCATCTTCAGCAGCATATATTTTGACAACTGCTTAGAATTCTTCATCAGATAAAATGAAATTGACGGTGGCCAAGGTCTATCTGAATTACTTAGGAGACACTTTGTTCCTACCCAACTTATCCCAATCTTAGAAAAACTATTTGATATCCAGTCTAGTAGCTTTGCAGAAATATTAAAATTTCTTCTTTATAACTTCAGCCACTTATCGATCTCTCTCTGTTATTGAAACTCTACCATAATTATATTAGGTTGACATCAGAGGCACATCCTCTGAAGGACTGACTTTTTCAAGATTCTTAGTTGTGAAAACCTAATCCACTTAATCAGTGAAATCTTTCCAATAAACAAAGTTTAGTTTGTCTTTGCATCCAAAGTTCTATAGAATCAATTGGAATTCAGCATCAGACAATAGAATCTTGGCCATGCTTAAGCCTTTTCTTAATTGAGTGACAGTAATGGTTCCACTTCTTAATTTGTCGAAATCTTTAAGGAATTCTGCAACTCTTTGTCTCTATTCCTTAACTATTCTTCTTAATTTAGCCATAAGATCTTCAAAATCATTTGGTTAATCATTTCTGATGAATGCTTAACTAACATTGTCTGACTTAACATAGTTTTTGAATGCGTCTGCATGAGATCTACTTATAGCAACACCTTCATCAGATTGATCAACTATTCTACAGAAATCATAGTAATTGACTTCATTTAAATTGGCTTTATCAACAAATCTTTTCAATAGTAAATTCAATGATACAGGGTCTGGGAATAAGTTGAATTAATTAAGAATTCTTAAGAATTGATTAGTGGTGATGTACCCTTACTTGGTCTTATCAAAATCTTCGAAGACTGGTTTCAAGAGAACTCGTTTATTTTGAATGGCTTGTTTATATTTCATCAATAATTCATCCAATTAAATGGCTTCTTACTCTGTCATTTATAAATATCTCCTTCTAGCTGGTAGTGTAGTTGTATCATCAATCTAAGGAACTTAGGCTTAAGGAGATTTATCGATTCCCTTGATAGTGAAAATCTTATCGACATCTTCACAGAATTGATTGTAATCTACCTGACCATTGGGAATGCTGTCAATTTTATAGTGATTCAATAGTATGGTTATTTCCTTTTCAGTAACAGGAATGTTTTGAAGATGCAATATTCTAGCAAACTAACATCAATAATCATAGCATACTTGAGATTCAGTAACTAGTCCTTTTCTCAAGGGATCAAAGTCCTTGTAGAACTCCCTGATTCTGATTCTCTTCATAACTACATCTCCTTAAATCTTCTTCAATACCTATTCCAAGGTGTTGATGTTATCAGTTAATTTCTTGGAAGTAAACAAAGTAGAAATCAAATCAAGTCCTTCTTTGTCTTCAATGAAATCATCATCAGGATGAACCTACATAATCAATGAGTATTACTTCTTTTGGATTATGCTTAATACCAGTGATAACACCACTTAGCATTTCTTGGACATTATCAACATCATCACAAAATTTAACATAATTGACTTCCTTAGGATTTCCATTATCAATGTATTATCTGATAAGCAATTACAAATATTAATCCTTAGGTAGTAATCCTAATTAATTGAGCACCCTTGAAAATTGATCAATGGTGATATGGGAACAGGCAGTTCTATCAAAATCCTGGAATGGCTGTTTCAAGAATATTCGTTTGGTTGCTATTTTCCTTTTTATTGCCAACATCAATCTCTTCACGGTGTCTTCCTCATCCTTATTGAAGATCTACAATTAGTCTATTATTCATACTTGGGGAGCCTAAAACACTTAAGCCTTAGCCTCACTATTTAAGAATTGCTCTTCAAGCTTGTTACAGAATGTGGTGTACTAGACTAATCCATCATTGAGTTTATATCTCCTAATGATTTCCTCAATTTCATCCCTTGTAAAGTGGAAATTTATCATTGACAAGGCAGATCGAAACTTATTGTTATTGATACAGTAATACCTTATCTTCTGTCACCCAACCTTTACGGAGACGATCAAAATCTGTGAAGAATTCCCTCACTCTTATTTACTTTTTGTACACTTCTTATTGTAATCTTGTCTCTATATCTTGTTGTACATAAGTTCCAACTAAACCTTTAAATGAAAGCAATTTACTTATTGATTATCCTGCAGATACTAGTGCTGTAGCCATCTTTCAGTTATCTTTTTTACTATTTATTATATTTTATTTATTCCCAATTTCATGAAAACCAAATACAATAAATTGTCTCCATTAGATGAATCCAAATCAGCTAAATGTGAACTCCTTAATGATGACTCTCTAAAAATGAATATCTTAAAATAAAAAATCATCCATGAACGTTCTTCTGTCTTGCAAAGAGATGGAGAGTTAAGAAAAATTTCAGAAGAACTCCATAACAGAATCATGAATTAAAGACTCAATTTCAATAAACCTCTCAAGTATGCATAATTTGTCATTCACTAACGAAAATACGACACCAAAAAGAACTCTAATGCTGTGCTAAACATAGTCAAAAAAGAATAACAATTGCAACTGGAACTATCAAAACGAGATGTGAGTTAATTTGCAAGTTATGAACAAGAAGCAGACAAATCTCAATTGATAGATAAAATGCCATAAAATCAGAAAAAATTAAAAATGAAGTATCGAGACATTGTCAAATCAATTCTTATCAAATCTATTGCACAATCCTTTCACGATGATTCAATCAATGTCATCAATTACCATTCAAAACCAAAATCTATATCTGTGAATGAATAGCCTGTTCTCCCCACTAATAATAATTGTGCTATTAAACCTATCGACCAATACATTCTAAACAAATTAGAAAACATTGCGTAAGATCAACTTGACAATAGTTACATGCCACCTCTTAGTCAAAATGAAATGAAAACATCCACCTAAAAGACTTCTTTGTTAAAACTCATTCCCATTACCACTGCAACTGCTGAGAGTTCAAAATTAAAAAGAATTAGATGCTAAGATGACTTTTCTAATTCTAAGCTAATCTAGGAATTCAAAAATGACAGCGGGGTTAAGAATTATGAAATAACAAGAAAAGCTTAAGACAGAATTACGCTCTATTAAAAGATTCTTAAAATGTAAAATGAGTCAAGATCATAGAGTCAAAGTTGCTACATCAAAAAAAAGATTGTAAATCCTATACAGAATAAGTATAATTGACTGATTTTTTTTGATAGTATGGCAAAGTTCTATTAAATTAAATTATGGGCTTACATAAGGTTTTAAGATGTGTTCTTTTTTATTCATTTATTATTCATCTAATTTACAGACTGTTCTGATTTATAGAGGAATTCTGTAATAAGCAAAATAACAATAAGGTATTTGATATCAACTGTAATTATTACTATTATAGAATTTAGAGGGAGTGTGAATTTTATAATCTATTCACTTATATTGAATTCATTTCTTTTTTTTCATGAACGTAAACTTCTTCTTCCATTCTTCTGAAAGCCTAGGACTCAACTTTATTTCTTGGTTGACTTCAGATGTGTATTTCACAATTCTTTCTTCAAAAATCTTGATCTCCTCATTTAATGTACTTTACGGTTTGATCTCTTTAGATTGCTTTTGCTGGTTTCTCCTATCTAATTAATTTGGATTTGGGATCTCCTGCAATTATTGATAATCATTTGTTTGTTTCGATTAAACACTCTACTTTTACATCTTTTTACAATCTTATTAATGAATAAAATCTATCAATTTTTGTGGATAATTGCTATCGATCGTATTGTTGCTCATATTTTATGCAAATTGTTCAAATTAATCGTAGTTGAGTTCTTTCTTCCAATAAATTATTAAAATTTACTTCTTAATTTTAATACTCATTAGGCTCCCTCTAGAAATCATTGTGAAATTGTTTCTGATTCTCCCCAACTAAAATGACTTTGTAAAGTACCTTCACCAGTAGGCATTTTAGGAATTTCAGCTACCACTATCAATTTAAATAATTGTACGATCATTATGCTCTTATATTGTTGGCATAATCCTTTATTTCTCTTTTTAGTTTTGTCTCTTGCTTGACATTAAATCCCTTATAATTTGATAATTAATTATTGATGATCAAATATATTAAAAAACCTAATTTCATTCTATTCATATCATAGTATATAAATTACCTAAATCAGAAAACAATATTTATTTATTTAATCCAGAAATTATGTTTCTAATTTATCCTCATTATTATACAATATGATCATCAATTGATCATAATACAACTGGTTAAACTAAAAAAATATCATTAATAATGAATATCTTTTCAATTCTAACAAATAAAAATTACCTGAAAAGAGAAGTAAGAATTTCCTTTTCAATTTTTACTCCATTTAGAATTCAATCTCTCAACTTGATTCTCAAATAGCACCTTATTGAATACCAAATAAAAGTAATTAAATAAATAATATAGTGATTGCTAAAAGGACAAAATAAAATACTTGATTAAATAATCAAAAGAAAAATATTAGATCAATAGCCAGATTATATTCAATTCTCTGTTTAGTATCTTTTTATAATAGTCAGAAAAAGATATATTTCGAGTAATTTTATATATAATGAATTGATAAACAATTTTAAGTTATAATTATAATTTTGGATTAAAAAATAAAATAACGTTTCTTGACCTTCTTTATGATCAATAATCTAATATAATAATTCAATTTGTCCATTAATACTCTCAATGATATCTTTAAAATCTTTAATTTCAAATATTAATTAAATTTTGTTATGATATAATTCACTTCATAGGAATATTTATAATAAAAAGATGAATAAAATCACTTATTAGGTTTTTTATCTTTCTTTTGTACTACAACTACTTAAGGTTTATCCTCTTAAGCTTTCAACTTGACTTATTATCTGACTTCATCCATCTCTTTGCAATCTTCATCAGAGCTGTCTTCCTCCTTATACACAAACTTTATGTTGCCTTCTATTTGTTCATTGATATCTTGCGATATATAACTCTAAATTATTGAATGAATATACTTTTGGATTCAAACATATGAAATCTTCTACCTTATTATATCTAGGATTTGTATTGATAGATTCTTCATTTAAAAACTCTTATGTTTTAGATAAGACAGTAAGCATTCTTTCTAAACGAAGTTAAATAGTGGAGGCTGTTGCTACTAAAGCAGACCTTTTGATTTCGATGTTTTTGGCTTTCATTCCTTTGCCACTTAATTGATACATGATTCTTGATAAGGACATGGTCACTTCATCAATGGATTTTTCAACTTTTTTGACTTATTTTTCTTTTTCTGAAAACAAATCTTATTATTTAGTTACATCTCTTTCTAATTCATCTAAATTTATTTGAGCATCCAAGATTGAATTCTCTTATTCATATTTCAATTTTTTAATTTCTGCCCTCAATTCATCATTCTATCTTTCGTATCTTTCAATCTCTTTTCCAACATATTCTTAAATGTTTTTTAATTCCTTTTAATCTAAATCCATATTTAATTTATATTTCTTCATGATCTCTTAATTTGAAATGCTAGTAACTACTCTTAATTTTTGGAACATTTATTTCTAATTAGACTATAAACTAATACCTTTTTCTCTAATTCCTATTGTATATCCTATTTTTGCTTATTAATATTTTGAGTTGCATTCTCGATCGCCAATTTAGCCTTATCTTTCTGTTCCCCCCTCTTCCTCTTTTCATTATCCTCCTTAATGGCAATAATTTTCTTTTCCCCTTACTACACAATCTCCAAGGCCTATTCATCGCCACATTTGGATAATTCATCCTCCAGAATTTCCTCCAACATGGGATCAAATCTCCCTCTTAAACTGGCTCCAAAAAAGTTCTGTTAACTTTAAAACTCACTTCTATACTTTGCAACAATCTTGGATAAAGATTCTAATTGCTTCTTTCTACTCATCATACTCTACGAAGATGCTTCATATTATTGATATTTAATTTTCAACCCATCATAGGTTATTTGACATTACTTTTACACTTCCAATAATAGTTTCCCTTCGTTATCAAATTGAAAATACTTCTTTTTAGATACATGTCTCTCAACTTAGCGATTTCATATGATTATTTAGCCATTTTATCTTCCTAGATTTATTCTTTCTCCAGTAACTCTTCTATTGTCTCTTTAACTGTATCCTCATTCTACAATACCAAATCGTTCAGCAATTCATCCAGTCTTCTACTCTGTATGATCATTTGCTTGATTTCATACAATAATCTATCTTTGTACAACCTTTGTTTATTGATTTGTTCCTCCTTCTTCTCGAGAGCATTCTGAACTTTAGGTCGGGATTCCAAGTCCTACAAAGCAGTTACAATTCTCTTATTATGTAAGTCCTGCAAACTCTTCTATTACTCATTTGCCACATGAACATATAAGTCCTTATAATGATTTTGCACTAAATCCTCGTATTCCTTCTTGATCTCCTCCATCTATTGCTACTGCAATTCTTATTATGGTTTAGGCTTTTGAGTCTTGTCCTTCTCCTTTTTCCCAGGAGCTAAGGTGAAAATACAGCATACGTAAATATTTTGTTGTCGCTTATTATAATGCATCTCTAAACAAATCTATCTTTTTTGCTTTTTGAATCGGCTTAGGGGATTGCTGTTGCACTTATTGAGTTTACTTTTAGTTAGCATTTTTGGTCGCATTCTAATTGTTGCTCAATTGAGGTAGTTTCGAATTCGAGTTTTGAGTCTTTTGTTGCAACTGATATATATTCATTTCTTACTTCCTTTTAAGGCTTATTGATTGCCTACTCAGGTTGTTTGCTAACATTAATCTTAGGCTATAAAAATTGAGGAGGGGCAGTCAAATCAAATGTAGAACCTGCATCAATCATTTTATAAATTATAATATTGTGAATAATTTGATGGATTCCTCCATTCATTGACAAATATACATATATGCTAGTATTAATATTACTAATTTAATATCCTCAATCAATTTTTTTTGTCAAGAAATGCTTAAACTAGTTCTTCGATCATTAGATTTTAGTTCTCTTCAACAAATTGCTACGCTTAAGAATTATGGATTCCCAAGATTTCTGTAAGCTTATTTATCTTCTATAATTTCGAATCATTTATAGTAGCTATATATTATGGACATACTCATTACCATTAAATTTAGCATCCTTCTGGGTTATTGTAGATGGTCTTTCATTTTTTTCAATATTATTCTTCACGAATAAACAAAAGCACACTTTTTATCCAAAAAACTCTGGCCTATTCCCGTTAAAATGTGCCAACTAAATAAATATTGGAAAATGCTTACTTTAAATTCATTACTGACATTATTAACCTCATAGACTGGTGGATTCAAAACATATGAAAACAATCCTTCTTCCTATGGTTTCACATCATTTTATAACTAAAATTCCATCATATATTTAATGTACTTCTATCTTTAAGTCCTTATATGTTCCAGCTATACCAACTAACTTAACAGCGCCTTTCTTCCAAATAACATTGCCATCATTTTTTAAATGTACTTCCCATTTGTAAGGCTTCCCAATCTCCATTTAAATTTCATTGTTCTATTTATAAATAACTTGCATCTTGTATTATGGGTTTATTGGGTTCTCCTTTTAAACTTACGGCTTCTTATTATTTACAATGATTCCGTGAAACACTAATCTTTCATCTACTTACTCGATGATGAACTTTTTGAATTCTTCATTATTGCAATCAACATCCTGTAAAGAAAGCTTGTTAATCTGTTAAATTATCCTTAAAATAGCATAAATTAGTTTACTATTATGTAAATCCTTCAGCAACATTATTTTATTACTCCTGAGTATTAATTTACTTTATTTCTTATTTCTCCTCTTTTGGTTGATCAGCTACCTTTTTCTAGAGTATATCATCAAATTATGACAATTGCACATTCTACTTTATAACTACACTTTAGTTTAGAGCGTTGATATCATCTGCTGTCAATTAAGGATTGTTGATGTCCTTGACTATAAACTTAATTGATTGCCATCCTAAATGAGTATATAAGTCCTTTACTCTAGAAAAAAACTATTCATCCTGCAATTAGTAAGGAGGTTGAGCTACAAATGATTTTAAATATTTACTTTAATCCAAAGTAGCATATATAGTAAATCCATTCTGAAGCTCATTAGGGTAAACATTTAAGATAGCACCTCTAACTTCAGCCAGAGTTTGATTTTTTTTTGAGGAGATCTTATGTGTCTTTTAGTTGTAAACGAACTTTATATTCATTATAATAATTATTAAATGTTTAGGTTAAGTTTTTATATACAATGTTTTAATATTATGTAGAATGGAGAATAAATGAATTTCTTTTATAAGAATCTGCCAAAATGCGTTAAGAATTGTATTTATAGAAAAACTTTAGATGCTCATTAATAAGCTATGCTTAAAAAACTGATTAGAGTAGTTAATACTTTTTGTATAACTTAAAAAAATAACATCATTAGAATTATTAGTCTTATTTATTGAACGATTTAGAAGGAGGTTAAAATTGATACAGATTTGTAATCGAAGAAAGTATGTTTCCATCTTAATAGAATGAATAAACGTCTCTAAAAACAAGGTTAAAATTATAGGTTATGTCGAAAACAGTTAGTTGAATTGGTGAGATTGAGTTATTGTTGTAAATTGAGAAATTGGATTATATTATGATTATATAAATATTATATATATTATTATAATAAAATAAAAATGATCAAAAATATTCTGCTTACTTGCTTCTATGGGATTATTGTTATCTTAAGTTTGATTTTAATTTACGTTCAAAGAAAAATCAAAAGATTAAGGCATAACCCTGGCCAAATTATCTTTGCAATTCTTGTTTCTCAATGTGTACATTTAATAATACTAATTAGATTATGAGTCTCTTTATTGTGTTCAGTCAATTTTATAATGTCGAAGATTCTTAAGATTAATAGGAATATATGTTATCAATCAATGAAAGCATTTGTAAATTAATTGCAGCGCCGTCTTTGATGGTCTCACTTATTTACAATTTATTGAATATATTACTGATAGTGAACCTCTATTGCTAAATATATGCTAAGAATTATGATGAAATCAATATACAAAAAGAAATCAAGATAGGAATACTAGTAGTGACATTTACATCTTTGTTACTTGTGCTGGTATTTGATGAATTAGGTTTTAGGTATAAATAATACATTGACTAGTATTTTAGGAGATTGCAACTTAGAATCACACAATGTTTTTGCAACATTTTTGGTCTATCTAAGGAGCGTTCTTATTATAATTTTATCTACAATGTTAATTAAATTGTTAAAGTACCCACCAGAGATCTTGTAAACAGAAATTTATAAAACCGTTATTGATAAGTTCATAAAGAAGTACCTACAAACCTACATCAAAGTAAATGTGGCTTATGGACTGCTATACGTGTTCGCCAGATTGTTGATTGTATAATTAATCGCCATAATCTATTAGCCAGTCGTAATTAATTACTTTGAGAGCGATCAAAAATTTACATCTGTTTGCCAATTCATCCAGGTGATTGCTACTTTAATAATGACTATAATCCGATTGCATGAACCTATAATCCATAGGCACTTTAGACATTTATTTCTTCCAAAAAAATTGGTGTTGCATCAGAGACTGCTTGAAAAGAATTTTGACGAAAAGGAAGATACTCTCCAAAGGTCTTATGACAATATAAAGATTGAGACTATTGGACAAGACATAAACAGCATCGGAATTAAGTTGTACAGGTAAAAAAAGAGCAATTCAATTTTATTGTCCTTGGAATAGTTTTAGCCTCTTTAATTGTTGCCTCAAGAATCAACTTATGAAGATCCATAATAGTATTTAGTGAGCATTTAACATCAGGGTCATAATCAATTGAGTTTATTTTTATAGGCAAGTTATGAGATGTTTGAAGAGTATCAATATTGTTAAAATGATGAGATGACCAGTTTTTCATTTAACAAAATGTAATAGAAATCTATTCAAATAAACCATCATGATCTTTTGATTACAACTTATGGTTAAGATATTCTGAGTTACAAATTGAGAGAATACTTTGGCATTACTTTGAAATAAATAAAGAAATCATTAGACAAAGAATAGAATATAGAATGTCTGAAATAAGAAGAAGTTAATTATGTAGGAACTCTGTTTTTAACGCATGATAATTTGATTTCCATGGAATTTATAACAAATGAGCAGAAAAGACAATTAACTAAAGGTGGAGGGATGTAACAATTGTGGTCAAGATATGAGTAGGAGTTTATATGTGAGTTGGGAATCTTCTTGCCAGTAATAATAGGTTTGCATTCTTATTATCTCGATGATAATTATTATACTTTGGTATTTAAATTGAATAGATTTAAATTGAAATACCCCTTAATTGAGGAGCAATGGTCACAATAGTTTGTCTTAAATAGGTTAATTTCTTAAAATATCATTGGCTGGATAACCATTGACAATGGAATTTATAATAAGAGATTTCTAGCAAGAGAAGTTTCAGATGAGAATTATAAGATTTTACTTAAAAGGAGTGACTATTTAATTGATGAAAATGATAAATACTCTCTCATAGATATGATAAAACGAGATTACGTCACTTTATAATAAATGAAATGCTCGATGACAATTCATTTTATATTTACAAAGCATACATCATCAAGATTGAAGACTCTAGTAAGAAAGGAGAAATTAATTGATTAAGATTAATCGATTGAAACATAACCTAAACGACAATCCAATTCTTATATTGGACAAATGGCATCTTTTGAATTGAAGACAAAATTAGGATACGTTGAAGTATTTTGGGATGATTGTTGGAAATATTGTGATTCAAACATTGATAAAGTTTTGGAAATCATCAATAATAAATTCTGATAGTTATTTTTAGAAATAATAAATATTATTAAAATTTGCTTAATCGTTGATTAGTTTCGAAATCATTAAAAAGAATATTATATTTTTTATTTATTGTGATCAATTTAATTAAGTAACTTAATTGTTCAACTAAAATATTTTTTTAAGTAAAAGAACTAAATGTAGAATATTTTAGAAAAATAAAAGGATTGGATAAAAGTTGAGATTAAATCTACAGATAAAGATATAACTTTCTTGAAGGACTCAGAAAATAAATGTAGTATTCATTCTCTAAAAAGAACTGGCCAAAAATATAAGACTTTAATTATTGTAATTTTACACAAAATAGATTAAAAATTTAACTTTAATCATAAAGCTCACTTTACGCTTGAATTCCTCTTATAGTATTAATAAAAATAGTGAATCAATAGATGGTATTTTCTAAATAAGACATCTTATTGCTTTATAGAGATATGGCTGAATGGATTAAGAATTTCAATAAAAATCTAAGGCTGAGTCCTTGTTACCTCTTCAGATTATGAATGACATGTAATTTACTTAAGGGAATTATACTGAATTGCTTATTCTAAGTTGATGATTTAATATTTGTTATGTAAAACAATCTTAATAATTTAACAATAATTATAACATATATATAAAAAGGAATGTCTCTGAAAGATTTTTAACTTCTCTCTAAATTAGGTATGTTGCATGTAATGGATATTATTAGGAGAGGGAGCTTATTCATCTGTGTACAAAGTGAAAAGATTGGAAGACTCTTAAGAATATGCTTTAAAGAAAGTGAAATTATAGAACTTGAATGATAAAGAAAAATAAAATGCTATGAATGAAGTTCGCATATTAGCCTCTATCAAACACCCTAATATTATAAGTTATAAAGAAGCTTTTATTGATATCAAAAGTAATTCATTATGGTAAAATCTATAATAATTTACTGTTAGTATTGTGATGGAATTTGCAGACGGTAGTGATTTATACTAGAAAATTGTTAACTCCAAAAAAAATGGAAAATAGATAGAGGAACAAATAATTTGGAATATTTTTATATAAATAGTGAGAGGATTGAAAGCATTACATGAATTAAAAATTTTACATAGAGATCTAAAAGTATAAAATACAATATTATAAAGAGCGCAAATGTGTTTTTGTATTAGAATGGTGATGTAAAATTGGGAGATATGAATGTTTCCAAAGTTTTAGAAAAGGGATTGTCGTACACTCAAACAGGAACACCCTTTTATGCAAGTCCAGAAGTATGGAAGGACCAGCCTTATGATCAGAAATCAGATATCTGGAGTTTGGGGTGTGTTGTGTATGAGATGGCATCTCTAAAACCTCCTTTTCAGGCAGATGGCATGGAAGAATTATATAAGAGAGTTATAAGGGGATATTATCCTAGAATTTCATAAAATTATTCTCAAGATCTTAGCAACGTAATAAGGTCAATGTTGTAAGTGTAACCCCATTTGAGACCAAATTGCGACAAATTATTATAATTTCCATCTCTTTTGAAAAGATAGGACGATATGCCAAAACAAGAATAGACAGATAACGAACCTAATACATTGTTGTCAACTATCAAATTCCCCAAGAATTACCATTATTTTACATCAATGTTGCCTAAGCCTTGTTATGAGTGTGTTAATAGAAAATAAATTAAATCATTGCATTCCCAATAAGCCAGTCCCAATCCAAGATCGCTGATGAGTGTGAATGGCAGTTATGAGGATGTAACTAGTTAACAGACTATTGAGAAAAAAGAACCGATTACCAATAACCGTAAGGCTTAACCAGATGTGTTATTGATCTTAGAATAATATAACAAAGTATGGAACTTCGATTCAATAACAATAGCAATTAAGGAAACCAGTCATGAAGGTCAGACCGAATAGACATCAAAGCTAGGAGGAGGTGAGCGTATTGGAAGTGATAACTCAACATCAATCCAAACTATCCTTGGAGAACAATAGATTGCCCATGCTTGAGGAAGTTTCTCCTTTAAAGAGAAAAGCTAAGCCTAATAAACATAGAAACCAAAGTTTACCAAATGCAAATTTACTCCCACTTATATAAGCTGGTGTATTAAAATGAAATATTATAATTAATTATTTTACCATGATTCATAATCAGAACAGAAATCCAATTTCTGATCCATATGCGCTTGAAGATTAGCTCGCTCGGGAATTATAAAAGAGAAAAGTTGAGGAAGAAAAAAGAAGGAGAGAAATTGAAAGAATCTGTGCTGAAAGTGAGGAAATCAAATTGTTAAAATAAAAAGTACAAACAGCATATGTCACCAAAGAGAGAACACAATAATTAGCAGAATAACAATTAAGAAGAATTTAAGACTTGGTATGTTTAGACAGTTATATTTTATTACATAGAGATTAGAAAGCGAAATTGAGACAGCCATTCTTGAAAAACTAAAAAGAGAATAGGAGGAAGAGAGAGCTAAAGAAAAATACCGTTTGCATTAAAGGTTAGAGGGGAAATATGTACAATATTATAACATATAAATTATAGACATTATAAAAGTAAATGAAAGAACATGAATAATTAAGAGAGGAGGCAAAAGAACAATACGTTTATGAAAAGGATCAAGTGAACAGAGTGATTAATTAATTGATGTAGGAGGATCGTAAATTTTTGGAAGATTCAGCAAGAAAAAAGAAAATTGCTTTTTCTGATATGCAAGTAGCTTTGAGGGAAAAAGCAGAGCTCATACAAAGAATGAAGCAGAGGGAAAGGGATGAAAATTAAAAATACTTAGATTTCATTAAAGAAAAGGATAGACAGGCTCATGAAATAAAGGTAAAGAAGTAAGAAGAAAATGCGGCTAAGTATTGTTTTGGATCTAATGTAGAGATAAGATCTTCTAAAAGTTGAAGGAAGAGGAGGAGAGAAGAAAGTAGGAGGCAGAATTGTTGACAGAATTAAGGTTTTAACTCTACTAAGAATAATATGATGCTTAATAGAGATAAAAGGATATTGATGAGGCAAATAAAAGAGAATTTTAGAAAAGGGAAATGCAGTAAGCTGAATATGAAGCGAGAGTCAGAAAGTAAAAGCAGAAAGAGGAAGAATAATAATTAGAAAGAGATTTTAGAGATCAAATGATGAGAAAATTCGCTGAGGATGATAAGATTGAATAATTAGGATAATAGAAAAGAAGAATGAAAGAGATGGAGCATAAAAAAGAAGTGGAGAGACTATGGCAATAAAGATTATAATTGTTTTAAATGGAGAAGCAAAAGGAGATGGAATAATTGGAAAGATAAAGAAGAGAAGAATTATATAAACAATAAGTAATAGAGGAGGAGAAGAATAGAATTCTATAAGACCATTTGTAATAGGTTGGAGAGTTTATTCCAAAAGGCTTATTGTTAAAATAGGGAGATACACAATATATTAAATAGTCATAACCAAATGGAAGTTATTAGTCTGGATTTAGATTTTGATATTAATAAATTTTATCTAAAATTAAATTCCTAATTTTATTTGGCAAAAATCTATTGTTTTAATAATCAAATTGAACCATCCAGAGGAAATTGAATCAGATTTTCATATTTTATGTAAATCAACATAAATTTTACAACTTATCAATAGTTTTCGTAAGATTCTTTTAAAAATTTTCATTATTAAACAAAATAATATACTTTATAAATGAAAAGAAGAGGATTATTTTTAATATGCATTTTACCACTCTGTAAAGATATAAACAATATTAAGTGTGCTCGGCATGCCCGAGTGGTAAATATCAATCACCTTCGGGGGGAGGCTGTAGTAATAATTGCATGGCATCTTGTACAACATGTTCTGATGGAACAACTTGTGATACATGCAGCGGTGCAAACCAATATTTATCTTTACCAAGCCAAACATGCACAAGTTGTCCAACTGGTTGTTTGACCTGCGACTCTTTTAGCTGTCTATCTTGTACTACAGGATATTACCTTTCAACAATATGCATCTAATGCTCAACTCCATGTAGCACATGTTCATCCTCAACAAATTGCTCTGCTTGCAATTCTGGTTATTATTTATCCGGATCATCATGCCTTTCCTGTACTTCACCAAGTACATATTGTGGAAGTCCATGCAGTTGTAGTAGTGGATACTATTTAGTTGGTTCATGTTGTTATCCATGTTAATCACCTTGTGCGTAGTGTTCAGGTTCTGCTACTTCTTGCACAGCTTGTGTTGATCCGACAAATTAATCAACTCCCTCTTGCAATTGCAACTTGCCAACAAAATATCTAGACTACCTTAACAATTATTAATGCTCCAATTGTGTTTCTCCTTGTCTTAATTGTAGCTCATCTTCATCATGTAGTAGCTGCATAAATACCTACTACTTACAAGTAACATCTTGCTACCCTTGTACAAGTCCATGTGTTAATTGTAGTACTTCATCAACAAATTGCACATCCTGTATTGATTCAGCACATTAAAGTACTCCAAGCTGTTAATGCTCATCTGGATATTTAATGAATACTTCTACTCATATGTGTAATGCATGTACCTTTCCATGCTTAACATGTCAAAATTCAGTGAGTGAATGCCATAGTTGTGCTTCAACATATTAATATGATTCAACTGCCCATACTTGTACTTGCTTAACCAATTAATATGAAGACAGTGGATCACCTAAAACTTGTTAAAACTGTTAATCGCCATGTTTGACATGCTCAAGCAATGTTAATTGCAATTCATGTATAAGTGGAATAAATAGACATCTATCAGGAAGTAGTTGTATTTGTGATGATGGTTATTATGATAATGCTGGAGTATGTACTTTATGTTCATTACCTTGTACAAAATGCACTTCACCAACAGTTTGTACAGAATGCTATTAAATATCCTATTAAGTGTTAAGTGATTGTCATTGCATGAATACTTACTATATGGATGCTACATTTACCTGTTAATCATGTATTAGTCCGTGTCTTAACTGTTCAAGTAATAGTGTTTGCACATCTTGCATTGATAATTACTATTTAGACACTACTAACTGCGTTTAATGTACATTACCCTGTTTCAATTGTGTTGACATAGATACTAAATGTACATCATGTGCACACCCTCAATAAACAGTTTAAAGTAATTAATGTGTATGTGATGATGGATATTATATGGATGTTTCTTATTATTGTTAATTATGTACATATCCTTGTTCTAAATGTACAAATACAAGTACATAATGTACAGATTGTGCTAGTACATTTATATCAAGTGGATCAAATAGTTGTATTTGTGCTGATGGAAAATATGAAGAAACAACAAATTCGCCTAGTGATTGTTAAACTTGTACTTCACCATGTGTTAAATGTGAAATAACATCTATTCATTGTTTAACATGTATTGATACTAATTAAAGTGTTGATCCATCATCATATTAATGTATATGTAATATAGGTTGGGTTGCAAATGGAAACTATTGTGATTAATGTTTATCACCTTGTACATCATGTTCAGGAACAACAACTTATTGTACAGCTTGCAAAGATGCTCATCATTAAATAGTAAGTGGATAATGCATATGTGAATCAGGATGGGTAAATGATGCAAATTATGATTGTTAACCATGTGTATCCCCTTGTAGTTCATGTTCAATTAATACAACTCATTGTGATTCATGTTTAGATATACATCATATTATTAATGCTAGTTATTAATGCATTTGTTAAGATACATATTATTCAGATACTATATCACATTGTGAACCATGTGTATTACCTTGTGCAAATTGTGATATAAATGGATGTCTAACTTGTATAGATACCAATTAATATATTGATTCTAATTTAGATTGTGTTTGTAATAATGGTTATTATATGGATACAGTTAATTGTTCACTATGTTAATTACCTTGTGTATATTGTACAACACTTTTAGATTGCTTAACTTGTATTGATGCTAATTAAAGTATTGTAGGTGATAGATGTGTATGTAATGATGGTTATTATGCAAATGGAAATTATTGTAATTAATGTTAACTACCATGTACTAAATGTGTAACTACATAAAATACTTGTACACAATGTGTAGATCCTAATCATTTACTCATTAATAATAATTGCGTTTGTAAACCTGGATATGGATAATCTGGATTGAATGGTAATTATTGTTCCATCTGTTAATATCCATGTTTAGAATGTTCAATTAATATCAATACTTGTACTAAATGTGTTGATCAAAATTTATTTAAACTAGAAAATAATCAGTGTTAATGTCAAGAAGGATATTATAAAGATAATAATAATTAATGTCAAATATGTGCTCCTTAATGCAAAACTTGCGAAGAATTTTTAGATTATTGTTTGATTTGTAAAGATGATTCTTTTATTTTAATTAATAATTAATGTTCTTGCAACTCGGGTTATTTTTTAAATAATTAAAATAATTGTTAAGCATGCATAGAATACTGCTTATAATGCAATGATTAAATTAGTTGTGAAGTTTGCAAAGATGGTTACTTTTATGAATCCATGGTATGCAATAAATGCAGTAATAATTGTAAGACTTGCTTAAATTAAAATGATTTTTGTTAAAGTTGTAACAACAATTATGATCTAAATAATAATTAATGTAAATGTGGAGTTGGCTTTTATGAACAGAATGACACGTGTATAAAGTGTAAGTATCCTTGCATCGATTGTTCAAATGAGACTACTTGTTTATAGTGTGCTTAAATTTAGAAATTAAGTTTGAGTAATTAATAGAAATGTATATGCTAAGATGGATATTATTGGTCTATTTCTGAATGTTAACTTTGCCATACAAATTGCCTAACATGTCAAGAGACAAGCATAAAATGTTTGAGTTGTGATTTATCTTTAAATAAGATACTATAAAATGATTAATGCGTTTGTACTTCAAATTATTATTTATCTGATGAAAATACATGTACTACTTGCGATTCAGAACAAGGTAAAGTCACTGAAAGTTGCAAGTACAAAAACTGTAATGATTTAGTATGGACATATGGTGAGGACTGCGATGATGGAAACCAAATAATAGGTGATGGATGTTCAAATTGTAAGATTGATAACAATTACATATGTGCAAATACAATTATGTAAATATCACTATGTTATTAATGTTCTCAATTTTGTATTTCCTGCCAATAAAATTCAATTACAAAATTGAGTGAATGTGTAAAATGTAAGTCTGGATATTATTTGAATGAAAATTTATGTTAAATCTGTGATAAATAATGTAAGGAATGCGAGTCTAATCCATAAAATTGTACATCCTGCAGATTTCTATAATTATCATCCTAAAGATGCAAATTATGCGAATCTAAATAAGGCTATTATTCAGATTACTCTATTAACACATGCTATACTAAATGCGGTGACTCTATTGTTGCAGATTCTGAATAATGTGATGACGGAAATTAAATTAATGGTGATGGGTGTAGTAATAAATGTCTAATTGAAAAAAAATTTATCTGTTAAAATGATGTTTGTATCACTCCAAATTATCCAAATCCAAAATTATCAATTTTTGGAACTCCAAAAAGATATGAAAAAGAAAGATCTTTTAAATTAGAATACAATGTTCCCCTCAAAATTATAAAATCTACCTTTGATTTATCTTCTGATTTGAAATTCTATATTGAAAATAGATCTGGAGATGTGTATTTATTAGATTATCCATATTCTTTTATCTAAAATATGACTGAAGTTGAAAATTCGTATTATTATTATGAGGCAATAATAACATTGCAATTAAATTAATCATCTTAATATTAGATATTTAATATATATTTTCTCAATCTATCTTTAATTCAATCTAAAGAAGGATATGAATAGATAATTGATCATGTAAAAGCATCGATTGAAGAATATTTATTAGTGGATGAAACAACCTAAAGTTTAACGGAAACCTTAGGCAGTTTCAGTATTAATTTATTTTACATTTTACTCATTTTGTTAGCAGTTTCAATTTTATTGGGAGGTTTGGATATTTTTTATAATCTTTTAGATACAATTCAACTTTTATCCTATCTTAAGTATATCAATTTAAAATTCCCTTATAATTTACAAACATATTTTGAGATTTTTGGATTTGCTTAACTTTCATTTATTCAAAATTATTTAAAAATTGAAGATTTTTTTTCAGATTTTATTTCTATTTAAGACCTCAAACCTCTGCCTAAGAAAATTCGAGATGACAATTATTCTTCTATTTATTTAGTCAATATCTGTCAAATACTGTCAGTATATGTAATGCTTTTTGGTATTTATTCTGTGGCTTTTATTATTCCACTTACAATAAGATAAGTGAGATTCAAATATTATGAAGATTATCCTGAAAAGGATGCCTTTATTTTAAAATTAAAGGTATATTTTCTTTCGATTAAAATATTTATTGGAGAAATGTGTAGCAAAGTTGTCAATGAATTATTTTACAGTGGAATTCTGAGAACATTTATGGCAACTGCATATGATTACTCATTTCTTATGGTATTGCAAATTTATTCAATTGATATAAGTTCAAACTCACTTTTACTTTCTTTTAGTTCATTAATATCTTTACTTGCATTTTTATTTTATATTGCTATCTGTTTGCTAATAATTTATTTACTTGGAAAACATAAACTCTCCTTGACATGTAAACCAAACATAGAAAAATTTGGTTCAATAATTGAGGGAATCAAACTCAAAAACAATTATCAAAAATGTTTTAATGTTATATTATTAATAAAAAAATTAATGTTTATGATAATTCTAGTATTTTGTTATGAAGACCCATTAAGCTAAACCGTAAATTTATTCTTATTATCTCTAATAACAGCTTTGTATTTATTTCATCATAAACCGATTGAAGATTAAAATGAATATAACAAATAATTATCAACGGAAATTAGTTTGTGTCTGACTTATGTCTTTCTTATTATTTTAATAATAAATGAACAAATAAAGAGGCTGAATATTAAAGAGTAATCATATATTGGCTGGATTTGCATCGTATTCATAACTTCAATCATCGTGATTTAATTAATTATAGATTTAATACAATAATGGAGGATGCTATTGAAAAAGTTTGCTACTCTACGACGCTTTATAAATAAAATATCAAATATGTTTAAAAAGAAGGCAGAAGAAGCCCATCCTAATCAAAATGTTTTTGAAGAAATTCAAAATCATGAATTTTACTAATCTATAATTTTATATAAATGAAACGAATTTAATTATTTAATTATGAATTCAAAATAATGATTTAAATTGAAAATATCTATCGTCTAATTTAATAAACATTAACTTGTAAAATAATTTATTCATTAAAAAAATGAAAAAAAAACTTTTAAATTTTATAGAAGATAATTTATGGCAAATTAATCTATTAGTAAATGCGTTGAAATAATCATTTGATATCTCAGAATTTGGATAATTTAGTAAAGGAATCAATATCAATTTTGTAATTACTATAGATTTTGAAGTTCTCTCCTTATAGTTAAATTATAATTAATGAATGATTTAATTTGTATTGAATTTAAAAAAAAACTTTAAGCATTTAATTAATAACTTAATTCTCTCTTCGATTAATAATAATTTATAGCAATCAAAAGTGATTATAAAAATATTAAATTAAAATTAATAATAAAATCAATTTTATAATTCTGTTGATAAATCTCCTGGAAAATATTATTATTTGATTTAAGATAATAAAGTGTTTTCAAAAGTTTTAGTTTAAAAGGACAAAGTCTCATCAATTTTATCTTTAAATTTAGGATTCATAGAATGGAATTCTAAAATATAATTAAAAACTACATTATTCAATTCCATCTCCATTTAAGGAATTAAAATATGGATGTTATAAGGCTGAGGCAATATTAAATCTATAGTATTATTGATTTTCAAGAAGATTTTTCATCAGGTCGCTTCCAGAATCTGGAATTTCTGGTGATTGTTCTTTATCATCTTAATTATTTCTTTAGTAGCTAATATTAATTTATAAATTAATACAATTTATACATTAAAGTTCCGACTTTAAAAATGTCCAGCTCAAATTCATGATTTGTTGTATTTTAGAGAACAGCATTACTAATCCGATTAGTTTTAACTAATTGTCTTCATCAAACATAATATGAGATCGAGAAATACTCTTATGAGCTATGCACAGATTTTCTAGTCTTTTAATTGTTAAGAGCAAGTTCTTATGTAATTATAAAATTTACATAAACTATGATTTTTACCTCTTCATCTGTAAAATCATCATCAAAATACCTATACAAATGTTCCATTATCAAATAAATGCATGATTCTGACTCGTATACTTCATATATCATTGAAATAAACCTATGACCCTACAGTTTAAGTAATAAATTTATTTCATCATGAATAGACTCTATTGATCGATTACATTTCTTATAACATTTGCAGGCATAAATCCTAAAATTTCTATTGCTCCTCAATTAACAGATCTAGGTTATATTATTCATATCATACCTTGGTTACATTGTTTTTGTTTAAGTAAATAGTTTATTGAAAAGTATAAAATTTTAATATTCCCTTAAACGAAACAAGACACCCTAAGCTCATTTTTAATTTTATCATATCTTCTGTCGCCCCATCAATCTAAAGATTCTCAATTTTAAACCCAATTATTTTATCTCCATAAAAAATCCAAGTTATGATTAAATTTAGAGAGAGTTTAAAGGTAATTCTTTACTCTGAATTAACTAGATCCAAAGAGGACGATGATAATTCTATAGTAAAATTTTCATCTCCCATTTTGCAGGAAAAATACTTTATGTTTTACATATATTAATAATGAATTAATGTTAAAAACAAAAATTAACATAATAACTAAAATATTAAATCTTTATTTGCTCTTTGGCTTTGTATAACAAATAAATAATATTCAAATCTTTTGTTACAAGTTAATTATTTTATGTCTTTGAGGAATAATCAAAAATCTGATAAGTTAAATTAGAAATTAATTTTAAACCTAAAAAAAAATATTAATGTACTTAAATTTATTATATATTTATATCAATTGAATTATGGAAAAATAAATTTTTATTAAAAAATGGATTTTTTAAAATCCATTATATAAAATTATTCTAAACAAATCCCTTAAACTTAAGAAGCGAATAAAAATGAATATAATAATTATTTATTATATCCTGACAAGAAAATAATTTTAGTTCAGATCAAAATTTTGCAATTTCTAAAATGAGGGAATTTAAAATTAAGTTTAAAATAAAGTTAGTACATTTATACAAAAAGATAAATATAAAAGAAAAATAAAATTTAAGGATAGATAATTAAATAAAAATAAAGAAATAGTACATCAATTTTTCAGAATGAATAAATGGATTGTTTAAATATTTATTTATTTAATAACAAGCATAAAATACGACTAAAATTTAGTCATCCTAGGTCAAAAAGACTGTTTGTACTTTAGATTACACTTCAATAAAGTAAATTATAATCAAATTTCTTTTCATAGATTTTGGTTTGACTTCCAATTTAAAATTAATTGTATACTTGAGCTTTTTCATATCCTTCACCATTATTATACATTGTCGTTTTTTATAATGATTTTCGCAACATATCTAAATAAAATATAATTAAGCTTTATACCATGGTTAATGTAGAAATGTTCTCTTTTACTTTTTACAAATGAAATTGCTTCATTCAATGGTACTTATAATACTGTAGCCAAATATAATACGACCAGAGAAGGAGCTCTTCCTATGCCTGATGTACAATGTACATAAACAAATTCATAATTGTTTATTAGCTTTTTTAACATTTAGACTGCTTTGAATGCTTTTTTTTCAAAATCAACTGGATCCATATCAAAAATTTCAAAATTCTTCATAACCATATCGTTTTTTTTATAGGTATTTTGTATCTCATCCCAATCAACCCCTCTATGATATATATCTAACCTTGTTTATAGATTTAAAACAGCTTTAATTCCATTCTATTTTAATACTAGTATATCCTATTCATTTTGAGGATAAGGTCCAATAATAATATTTTCACTTATTTGGGAGATAGTAAATTAGACTACAAAATTCCAATCTAACTTATTAAGTCTTCCGAAAGACTCATAATAAAAGAAAGAAGGTTCTTTATCAGAAAAGGAATAACCCAGATTTGTTTCTTTATTGATTTTTAGTTGCCTATCAGAACAAAAGGATCCATTTTTAAATTTTTATAATCTATAATTTTGGCAAGCGGCTAATAACTATGTTTTAATTTTGATAGGAGAATTGGCATATGCATTTTGAACTTATCTAAATGACCTTAAGTCACTCGATTTTAAGTATCTTCCATTTCCTCTCTCCCATATCATTGAGCCATTTTCATCATTTCTAATTACATAAAAGTATCTAAATGAAAAATTCATAGGATCTACAATAAACGAAATAGACCATTATTAAACTGGTTCTCCATTCACTTAAATAAGAATAAAATCTACATATATCAATCTTTTATTAACACTTCATTAATACTGGATGACTCCATTATCCTAATTACTCTATAGAGCCGACAATCATCATCCTTTATCTTTAAGTTAAATTGTAATTTAATTTTAACTTGATTGTTCTATACCCCCAATATTCACCTTTAAAAATTGATTATTGAAAATACAATTAAAATATTCAGATTTGGTTTCATTTTAAATCATATGAGTAGTGATTACCCTATTTTCTCCTGGTTCCCAAATACTAGCTTATAGACTAGGATTTTCGTAATTGTTCACAATAAATTTATATTCAATCTTCTAATATTGAGATCGATCGATTTTGATACATATAGTCCATTCATCATTCTTATTATAGACTTAGATATGTTTTACCTCATTCCATTATAAACGTAATCCTTTTACTGGATTCCAATTTCCCAACTATTTATTATCTCCAACTATGTATATTGCTTTACCAGATTCTGTATGGTAATGAATTTTAAAATACACCTTAAAATATAAAGAACCTAGAGTCATATTAGTAGACATTGATTGTTATTTCATTATTATTTATGGCAAATTTAAATATAATATTTCATTATCAATTACATCATTTAATTAGTTCCATGCATTTCCATTTCTTACAGCTTTGATATTTCAATAATGGACGATTTGATCAAAACTTTAGATTCTAGATGCAATTCTTGAGTTACCATATAATTTTAGATCATTTTTTGTCTTAATTTAACTTTCAACTTATGTCTAATTTTTGCAATACACTTCTTGAGAAAAAAGAGAATACAATTACAATTTCATATATTATAATTTATAGACTATATTAAACGCACCTTTTTATTAATTTTAATGAAGTCAGTTTTTAATTACTCAGCCGATTAATAACCCTAAAAAATTATTTGTCAATCCATATAAGTATGCATTTAGTAGAATAATTTGATAAATATGTATCGATTGTATCCTTTATGGACATTCTTTTGTTTTTGAAGCTATTGGAGCAGGTTCTATAACATAATAAAAAATAAATTATATTTAATTAATTGGATATTTTTTTTGTTTGCATTACATCTATCACAAATAATTTACTCAAAATACAATCAGATAATAAGTCCCTATATTTCCTGAATAACATTTGAACGTTTTTCTTATTCATTATGTAATTTTGTAATTATTCTCTAAGTTCTATTGATATTCTCTTAAATGCAAAATTATTTGTATAATAATCTATAGCTGTAAGATCAAGAACATTTGATTTTAATTTAACATTACCAACTGATTATTCAATTTTAGTATGAAAACTTGATTAATAATAATATTATTCAATCAATTTAATTTGCAAAAAAACTTAGATGTTTCTGCTAGAAAATGTTATGATGAAACATTGTTTAGATGGAACTAAAAAAAAGCACGGAATAGCGCCCAGAGTAATGGATTCCTGAAAAGAAGTAACTCTTTGGCAAGTCCGCTTAATTAAATAAAATCAGATTATTTTAAATATTTTCATAATTAAGAGAAAGATTATTATGGGATTATGATAATATTTATTATTAGAGTTATATTTAGGCAAATTATTTAAATCCAATAGTTTTAAGTAGTTTAATTTGAAATTGGTCTAAACCAAAGAAGTCCAATATTATTATGTACTTAATTTAATTGAAAGTTGTTTTTTAAACAATATATGATATTTTAATAATATTTTACATCAAAGTATTTATACCAAAATTATTGTGATAAATTTTGTCAAATTTAATAAAGATATTATTAATTTGTTAAAATATCAAATGGCACCATTACCAGAACCAAGTAGCCAAAATGTTCAATCTGTTGAAAATAAAGATGTATGAAATAATAATTAAACTGAAGGTTTTCAGATTCATTTACAAGAACAAGGAGTATGATGTTTCAGAATATGTTCCCAAGCATCCAGCAGGTAAATCCTTTTTTGATAAGATGAAGGATGAGAAAGAAGATTTTACAGAATATTTTAGGTAAAATTATTGATTTATTGATAACTTAGATGTCTGCACTCCAAAAGAGCTTTGAAAATATTAAAATCTTAGAAGGTCGTGAGGTCAAACATAAAGGAATCAGAGGAAAGCAAATAATATTCTCACATTAAAAAATAAGTGAAAAATCTGTTTGAACCTGATTGGACAATAGAACTTCTCCTCTTTGTTGGATTGGCATTAGGATTATATTTAGGAGTTACTAGTGATTGGTGTATAGCGATTCCTTCAATTGTATTGACCCAAATAGTAGCTGGGTAAGATTTAAAATATATATTTTTAGTTGGTAAGGACATTCAACCAACCACAACAGAAATCCGTTGTTGTACAAGTTGTCTATTCCTTATGGAATTATTCATGGTTTTTCTGCTGATTGGTGGCAATTCAAGCATAATAACCATCATATCTTCACAAATAGAATCGGGAAGGATGATGATATTAATCACACATATTAACTGTGGTAATATGGATTCCTCTATTTAAAGTACATATATATAAATCATATTTTAGATGGAAATTCGATTCTTTTCTTGCATCATACAATAAGATTGACATCATCTACATTCTCATTCATTAAATAATAGTGTTCTAATAAAAAATATGGATATATTTAGTTGCTTAATACATAGCAGGATTCTTCAGTGCTTGTATATTGATAGGAAATCATGAAAGAGAATACAAGTTCTTCAATAAAATTGACAAGCCTTTTATTGAACATTAAATTATCACATCTAGAAATTATGATTGGACTGGTAATTTTCATTAATAATTAAATATTAGATTGGTTATCTAATTTGTTGATGGGAGGTATGTAATTTTAAACAGAACACCATTTGTTTCCACAGATTCCCTTTTATCGATTGCCTTACGCAGCTAAAATTATTAATAGAGAATTAAATAAATTTGGATACAAAATCCATATTGGCAAAATATTATGAATAATTTATATAAACAATAAATATAGTAATATATTTAAATTCTACTCAATATAATTTGCTAAACAGAAAGGCAAAGAAAGTGAGAAAATGTTCTGTTTACTTCAAATCCATATTCATTCCATTCATAAATACAATGCCCTTCTGGTTTTTGTTAACTACTTTTATCATAAACTCATGGCCGCCGTTTTTTAATTAAACGAACACTTTTCCTCCAACAGAAAATTGATCAATTTGTATAAGCCAAGGGTGAAAAATTACTAGTTCTTCCAGCGATCTTAACTAAAACTATTCGCTTTGACATTTCATTTCACAATCCTACAACTCTTCACTTGTAATGAAATTATAAACAAAGAACTTATTTGCTGGTCTGGCTATGCAAAATTGAAAATTCCTCTTGAATTGTCCAAGACTAATAATAATAATACTATATTACTCCTAAACCGCATATCTACTGTTCATTTAAGAGAGATACAAATTGGAATAATCTTGTGTTCCCTAGAGTCCTTGACTTTAAGACATTTTATTAAAGTTGTATCCCATTTTTAGATTATTTATTGTGTACTTTATGTAGCAATTTAAATATACACTTTAAAGGTCATAATGTTAAAATGTTATCTCCTATCTGATGATCTCTCCTGGATTTAAGTACTATTAACTCACCTTCTCAGACCTTAATGTATATTCGTCCTTTACTAGAATAAAATAAATTTAAATTGATACTTTTATTGGAATTAAATAGGACGATTAAATTTTAGATTTCATATTAAGCTTTATTCTTCAATATAATTATTACTTTATATCCTTATGCATCCATACTATCGTACTTTTCAGATTTTAATGTAACTATCAATTCATAGGTATCTAGAAGAGTTATGTGATCACTTAAACATTATTTCTTAAAGTTTTGGATCTCATAATCTTGAAGTCCTTTAAGTGACTACTTTTAAAACTAATAATTGGTTTAATATTTTTATATGTTATCCACTTAAGCATCTTTCATTCTACTTTCACTAAAATATTAAGATTATGTTTAATATAATGTCTAATAGGGTACAAATCCTTTTTATTGAGTATTGTATAGTAAATTTGATTGTGCAATTTTTACTTTTGAATATCCCTAATTCTAATGTTAAACATTCTATATAGGTTATTCCTCAAAGTGATCTTCTAAATCTAAATCGAGAGGTGAACAAATTTGCTTTTACTTTTAGTGTTATATATGTTGCTGTGAATCTTGGCCATAGTGTTATGCTTTCTATTCTGATATTCTTTACTATTCTTGCATTTCTTTCTCTCTATTCAACATTTCTGTTATTTAATCTAACTTTTTACCATATCCTTATACCAGATTCTCTATCATGAATACTTTTGAGTTGATTTTATCAATATCGAAGTTATCTAATTCGTCATCCTATAATTTTTGCTAAAATTACTATGTTAATAATTATAACTAAGATTAAATATTGGATTAAAAAGATTTTTTAATAATATCCTATAAACCTGGAATTAGTTATTCCGCTAATAATTAAGGATTTAGAGGCTCTTTATTACTATCTTTGCTTTCTCTAACTCCATGAAATCCTTTAAAAGATGTTGGGATTTCTTAGGACTGCACTTTTATTGATGGTTGAATTACTTTTGATTCTTCAATTGATTTCTCTTAGAATTCTGTTAAAGTATTCTCCTAAAATTATGTTGAGTTTCTATTTTATATTGCTTAACTCTAAGTGAGAGATTCCTCCTACATTTCTGTTATTGATTCCAACTATTTTTTCAGTTCTGGCTTGGCTTCAAATTAAGAATAATCAAATTAAGGAAAATCCTTATCCCATTTTGGTAATTCGTTATTTTCAACCTCATCGAAGGGATTATTTTTCTTTTTGTCATTAGCTGATTTCGAAGAATTAGTGATTGATTGAAAGGGAGGAGATTGATTAGGAGTTGCATTTGGTTAAGAATTCTCATTTACTGATTTTGTTTGTTTGTTACCCTCATTTCTTGGAGTTATCTTTAGTTCTTATTATTAATCAACCAATTACTAAGAAGAGATTTTATACTAATTTTATTGCTATTTTTAATTAAAATTTTAAGTTTCAATAGTTTGGTCGAAATCATCGAAATCATAATAGATTTCCTCTTCAAAATTTTGTTAAGATTCTTAGAATGACTTAAAGGAATTATGACTCATTATTCTATTATTCTCGTGTTTTAGACTCTAATCAGTTTACAATTATTTTAAATATGGTAGGTCACCATTATGATTAGATTCATTCGATTAAATTTCATGGGATTAAATTAAGCCGTTTAAGTTTTCTATTGGAATTTATGTATTAGGATTTTATTCCTTAAAGGGTAAATTTTAATTATCTTGAAAGGGTTCCATGTGAACTGGAAAATTTGGCTGAAATTCCTCATCTTCGAATTATTGATTATCAGATTCTATAAATTTGTATGACTGTTATTTTTATTATTATTACTCGTATTATTATTAATTTTGCGCTTATATTTAAAATATATCTTATTATTATAAGGGATTTTCTGGTTTTTTCAACTAATTTGATGATTGAGGATCTGATTGGGGAATGAATTCTTGCCAAACTTAAATGGGAGCTAAATTAGATGCTTTTGGTTCATTGGCAAATTAAGATTATTTAATTATGTCTTATGGTAGATTTACTTCTTAATCCTTCATTTTGAAGATATTGTCCTGAATTTGGTTATCATGTGATTATTATAGAGGATTAAAATCTTGCCAAGGTATTTCAGAATCGTCCTCCTTAGTTTAAAGTTTACTATTTATTACATAATCATTTTATTAGAACTTTTTTTCTCTTTCCGAACTAAGATCGAATTGTTAAATTTATTTAATTATTTCTAATGATTAAATAGGAGAGTAATTTGTTGTTTGTTCAGGTTATTGTTATTGTTACAAAAAATAATAGGAGTTACTTTAAGGGGATATTTATTATCCATAGTTGAGTTATGGTTAGGAAGCAGTTTAATTTCTAATTTACGAGGATATGTTGGATCCAGGCATCTCATCACTGAGAGATTGTTAGGAGGGGACGACTTTAGGTTATTCAAATATGTTTTATTAAACAGGAGTAGAATTAGCTTTATGGAAATTTAAATTTTAATTGTAATCTAGCTGTTAGAGTTGAAATTAAGAGAAATTATTTTCTGCAACTTCAAAATTAGCTTTTGGAGCAAAGGACTATGAATATAAGGAATCAGTAATCACATTATTTTAAGTCCCTTCATTCAAAAATTGATTGACTTCATGAAATGTGAAGGCCATTTATTATGTTTTTTAATGTGTAGAAGAAAATTCATTAAATTAGGGAAAATTTTATTTTTCAGGTTGATTCTCAGTCATCTTAAATATATCAAGTGGTTATTTCTCAGTATTGCCATAATTTTATATTCCTTAAGAATTAAATTTGTAGAATTATTCACTTGATGAAAATGCATTTTGGGAGTTGGTTTTATTAAAAAGATCTTCAATATCTTTCATGTCTCTTGATTATTTTCTATTTTCTAATTATTGTTAAGCTTTAAGTTTTTCATATTCATAGGATGAATCAAATTCAACTCCTTTTTCTTCATTATTTATATTTTCGCCCATTTAAGGAAAGTCATCAAAACCATAGAATTGAATTTTTGACTACTGAAGTTCCTATTATGGGGCTGGTCCAAATTAAGCAATAAAATCTGCGTTCACAATAGGAGTTTAATCTTTAGGATTATAAATATTGGAGTTTGTATTGCTTTTTGGCGTAATGCTTCTTTCATCATAAGGAGTAAAGGTCTTATCTTGAGCACTTTTGAACTAATCCTGATTGGTTGATGATTTAGGGCTATAAAATTGAGTATTAGAATCGTTAGAGATTTATGACATTTATTAAAAATTATATTTAATTAACTATACAATATAGTTATTCATTATTCTTTCTTGTTTTTCTTAAGGGTCTAATATCTGAGTTCATTATCTTCAACCTAATCGTTATAAAAAGTAAATGATTATTTTCTGCTCCTTTATCCTTCATTCTCTTATTATTATTGTTATTTTTACTCCTACAATTCTGACTCTTATGTTTTTTCATCCTTCTTAGGTACATCTATCAGATCAGATAGGCTCAATTTCCTATTATTGATATACTTCTGATTTCTTGCCCTAATATTTGAAAGAATCAATACATAATGAAGTGAAAGAAGGATTCATCAGTTCCAGGTCTTGATTCTTCATTTATTAAATTATTGACTTTTGATTACTATGAGTTTTCTGATTGAATTTATTGTGGTTGCTATTACTTTTAAGATTGTTGTTATTCGATTTGATTTACTTCAGCTATTGACTAGTATGCATTTTGGATTTATTCAATAGCTATAATTTGATCTTTCTCTTTGTTTAAATCACATATTTCTTTAATTAAATCATCTGGGTAGTTTCGATCAACAATTTCTTGTATTTTTTTTTGCAGTTTATTTTGTTATTATTAATATTTAGTGACTTGATCCATAGTATTCTGATAATGCTGACAAGAATCGGGTAGATTAAGATCGAGTATTCCCTGTTGTAATTATGTCTTAACCTATTATTATTGTTGTTGCAGTAATAACTGATTGCACTCTATTTGCATTGAATCTAAATTCCCTTGAATTTCATCATCGGAAATATCTAAATATAAAATGTAAAAGATATTTGTGTTACCATTAATAGACCCTGTCCTTTATCTTCTTTATGTCTAATCGCCTTCTGTGAAGTTGTGGAATCGTTTATTCTCGAAAATCTGCTTAATTTCTGAACTCTTAAGACCATTAAATTATTTGTTAAATTCCTTCTCTAATCTATTGAAAAACTTTTGTGCATGAGATCTTGATTCAAAATATGAAAATACCTTATTTGGGCACCACTTCTAGTACCAACATATTCTTCTACCTTTTTCCAATTCTTCCCATGAATACTCAGAGCCTCTACAAATCTTTAATGTTCATCTTTTGTCCACCTTCCCTAAACGGCTTCCCCCTATACTATCACTTATGTTAAAATTGCTACTTCGCTATCTTCAAAAGACCTTGACTATTTCCTCTTACTAGTTTATGCCATTTTAGGTAAATTTATTTATATAAATATTAATTCATTATTATCTGTCATTCTATTTTATATTTAATTCATTCGATTATTATTAATTATGAGATTTTTACTGGGGAGGCACATAAACCAATTCATAAGATTCCCTTAAATACTTTTCATCATCATTCTAATCTGTTTCTGTCTCTTCTGTTTCCACAACTGGCTTTTCCTACTTATAATTCCTCTTCATATCATGTCTTCCCTTATAAAACTTCTACAGATGTTCTTCCTTCTTATTTCTCCTCTCCATAATCTACTTCTTCTTTTCCTCATCCTTCTGATTGTTCAATCTTTGTTATTGTTTTTCCTTCTTAATTTTTTTCTCTGCCTCAATAAAATCAGTTTTAGATCTTAACAAGAATTGCAATTTAGATTCTGACAAGTCAATCACTATTTTCTCTAATTACTATATATTCTAATTTTTATTACATTAATAACTTATTTAATGACTTTTGAGTCAATCTACAACCTCTTTCCCATAATATCTTAATTTTTGGTTGCCTCCTATTAGATTTCAATGATTTTCTTTCCAATTTTATCCATATCCAAATCTTCTCCTTCTGCAAATTACAATTTTGTTTGATCCACCTTTTCCTAATCCTTCAATTAATTTTATATCTTCAATTACGCTTTCAGTTTCCTTTCCTCTGCTTTCAACATCTCTAAATGTTCATCCTATTCATTTTTTAGTTTTTATTCCAATTTCTCCAATTCCCTCTTCTTCTATTCAATATCTTCCTCAGCATCCCTTTGATTTTAGATGTTTCTCAAATTACCCTCTTCAATATTATTTAAAATCTCTATAACCAAATCAGCCATCCTCTCTTACTGTCTTTCTGCTTCAATTTACTCCTAAGTTTACTTCTGTTCTTCCCTCTAATCTACTCCAGTAACAAAGAATTAGTTCTTCTATTCACTCTATTAATTAGAAAATAAGTTGATATCCTTCTTCTCAAACTCTGAAAACTTAGTTTTATATGTATCCTAAATTCATTATAAGACTTAGAATTACCTTAATCTTCTCTAAGAATTGTCTATATTTATCTAGTTTTTCAAATTCTTCTCCATATTTTGTCTTCTATAACTTCAATCTATCAATTTGAGCTAATATTTTGGCCACTTCAGTCTTGACTTCATCTTTCTTTTTTGCCTCTCTATCAGCTTAATAAGCAGCCTAATCTGCTTGGAATTTCACTTCATTCATGAACTTTTTCACCAATTCACAATCATTTTTAAAATATAATCTTCTTGCTCTTAATGATTCCTGTTCATTCTTTATAAAATCCTCAAGTCTTTCGGTTTCTTCCTTCTTAGTCATAATATTTAAATTAGCCAAACATATTTCTCTTTTTTTTTCAATGAAATCCGTAATTGTTTCTCTCTTTTCTCTTAAAATTGATTTAATTCTATATTTTTTCTTCTTCATTTCCTACAATTCATAGTCCTTCTTTTTATCCTCTTTTCCATAGATAGTTTTCCTAGCTTCATCATCTCTGTATTCCATCAATTTTGGATTAAAATGTTTGATATGCTGAGCTATTTCATCAATTTTCTGTGGCTAATTAGGATCTCTCATTTTGGCTTCATTGACAAACATCTCATCTCTCTCCTGTGCTAATTTATTTGCTATAGTGAATAGAACTCAATTTGTACTTTGATCTTCTAATTTTTATAACAGTCCAAATCGTGTTGATTTGGCACTAGTTTGATATAATTTTTAAGTGTGCGGAACTTGTTTTTGTTCTTCATCGTCGTCATTATATCCTGAATTACGTTCCTTTTCCAACTTTTAGAGAAACTTTTTGGAATCCAACTCAAATTGAAATGGATTTTCTTCATATGTTTATTATTATGCAAAATTCATATTAAATAAATAAAAAATAATTAAGAAAATTAGAATTTGTATAGCAATTCTATATTCTCAATAGAATGATTACAAGAATGCAGTAAAGACATATGAAATGTATAAATTGGGAAATTAGAAATTTGTCTAAAAAATAATCAATTTTTAAGAATAAATATTTTAATTTAACTGCTAATAAAAATGTCTAATTAACCATTTCAAGTATATTTGAGAATCAAACCTTTATTAGAGAGCAGGTAAAAAGTGCATGCTTATTCATTTAGTACAGAAACTTTAATTGAAGATTTGAATGACAATAGAATTGTAATAAGAAAAGATGGTAAAAGTAGTAAATCCTTTGTATTCGACAAGATATTCAGTGGTGTTCAAAATAATGAGGATATTTTTGATCAATCATTAAGAGTATATATATATTAAAATAACAGCATAATCTGGATCACTTTGTTGAAGGTTACAACACAACAATTTTAGCATACGGAATTACTGGTTCAGGTAAATCTCACACTATTTTCGGAAACGAAAAAGACGAAGGATTGTCATTTAAATGCATAAACTATTTGGTGAACAGAATGAAGTACATGAGGTTAGTAAGCTGAATATTAATTGTTAGTCCAGAAGCTAATGTCTCAATGGAAATGAGTTTTATCGAAGTCTACAATGAAACTATTCGAGATTTGATGTCAGACTAGCCAAAACCTCTCATGATTATGCAAGACAATCAAAAGGGGTCCTATATTCAAGGCCTATAAACAATTAAAATTAACAGCATAAATGATGTATTGTATTGTAAAACTTACCATTAGGTCAAAGAAGGTATAAACATCGCCAATTAAAATCGGAGTTTAGCCTAAACCATATACAATGTGTATTCGTCAAGATCACATGCATTAATATAATTTAACTTATCTTATTGTTTTGAAGGGTATAATTATGAGTATTCTATCATTAGATAAACCATTACACCAAAACTCTTTATAGTTGATCTAGCTGGATCGGAACGTGTCTATTAGGATCAAAAGAGTAAGAATCAATAGGAGGGTTCAAATATCAATAGATCACTTTTAGCCTTGAGCAATTGTTTGACTATCTTGTCTGACAAATCAAAGAAAAATCAGCATATTCCATATAGAAACTCAAAATTAACCAGATTGCTACAGGATTCTTTGGGTGGAAATACTAGAACTATAATGATCTCTTGCATATAGTAAAATAAATGTCAATATGATGAAATATTAAACACTCTTTAATATAGTAGCAGAGCCACTCAAATAAAGAAGTAAGTGTAAAAATCTTTGCATCAATAAATAAGTGAGGAAAAGATCATGATTCCTTCAAATATCAACGATTCTGAGATGAGTACTAAACAGTTGTATTTAACTAAAATCTACAATGACATTTACAGTAATATTGAAGAGTATCACGAAATTAATAATTCGCTTATTGAAATACAAAACAATATTCTTTAGAATCAGTATCAAATAGAGGAAATCTATTCTATGAGTTTGTAAAATAATCTAAATTCAATAAATGACGATTAAATGTATCATAATCTAATGATTGCTCAAAAATAAAATCAGGAAATCGAATAATAATTACAAAATGCGTTAAAAGTCAATTTAAAATAAAAGCAACTTCAGAAATCCCTATTGCTTCAAATAACAGAGGAATAATAATAATACATAGATTATTGGAAAATCAAGTATGAGGAATCACAAAAAGAAATATCTGACTTGAAATAAGTTCTATGCACAAAAGTATAATCATATTATAATTATCATCTAGAATGAGGATATAAATTCAAAGGAATCCTAAATATAATCTTAGTAATTATTGTTAGAATAAATAAAGACTAAAAATCCATCCTTATATACAACTAATAATGACTCTGACTGCTCATATCCTTCATCATTTGCCTCATCTACAAGTACTTCGTAAATCAAAAAGAAATCATCGTTAACTCATCTAAACATTCAAAACACTTTATCCTAATAATCCTAATTATTTGACATGATCGATCGACCAAGATTTTCAAACTTATCTCATATAAAGTAAATACTGGCATCTAGAGAACGTTCTCCAGTAAATTCAATATTCAGATAATCTCCAATCAGATCCCCTTTAAGAAAAAAACCATCAATTCGAAATATTAGTAACCTCATCATTTAATCCTTAGCCTCTATATCGAAAGTAGAACAATCAGAGATCTCTTAGATTTCCTCAATAAAAAAATCCAGACTTATTAATGATCCATAAATAACAACTATCAACCTATACGGAAGTCAGTACATAAACTTGATAGACAAAGAAAATATTTCATGATATTATTATTTTATAACTTAAATAAGCAAAGCATATTGTAAATCATGTATCTTTTGAAGTTAAATTGAGCTATCGACAACACTCCCTTTTGATGGAGACAGAGTATTGAAGATTTAAACAGTTAATAATTTAATTAATATATACAGGTCTGTTGTTTATTCTGAATATAATGAAATTTAAAAAAATATAATGATTTGTCCTATAGGTTAATTATATTAATTATGGATTCTATAATTTACAACATTAAGCATTTACTAATCAAGAAAAATCAAGTAAATTTATAATAAAATCTGAATCACAAAAGTTAGACGAAAATTTAAATCGTCTTTTATGGATTATAAATAATTAAAAATTTTATAAATTCTAATATTGTATAAGAATTAATATGTTATATTAAAACTGGGTTCTCTTCTTCTAATTTTTCATTTCTTTCTGCCTTATATATAATTTTAACCTCTTACTATGCAAACATGTAATATTCTTATTTTATATCTCCATAATTTAGAATTTTCTTTAAAAGGAAGAATATTAGGAGTAATTTGTTGACAGAACTAATTCCTCGGTTTAAAATAGAAAATATTTCAAAAGTTTAAAAGGGATATGACTAGATATTAATGTAAGCATTCTTAATCGCATGGAATCGCTTAAATTATCAAATAATTAAATAATAAATGAATAGTAGCTCAAAAATAAGAAAGGGCTCTCGTAATATGAAGTATGAGTATAAGTTTCACCTTAGGTACAAGAAGATATCACATGAGTAAAGAACTTAAATAATTAATGAGTTAACAAAGAATGGAAAGACACTTAAAGAAGTAAATACATGAATATTTTAGTATAGGTTTCTGAAGAAACTCATTTGAAACCCTCTACTGTCAAAGCTATATTGTAAGTCTATCTCAAAGAAGGAAGAATTGGTAAGAAGTCCACTCGAGATAGAAAAGTGAAATTGTTAAATACGACAGTAATTGCCTTGATTGATAAAACCAAGTAATATCTATATATCTAAGTGATTCAAAAGAAATAGTGACTATGCCATGGAGAATCTTTAATTTATTCACCCTATGATCAAAATAAACTAATAGTCTTCTGAAATATCACATAATGGTTAGACGCTGACTGAGACCCAATAAAAGCTAGATTAATACTCAAAATCACTAATGATGACTCAGGTGAAAGACTTCCTGAGGGAAAAGAAACAAGAGATATTAGAACAACTTGTAAATCCATTGGCAAAACAGAATTTTCTTAATTAACTTGCCCAATTTGAAGTTGCTGACTAATTGCCCTTTTAAGAATTAAAAAAAGAGCATTTATAAGCTGAAGATGAACAATTAGTAGAAAAAATCACTTAACATCTAAAATCAAAAGTGAAACTATGATTTTATAAATACATATATTTTTCTATAAATCATAATAAACTAGTTGTTTTTGGTTATTCATATAAAGATATTATTTACCCATTTTCATAAGCAATAATAAGAACTCTATGATTATTTGCTATATTAAAAATGAATGATACCTTGTATAAATTAGCTGCATGAAACTTGGGAATTCATGAATCCTAAATGTTTGGTTTTAATTAATTCTTTAACTTTTTTCAATTAATTTGTCTCCATTTTTATTTCCATTTCTCCTAATTTGTATTTCTTGAGACAATACTAATTAAAATCATCAGTCCTTTTCAATTAGATAATAGATGTAATAAAGATCGTACCATCGTAAGTAAGGATTAACTAGATATAATACAAATATTACAATTTCAGGTGAAAACTCATTAAGAACATTGATAGATATTATATGATCTAATAAGCCTCTGAAAAGGAAAAGTTCTCCTTATAAAGTGTATATGATTAAATTTTTGTATTAAGAAATCAGAATAAACCCTGAGGGATGAATTTTTATTTAATAACAATCATTTATTGATGTTTCGATTAATTTTAAAAATGCTCCTTTAAGAGTATGTATAAGGATGTCACCTTTGAGATCACAACTAAGAATGATTTGTAAAATCTGATCAACTTCTATTGTTGTCACTTCGTTTTGATGTCCATACAATATGAACTCCGGTTGATGCGATAATGTCCATTCCCAAACTGATATTCTTGTATCTCTACTTCCACATAGCAATTGAGTGGAGCTTTTACCTAAACTAGTAACAACTTTAGTATGGAACAACACAGAACATGTTAATTTGAGATCTTTAAGACAATAGACTTTTACAGAATTGTCACTGTATCCACCAACAACGAGAGAGTCATCGAATAACAAAAAGATGTTATCTTGATTAAATTTCAATGGTTTAACTTCTTGGTCACCATAATCTTTTGGAATTTTAAAACTCGTAATTCTATGTTCTACATTAAAAACATGAATTTCTTATTCATTTGTTATCAATACTAAATATTTATCATTACAAATTAGCTGATCAATTTCAATAATTTATTTGCTAATCATCAAAGTTATTTATTTAAGTTATAACAAGGGATTTTAATCATTCAATTTTGAAAATTGTTTTACTGGATGATCTTTCTTAAACAACTATTGAGGAGTTTATCCATAATAATACACCTAAGTAATATATTATTCTTTCAAGACTTCATCATCAGTTTTCTCCAGTAGTTACTGTACATAATTACTGTAAGTTAATCGATGATATAAATTATTATACTTTTAAGCATTCATTCCACTTTTATATCCAAATATTAAATCAATCCAATTATGCAAATTAAAACTCACATGATCACTTTCCAAAACTAATCTATTCAAAAATATCATCTCCTCTGGACTATTTGTATTTATATATTAAGGTAATGTTACATCACTAACTACGGTCCCTGATTGTAGTTATCCTAAATCAAACTTATTCTTATTCTTTAAAAACTCACTGAAGTAGAAAAACTCTGGTATCAATTCTTTAACATCGCTGCTTGAATTTGTAACGGAATGCCATTGTGATTCTAAGGAATGGAACAATCTGTCTGCTTTATCAAATCTGCCAGATTATAACTCCTAATGAAGTGAAGCAAATGGTTCCATTCTCATTAGAAAACTCATCACAATTGCACTATGGGAATAATGGGTTCCATAAATAAAATACATGTTCATATCCTCAGGATTTGCTTACTTAAATCTTTCCAAGAAGTTCTCCAATCTCTTTTAATTGATTGCTCCAATAGGGATATCAAGTTTCCTAAAATGATCTTTATTAGAAATATCGAAATCCACATAATTTGCAATAACCCATGGGAATATCGGATACTAATTCAGATCATTGTAGGTTCTCCCTCCATACTTATTAACTTCAATCAAGTATTAGAAATTAGTTATATCTCCCCTTCTCCATTTCTCTATTATTCCACTCTTTTTAAATTATTCTATTGGATTCATAATTACATTGCAACACTGCGATAAAAGTTTCATAACTGTTTGTCTTTGTCCAAACAAATTAAACAAGTAGGTTTTGTTATTATTAGTAAATAATTCAATGGCTACAGGTTAAGCCAAATAACTTCTTGGGAAGACTTCTTTAATCTAAGCTAATGGAATTAATTTTTGCTTTTCCGTCTTCAATAAACTATCCTTTTAAAACTTATATTAAACTTCTTGAAATTGGATATCTAGGCCAAAATTTTCAAACATAAAGTATTCATTGGTTATTCTTATTTTCCCTCTATAAAAGCCTCTCTATGTTATTAATTCTGCCGTAAATCTTTGATTCTCATTGTTTATTACCTTATCCTTTTATTAAATACTTTATTGTGCACTATAGAGATCACTAAAGATGCCTTATGCTGTTGTATTTAGTTGTATATGTTCATATGTTTTCTTTTACTTAGCAAACACCTTTAAAAACATTTTCCTTCTCATGCTATCTTCATAACTATTTATTGAATATCTTTCTTTTCCTAACAATTCTAAAAATGTCTCTAAGTTTTCATGATGCAATTACTCATACAGATGTGCATCCCCATAATTCATGAAATACCACAATCCTCTTTTGTGAGTATTTTATTTAAAATGTAATTTAACTTTGAACTATATTATTAGTTATTTTATAATGAATTCATTTTCAAACTTTTAAATTATTTATAAATACTCTTACCTATATTGGTTAAACAGATTCGTTGAAATCTTGGGATAGTCGTATAATTATGATTAATGAGTAGATAACGATAGGATTGATTATTGATTATTCGTATTTATTGAAGAATTGTCCATTTGATCAAGGTTTGAGTGTTGTAAAGAATAGATGTTTAACAAAACACTTAATTCTTAAGCAAATTACACTTGTCTGAATGAATACAATTTAAGATAAACACATGCTTTTTATATTAATTCTTCTTTCTCTTTGAATAATTCTAAATACTTCAGTGGTGAATTCACCTTACTTAAAAGATCCACAAACTTCTTAGCATCATTACTTAATTTACCATTTAATTAAATTGCCTATTATACTTATTGGCTTTACAAATTAAATTAAGTAATGATCTAATAAGCTCTATTGTTTAGTTCTTCAAATGATGTTAGAGTAGATAATTATTTTAAATTTATGGTAGTTGATAACTGATCAGCATAGTTTTGTAGATTATTTGAGTCGATGATTGACCAAAGAGATTGAAAGTTCAAAAAGTTATCATATTTGTACTTAATAGATGTGAAAATATCATAGAGTTCTTCGGAGTATGAATATTGTTATGATATCAATTAGAAATTTAAGACATGATATAGATGCATATCATGGAAATATTTATCATATTAAGTTAATTAGTATTCACCTAACACTGATTGTTTAATTTTTTACATAAGTGATGATTTTTATGATTTGATCTTGATTTACTTTATTTTCATTTATAAATTTTAAATCTATTCGTTGTTTATAAGAGTTTATGAATTATGTTGAAATTGGCATTTGGATTTTTCTACCAACAGTTTCTTCCAAATAAGCAACAACTGTTTGGCTTCATTGTTTTAAATTAACAGTTCTAATGAATAAAATAAAATGAATAAGACTACTGCTTACACACCTCCATTAGGATATATGTACTTTTTAGATACTTCAGCTTGTTGAAAACCAAAAAATGGAACTGGATCATACTCATAATATCCTATAAATTCAGTATCAGGATAAAATGAATATAGCTTGTTTTATTTTTGTAAATATGTGACATATTCATGAAACACCTTAACAAATAATTAGGGATCGCTTAGGATCAACTCTTTATTTTATGTTATAGCTGTTGGTAGCAACATAAATAAATCTAACAATGCAATTTCTGATTTTGGATTTTATTTACTATTAGTGTTATTTTACAGCAACAAAATTGTCAATATGACTTTCATAAATTGATTATTTTGTTATTGTATCATATTAAATAATTTCAATATTTTCTTGGCCGAAAAATCAATATTATCTATGTGATGTAACACAATATAATTGATTAATGTTTAACCAGTCTCTATATTTATCAATTCTCTAATGAAATTCATCAGTTCCTTATGATTACACAATTAATTCATAAATACTTTATACTACTGAGATTAAAGAAAAAATTCAATTATCAATTATTTAGTTTCAAGATTGTAAAATGAAAAGTGAGATAATAATAAGTTTAACACCTCTTTTTCTAAATTCAACTCTTATTTTAACACCAAACTTGATAACTAATCTAATTAACTATAAATATTATACATTAATTAGAACCTAAAATGTTTGCTACTGGCAAATAATATTGCTGGTTATTTCAAACAAAATATAATTGATTTTAATGAATAAGGACTTAATAGCACTGTATTCTTTAGTTTTTTATTATTATTATGAATTCTTGGTTTGTTAAAGTTCTAACAATTTATATTCATAATTAATTTAGTGAACTTGTACTTTTACTAAAATCTCCATTAATGGACCTAATAATTGATCATCTAATGTATTTTAATTGACCATCTCTATTATTACACCATAAACGAGTTTGAATATGATTTATAAAATAGTATCATCGTTTTCCATCTTTAAGGCAAATTGACTCTACATCACATCTAAAAATGATTCCTTCTACACTGATTAATTTCCTTATCTAATATCTGTTAATAACTCTAAAATTAAATTATTTTAAGGTTTTCTCACTGTAAAACCCAATATAACTACTAAATCGTTAATAGTTTTTAAAGTGAGATGATTTAATAAAAGTAGAATTTCATTTTTTAATACTTATAATTTTTCTGTTGATGTATTTCTTTTATCTCTGATTGTCATTTGAATAGGCAGGATTTGATCGTTACTAAATTGCATTTAAAAAAAAGGGTTGTACATTATGTACAAAAATGCATTTTATTATCATCCTTCTTGTTTAGATATAGGTTTACTAATCTCCTTTACTCCTCTTCATAAGTTATTAATTAAACTTTACAAAATATAATACAAATTTCTGAACTTAATCCTTAAAATAGGTGAATAACTCTTCATTATTTTGTAGCTATTCAAATAGATAAGAATAGAGATATGATAGAATATCATATTAACAATATTACCAAAATTCGAATTCATGATATATACACATACAATCTTACTTTAGTATTTAAATTATTTAACATTATAACAAAGAATTATAGAAGTTGAGAATTTACTGTAATAGTTAAATTGAACATCCTTATGTTTTCATATGTACTGTCAATAAGTAACCTAAGACTTTTATGCCTTTATATTAAGAATCAGATCTCAAGTAGTTTTATATTGAGTTATCATCCCCAAATTTTTGGATTATTGTATTAAGTAATTGCAAAACGCTAATTACACATTGAGGATGATTCAAAATATGCAATGGGAAAAAAAGGATATCCAAATTTCCATATGATTTCATAACATCAAGCAAAGTAGTGTTTTCTAAAAATAAGACATTTTTTGAATTCTAATTGGTAACTTCCATAGAATTTGAACTTATCCTCTATTAAAATAGTTTTCCCATAAACTTTGATATTGTAGTTTATTTTTATCTTCTTCCTCTAAACATCAAATATTAACAATTCTCAATGAAGATTTAATTACTCTAATTCAAGAGTCCATCAAATTATATGTCTTACTTCTATGATTAGGTATTTAGGTATATCAAAATTCTACCTTTAATTTACATTCTGAGTAATTATGAAAATAAAATTGAATTATTCTATGATTTCTTTTCTAAAATATACATATCCTCAGCATTGATATTTTAATCTAAAATGTAAAGAAGTCTCATCTCTCCTCGGAAAGAATCACTCAATGATTTATAATCAGTCAGCTTTGCACCCACAGCAAAGAAATTTAAAACAGGAATTTGAAAATTGTCAAATTAATCTGCTTGCCTTGCCAAAACATCATTTCCATTGATATTTACTTAAAATGCTCTGCTCTAATTAAAATTTATGACAATAAAATTCTCCTGATACTTTAAAGTGTACTTAGCTGTTTTTATGATATTTTATTGTTTGTATCTAATACCAAGTAATTAATTATCTTCAATAACAACTGAAAAGTTTATGTCTTAATTTCCCCAATTTAAGAGTGTTGATTATTTTAATTAACCTTTAAATTGCAAGATAATAGAGAATATATTATTTTGAGTTTCAAATTGCATCTAACCTTTTACTATTATACCACTGTCATGCCCAGTAAAATAATAATATTAATCATTTTAAATCGAGATCACCTTGTTTAAACAATATAATAGTAGAGTAGAATTTTTTAAGAAAAGATCCTTGTCAGCAATTTGATCTTAAAAATACATTTATTATTAATAGGACCCACATTCTATAGATGACAGTGGAACACCCAAGATAGAGGCAATCTTTCTATATTAGGTTAGCTTTTATTTTTCTTCAATATATGGTATCATAATCAAAGATTAGTATGGTGACATAAATTAAGCAATTGCTTATAAATACTACAATGAAAATCTCACTTTAATACAATTTATTAAGATTTAGATGATTAACTCTTAAAATTCACTTTCAATCCTTAAGAAGAAGATAAGTCTTTCTACTAATTAGCACTTCATAATGATTAGTACATTTTCGAGATTTTTAGTCAATAATAATAATTATTACAAATAATATTATTTCTAAGCAACCTCAACGTTTTATTCAAATAGTAAAATCGTCAACAGTTCTAAGAAATAGGGTACTTGATTTTATATATACTAAATATCTTAACTTTCTTCAAAAAGCCCATTAAAAATATTAAATAGTAGTTTAAAAATAGTCTAACAGTTCTCTCGTGTTATACATTATTTAATATAAGCCAACAATTGTTTATTTTCAAGTTCCTCTTATCTAATATCTCTATCAGTCCAAATACATATTGTGGTTACCTTCAGGGCCTCAATCAAATGGTCATAATTATATTTAAATTGAATTAGATCAAATATATTAAGACATTTGAAATTTTTCAATTTAAATTCTTAAATAGGATTGGTTGTTAAGTGTGGAATTGCTCCATCAATATGTAAAATCCAAATTGCTTTTAGTGAATTTATAGAATTATATTATGCTAACTGTTTTATAACTTTCTAAATTAAAGATATTGATTCATACTTGTTAATTCACTAAGTAGTTGAAGTTATGCATTAACCCATTGAGAATAGACTCATCATCAAAAATATCCAAAGAATCTATATTTTCATAAAATTGTGGGTTTTTGTTATAGACTTTTAATTTGATTTCATGATCAAAAGATTAAACTCCATCTAAAAATTTAAAAACTTCAACATCTACTATATAATCTTATTTAAGTGCTGTTTCCATAAACTATTTTCTTATTTAAGTTTGTTATTCTTAAGTTAAATTCGATTTCAAATGTTTTATAACGATTCCCAATAACCCAAGTTGAATCAAACAAAATACATATAGTTCTAAGCAATCTTTATGTGGGGAAAATACTAATTTCTTGAGAATTTCTTCTAATTTTGTTGGATATTGAATAGGAATGGTTTAAGGGGATATTGGACAAGGAACATTCTCTAAATCTAGCATTCTTACGTAAATGGAAATTTGAATTATTTAATAATATGGATGTTAGATGTTTGTTGGCATCAACTTATAAAAGGTTCTGATGTCTTAAAGTGTCCATACAAAGTCTTCATTAAAAGATTATTCATGTTTTTCTAATAATTCTATATTTTATTTAATAAAGTAGTTAATAAATATTTGAGGTACTGATGGGTGGATAGATTTCCTTAAATATTCTAGGATCTTGGGAGATAATTAAACCCAGCCTTCCAAGTTATACTTATACAACAGTGTGATCATTTCAACATTCATTATTTATTGACAAATCTATGTTAATGCTGATTATTCACATTCTGCCATCTCAGCTTCATCTGATTCTTATACTATTTTTAAGAATCTATTTATGATATTTTTATCCAATTTATGTCTGCTCATTATTAAGTAAATTCCACTAATCCAAGTTGATCTTGATTTGAGTTGATCCAAAATAAATAGTGCATTTTCAAATTGTTACCCCTCTATTGCATCATATAATTTTTATTGATTTGACTTTAGGCTATTTCTAATCATCTCAACATGATAATTAGGTACTAATTATAACATTTATTATATTATGTTAAATTATATTAAGCAAAGTTTGATTAATTCATATATTTTCAGTTCATTCTAGTACTATATGTGTTGAAATTTGATACTTATTATCAGCTAATTATTCAACAAAATCTATAAAACTTAAATAAGTAATATAATTCTTTGTATTTAAGACTTTATCTACTTAATTTTTATTTTTACATAAATTTAGCTGAATAAAAAATTTTAATTAGAATGCTTTAAATTTACATTAATTAAAATATTATAAGAAATCAAAACTTTTAATTTATCATTAATTGCGTTACCATTTATAAATACGAATTTAAAAATCAATCACTAATGTATTCATATCTAAGGATTTATTTTCTTAATTATCTAATGTAATATTAAAAGAGACCTATCGTGGTTTCATAGCTCTATAAGTTTCATTTAGAAAAAAAAATTTATTCTTACTTTTAAATCTGTAAATTACTAATAACAATTGAGGAATTTTTTGATCTATTCTTTAAAGTTTTACTTTATCTTACCTTATATAATTAATTAAAAAATTTAAAAGTTAATATTCTTATTTCTTGATTAAGATGCTGAATAATGTACTCAATTAAAACAAAAAATCTTATTTCATGTTTCTCCAAAAATACTTAAATGAATTTATAAACTTTGTTATTCTTCTTCCCAACTTCCTTTATTTAAAAAGTTGAAAATGCTATTTCTAAATAAGGAGGCAATCAAAAATGGCTTATATTTGAATATTCGCAATTAATCTCTAAACATAATGAAAAAGTAAATAAATTATTTTATTGTTTTAAAAGGCCATTTCATTATAAGACCTATCCTCCAAAACTTGAAAAATTTAATTTTAATTAGTTCAATGAAATAACTTATAAAATCCTAAGCCAGAAAAGCTGTAGTAATAAAATTAATTTATTTTAGAAATTATTCAATTTTTATAAAATAATTCAATTTAAATTTATCATACTTATATAATTAATATAAGAATTTCTAAAACTCTAAAAATAATGAATTAGAATGCGCTTTTAATTCTGCTTACAGTGTCTTGTCTTCTTCAGGGTAAGTAAATGTGTTATAATCAAAGGTGGTTTTGGGTGTCCTGCAGGGACTTGGGGAATAAGCCCTTGTTTACCATGTATGAGTGAGTGTGCCACTTGTAGTATTGCTACACAATGTAATTCTTGCAAGCCTGGATACTACTATGTATCATCTGGGTTTGGGCAATGTCCTGATTGTTCATCTACGTGTAAAACTTGCACCTCCTCAAGTACTCATTGCACAAGCTGTAACGATGGTTACTATTTATCTGGAACAAACTGTCCAGCATGCTTAAGCCCGTGCTCATTATGCGTAACAACTAACAGTAATTGTCTTGGTTGCGTTTCTGGCTATTATATTTCAGGATCAACCTGCGTAACATGTTCAAAACCGTGTGCTGAATGTACTACCTCACCCTCTAATTGTACAGTGTGCGTAGATTCAGCTAATTAAGCAATTCCTAGTTGTGATTGCACTCAACCTACCAAATATTTAGATACAACTACATATATGTGTAATAATTGCGTTTCCCCTTGTCTTAATTGTAGTACAGCATCTTTGTGTGATAGCTGTGTTAATGGATATGTAATATCTGGACACGCTTGTCTACCTTGCACCAAGCCTTGCGCAAACTGCACAATTAATTAAACCAATTGTTAGACTTGCGTTGATTCAGCTAACTAAACACCTCCCAGTTGTAGTTGTAACAGTGGCTTTATAATGAACTTGTCAACCTTTATGTGTGACCAATGTATTCATCCATGCTTAACATGTCAAAATTCAGTGAGTGAATGCCATAGTTGTGCTTCAACATATTAATATGATTCAACAGCCCATACTTGTACTTGCTTAACCAATTAATATGAAGACAGTGGATCACCTAAAACTTGTTAAAACTGTTAATCGCCATGTTTGACATGTTCAAGCAATGTTAATTGCAATTCATGTATAAGTGGAATAAATAGACATTAATCAGGAAGTAGTTGTATTTGTGATGATGGTTATTATGATAATGGTGGAGTATGTACCTTATGTTCATTACCTTGTACAAAATGCACTTCACCAACAGTTTGTACAGAATGCTATTAAATATCCTATTAAGTGTTAAGTGATTGTCATTGCATGAATACTTACTATATGGATGCTACATTTACCTGTTAATCATGTATTAGTCCGTGTCTTAACTGTTCAAGTAATAGTGTTTGCACATCTTGCATTGATAATTACTATTTAGACACTACTAACTGCGTTTAATGTACATTACCATGTTTCAATTGTGTTGACATAGATACTAAATGTACATCATGTGCACACCCTCAATAAACAGTTTAAAGTAATTAATGTGTATGTGATGATGGATATTATATGGATGCTTCTTATTATTGTTAATTATGTACTCATCCTTGTTCTAAATGTACAAATACAAGTACATAATGTACAGATTGTGCTAGTACATTTATATCAAGTGGATCAAATAGTTGTATTTGTGCTGATGGAAAATATGAAGAAACAACAAATTCGCCTAGTGATTGTTAAACTTGTACTTCACCATGTGTTAAATGTGAAATAACATCTACTCATTGTTTAACATGTATTGATACTAATTAAAGTGTTGATCCATCATCATATTAATGTATATGTAATATAGGTTGGGTTGCAAATGGAAACTATTGTGATTAATGTTTATCACCTTGTACATCATGTTCAGGAACAACAACTTATTGTACAGCTTGCAAAGATGCTCATCATTAAATAGTAAGTGGATAATGCATATGTGAATCAGGATGGGTAAATGATGCAAATTATGATTGTTAACCATGTGTATCCCCTTGTAGTTCATGTTCAATTAATACAACTCATTGTGATTCATGTTTAGATATACATCATATTATTAATGCTAGTTATTAATGCATTTGTTAAGATACATATTATTCAGATACTATATCACATTGTGAACCATGTGTATTACCTTGTGCAAATTGTGATATAAATGGATGTCTAACTTGTATAGATACCAATTAATATATTGATTCTAATTTAGATTGCATTTGTAATAATGGTTATTATATGGATACAGTTAATTGTTCACTATGTTAATTACCTTGTGTATATTGTACAACACTTTTAGATTGCTTAACTTGTATTGATGCTAATTAAAGTATTGTAGGTGATAGATGTGTATGTAATGATGGTTATTATGCAAGTGGAAATTATTGTAATTAATGTTAACTACCATGTACTAAATGTGTAACTACATAAAATACTTGTACGCAATGTGTAGATCCTAATCATTTACTCATTAATAATAATTGCGTTTGTAAACCTGGATATGGATAATCTGGATTGAATGGTAATTATTGTTCTATGTGTTAATATCCATGTTTAGAATGTTCAATTAATGTAAATACTTGTACTAAATGCATTGATTCCAGCTTATTCAAACTAGAAAATAATCAGTGTTTATGTCAAGAAGGATATTATAAAGATGAGAATTAATGTTTAAGATGTGCTCCATAATGCAAGAGTTGTGAATAATTTTAAGATTATTGTTTAGCTTGCAAAGACGTTACCTTTATTCAAATTAATAATTAATGTTTTTGCGATTATGGATATTTTTTAAATTCAGCCTTTTAATGTAAACCCTGTAATTCACCTTGTACAACTTGCTAATACAATAATAATTTCTGTACTTCCTGCATAAAAGAGTATTAATATTTAATAAATAACACCTGTGTTTGTTAAGATGGATATTATATGTAGAATTATGAATGCTCGTTATGCTATTATACCTGCACTAAATGTTTTAGCTTTAATATTTGTAATGCTTGCGTAGATGGATATTATCTTAATAATGATATTTGTACTTAGTGTGATACTTAATGCTTAACTTGTATTGATCATGATGAATGTTTAGCATGTTCAGATGGATACTATATGGTTTAAACCCATAAATGTACTTCATGTATAAGTAATTGTAAAGAATGCGATAATTCATATACTTGTATTACATGTTTTGATGGTTATTTTTTATATGATGAATAATGTGTAAAATGTGATGATAATTGTCATACTTGCGTTGATGAATATTAGAAATGTCTAAGTTGTAATGATAATTTTTTATTAATTGATAATAAATGCATCTGCCAAGAGGGTTATTATTATTAGAATTATGAATGTTTAAAATGCTAATATCCTTGTAAAATATGTGAACAAGAATTTAAATGCAATGAATGCCTTTCATTATCAAATATTATATTAAGTGATTAAAATATGTGTGTATGTAAAGATGGATATTTTTGGTTAGATAATGGATGCTAATAATGTGATGAAACTTGCTAAACTTGTTTTTTAAAAAGTTAAAATTGCTTAAGTTGTTAGCCCTAATCTAATAGAGTTTTATTTAACAATAAATGTTAATGTTAAAATGGCTATTACTTAAATGAATTTAATTTATGTTAAACTTGTAACTCTGAAGAAGGGAAAATAATTAAATCTTGCAAGTATAAGAATTGCCCTGATTCTTAATGGACATACGGAGAAGAATGTGACGATGGAAATGATACTAATAGAGATGGTTGCTCTAATTGCATTATTGATAAATATTATTCATGCGTGAATACTATACTTTAACAGTCAATTTGCTTTAAATGCCCTTAATATTGTGAACTCTGCAATGAAGATGATCTCAATTAACTGGTTTGCAAAAAATGTTAATCAGGCTATTTTGTAGATGCCAACTCGTGTAATAAATGCAATGATAAGTGTAAAGAGTGTGCTGATTCATCATCAAATTGTTTATCATGCAGATTCGTTTAAAATGATTAGAAACAATGTAAATTGTGTGAGTCGATGGATGGATATTATACAGATTATAAAAACAATTTATGTTATAGCAAATGTGGTGATGGGATTAAATCCAAGGATGAAGAATGTGACGATGGAAATATATTAGATTTTGATGGTTGCAACTAAAATTGTAGAAAGGAATAAAATTATATTTGTTAGATGGGAATATGTTTGAGTACTTCAAATATTCCAGTTCCAAAATTATAGGCTATAGGAGATACCTCACTTTACAATCCCTAAAGGTTATTTTAGCTCACTTATAATCTTGATCTCGATTTGCCAGATAATTTTAATCTATCTTAATTCATACAATTAGAACTCTATAATGGTTTTGAATTCAAAAATATCAATTATGAATATTCGATTACATAATAATTGGAAATCCAAAATTCAAATAAGACATAACTGTCAGCCATTATTAAATTAACTCTGAATAGAACATCCTCACAAGAGTCCTTGTAAATAGTGTATAACAATCTGACATCATTTTCTTCAGATGGTTAAATATAATAGATTTCATATCTAACATAAGAAATTAAGAAATATACCCTAATTGATTAATAATTGATCGAAGAAGTAGGATTAGTTAATTCAGGAAACTATTATATTCTGTATATATTAGCTGGATTTGCCGGAGGATCAATTCTATTTGGAGGAGTTGATATTTTTTATAATCTTCTTGATACACTCTAGATGTTGTCCTATCTTAAATACATTAACACTTAATTCCCATATAATTTAGAGTAATTTTTTGATTTGTTTGGGTTTGCTTAATTGAGCTTCATTTCAAAGTACTTTGATATTGAAGGTCTTATTGATCCTTACATTGATTTTTAAAGATTGAAATCCATTCCTAAGAAAATCTCTGATGATGGTTACAGTTCCTTGTTTATAATAAATGGTACATCTTTATTAACCATTTGGCTATCATTCCTTTTCGTTTTTGCTATAGCAATAATGGTTCTACCTATTTTAAGATAGTTTTAGATGAAATATTTTTCAGACACACCAGAAAAGGATAAATGGGTTTTGAGAATTAAATTATATTTATTATCAATTAAGATATTTATTGGAGAACTTTGCTACATAATCATATCTGAGTTTATTTTTAGTGGAATGATAAGGACTCATATTTCAACAGCATATGATTATTCATTTTCAATGATTCTATAGATTTCAGCCTTAGAACTAAGATCTTAAGATTAATTAGCTTAAGTGAGTTCTGTGTTGTCATTATTAGCTTTGGCTGTTTATTTATTAGTAATCTATGCAATAACCTATATATCTCAATTAAGTAATTACTCTATTACTTAACAAAACAATAAATAGCGTTACGGCTCTGTTTTTGAGGGTTTAAACTTAATTGGCTTTTGTAGATATACTAACGCTATAATCCTATTGAAAAAACTACTTTTTATGTTCCTGCTAATTTTTACATACCACGACCCTCTATTCCAATCGATAAATTTAGCTTTTCTTTCTTTGATTTAAAGTTTATTAATATTTTATTTCAAACCTTTTGAAGATCAGAATGAATATAAAAAACAGTTTTCATGTGAAGTTAATATTTCCATAACGTTATTTCTTATATCAATTTTGATAATTGATTAAGATTTGCATTATAATTTTTTTACAGAAGAAGACAAAATCAATTTAGGTTGGTGCTGTATTATTTGTATAAGTTGTATTTTGATCATTTAATTAGTTATTGATATTTATTAGTAATGGAGATTATTGATAAAAAAATATCGATAAATAAAACGTTTGATCGAAAAAATTAACAAATTATTCTTTTCCTAATCTGAAAGTCATGTATCCCATACGCCTCTTAGCGTGGTGCACTGAGTTAAGGGATTAGGGAAAATTTGATATAATGTAACAAATTATATAATAAATTTAAAATAAATAAAAAATACCCAAAATATTTTAATCTAATTAATATTAACCAATGAGATTTTTGTAAGAAATTAAAAAATTGTTGATAGGTGTACTAAGAATAGAAATAAATTCTTTTGAATAAAAATGTTTAGTACATAATCATTCTTATTTGAGATAAATTTCTTAATAATTTTAATCTTTGGTTCCTTCTTTATTTATTCTCTCAAAAAAGCTGATTTATATTAAATTATCACTTTAGAAATAGTATGCACTTTTTATTCAATTTTATTGCCTTTATCCATTGTGAAAAAGTAAATAATAGACTTTAAAATAACCTGATTTAATTTTATTATATCAAATATATTTACTATAATTTAATTAAAGAAAAATCATTTAAGTTTGAGTAATCTCTAGATGGCTTCGTTTGTTTTCAAAGTTTCCGATATAATTTTATGAGGACCTGATTTATTGTTTGAGATCGCAGGGTTTTGAGAATTTGCACCTGCTGTTTTCGAACTATTGCCTTAACTTTTATTTCTTTAGGCAGACTTCTATTGTTAGGCATTGCAAATATCAGAAATTACATTTAAGGTGTTCCTTATCCTTTTAGTATTGTTGCCAAATCCTCCTTTAAGTAAATATTGACTCGCCTAAATTACCTAAGATCTCTAAGTGATAGATTGAGCATGTTGTTTAAGGAGTTTGTTATATTTTACAAATAAATCTTATTCTTATGTGCTACGATGTTGAATTTAGTTGTTAAATTTGCCACCTTTATGATGTTGGGATTACGACTTCAGAGGTGTAGAAAGTCTCATGGAATTCTAGGGGTATAGATTTGCAATCGAACCAGGATATTCGTTACTGTAATCAGCTCTTCTTAATTTGTGGTCTGAATGACAAAACTAATAAATTTATCTCAAATTACTTTTTATCTTTCATTCTACCGTTGACTTCACTATCTGTATGTACAATGTGTTAGTGATCTACAGATTCTCGTAATTATTGATTCTCCTTTATTAACTATCGATGGCTCTCTGTGGATTTTCCGAGATCCTTTTTTAAGTCCTAAATTTTATAATGTTAAGATTTACATAAATTTTTTTATTTAATTATTCTATTGTTTCATTTTGGGACTTTTCTAGGTCTTCTATCTTCTACAACAAACTGTCATTATAAAGTTTAAGCTATTATTCGATCTAAAAGAACTAATCAAACTCATGTTACGCTAATGTGTCCTCTGATCTCGGCTTCATATTTTTATATAATCTATTCTAATTTATCATACTCCTCTTCTGCATGATAGCTTCGATTAGAACTATTATCATTAGGATTAAGTTTCAGAAGGGAGATTTTTTTCTCGACTTTCTTCATCAAAGTCTTGAATACATTGGCTATGATTTTAACTAGTCCTGGTAATGTATCATAATCTTTTAATTGATTTTCAATTAATTTCAAGTCACTCTAACCCTCCAAATAGCCTTCCAAGCAGAATAATACCTTTTTGTAATCTTAATTTGCTTACATCTTCAAGTAAGGCTTTCAGCGGAGCTTCTATCAGGGACTCATTGATTTCACTCATTCAAATAGAAATTCAGTTATTTATTTAATAAATGATTATATGCGCTAAACTATTTAGGATTCTTTCAGAGAAGTATCTAAATAGAATGGATGAAGGGAGTCTAAAATAATTTCTACAGCTTTAATAAAAAGATTGTAGTGTATAGAAATCTAGTTCACTGCGTGATGCAGAAGAGAATAAGAGCTAAGAGAAATAAATAAGAAATAAACTTAATCAAATTTAATATAATTATTTATTAAAATGGCTATGGATAATGCTAAATTTGAATAATTGAGCAAGAATTTCCCTTCATCTTTGAAATTCAGATTAAATCCAGTATACTATGGTGCTAGAGTAGGAATTCAAGCTTACTTGGGTTTGTTGGTGGGAGGAAGTCTTTTGATATACTTAAATACTTTCAATGGCATAACATTCCCATATTTATATAAAAAAGTAAATTTTTGAGAAATGAGCAATTAGCAAAAAGTAGAATATTCAGCAGTGCCTGACTTTTATTCTAAACAAGTGTTATTGTACCAAAGAACAGTTCCGAATACTGTAACATAATTATGAGAATAATTACATAAATAAATAAGATATGCAATATAATTTCAGTCTTGCATTTCTGAGTCCAATTCATCAATTTCAGAATCTTCTATTACTTCTTGCTTTTTAATTTCCTCATGATTCTAGGGTTTAGTGATTTAACTTTATAATTTCAGCAAATTAGCAGGTGCAATCAAATCACTATCCATTAAGACAGTTGCAATGTAGATATCATTGTTTTCCCAAAGATACTATCTATATTCCACCAATTGTAAATTCAACAACAAAAAAATCATGTAGAGTATCATAAACAGCCAATACAATGGGATGACATAGAATTTGTAATACAATTCCTAAACCAATAAGAATGTTGTCAAAAAACTGATTGTCACAATGTGATTAATGTAATATTTTACTTACAAATCGTTATGTCCTTTAATAATGTCTCTTGTCTTGAGGAAACAATAAATGCTTAAATAGGTCACACTCATTACAATAAAGAAGGACTAAGAATTGTTGTTTTCATACCTCAAAAATTTTGATTCTGCTTAGGCAAAGAAGGATATAGAGTTTAGTAATCAAATGGATGGAAAAGATCACATACTTGAGAGGTTTCTAGATTATAGTGATTACATTCATACATTTGAAAAGGATTGTGAGCAAAATTAGACGGAAATCAAAGTCAAAATGTAAAGAGTGACTATACTCAGTCGAATTTAAGCCTTGATGAAATCTAGATTCTGTTTAATAGTAAAACATTACAATAAATTTGCAGAGTAAAATCGGTATTGAAATAGTGCAAAGTTGTATTAGAAGAGCTGACTCCTAGATTTCTTGAATTTTCACTTTGACCTTGAGTTAATCTATGTATTATTAGTCAGGCAAGACATCTATTTCTTATAGTGACATTTCTTTTTATTTATATTTTTATTTTAAAATGAGCGACGAAAAGGAAAAGCTCAAAAAAAAAATACTACATGACACAGAATAGCTAGCCAAGGGTTAAAGATTTGCCTTGTTCTCTTCTCCAGTCCCCTTGGGTTTAGGAGACGACAGTTACGATTTCAAAAAGAGACGTACCTATTTTCTTAAATACCATAGCTCCTAGAGGGGAGAATGGCAAACCGATTACTCAACCTACCAATATGAAAATTGGAGCCCCTAAAGGCGGGAAGATAAGAAGCTCGTATTTTAGTTAGGTTTCTTTTACTTCTATTGGCGATCCTTATATGGATCCAGAAAGAAAGGATTTGCAATATGAATTGGAAAAAACAAAGAAGATACTATTTAAAGATCAGCCGTTTAGACCTGCATCAGGTTATAAGGAATTATTAGGAGGGCCTTGGCCACATATGAAAGATTTTGATATGAAGAAGACTAGAAACTATAAAACTGCTGATGGACGAGTTTGGTCAGCTCCTCGCAATATCACAACAAATCCTGCTAATAAGGAATTATCAAAGGGATATCCGCATCAAAAGGATGAATACGATAGGTTTCATTAATATCAATTGGTAACGAATCCTTTATTCTATGATAGAAATTATAAATGGAAGCAAAAAGAAGGGAAAAAGAAGTTGCTTTCAGAACAACAGTAGCAGGAGGGGAGAATTTCAATAAAGACAAATAAGTATTTGGATCGGATGGAAAAGCTCCTCCTCCAAATAAAGAGAAGCCTCATGATATGCACATAATGAAACATGAATAAAATTTCAAGCCTTCAAACCCAGGTAAGAAGGGCATTGAAGGAGAATTTGAATAAATTACTTATAAACCAGATCCACTGAAACCCATGAAAAGAAAGGAATGGCCTAAAGGAAAAGAATAATTCAGACCCAACCATTTAGTCGTAATGTCAAGGCCAACTCCATCAATTACGTGTTTTAAATAGAACATTAGAAGAGTAATGAGTGCGAAAGGATTCTGAGAATATATAATCATATTATAACTATTGATTTAAAAAGTATTCTAGAAAAATAGAATATTGCATTATACACCTAAATCAATGATCAATGGTAGACAAATTCAACTTGGGCATCTTAAAAGATTGAAATAGCTGGATAATATTTCCCATCCTTTATTGGGAGTACTTTGAAGGCACAACCAAGGGATTTGCCTTATTCTTCAAAAATTAATTCATTATTAATAAATAACATTCTCAATGGTTCTGATTTCTTGATACCATTTCCATACTTAGCTCCAATGCCATCATTAAACTTGGATCCGTCCTTGACTCTATAGCTATATTAGCATCTGTGCATTCCTACAGGATATTCAATCAGATTGAGTGAGGGATCATTGAGAGTTATGCCTACTCTCACTCCAGAACCCTTTGTATAGATGATGCTTCATACATTTATTAAGTTTATTATTAAACTATTCTCATTGCCCATGGGTGGCTACAAAATAAGAGTTTCATAACCTGATTCCTTGAAGGCTAATGAGACTTTATTACCAGAAACGATGATGTTGGGCCCTTTCATCAATATACTTTTTTATGGCTTTTCTAATTCGATGGGGTTTTCGTCTAATTTATCTTGTTTTTTGTCTTCGACTTTATCTTCTATTTTTTCTAATTCCATAATAATAAATTATTAATAAAATGAACGTTGCTGAAATAGGCGAACTAAAAAAGTAATTTAATTGAACTACTATTTTAGATAATTGACCAAAGCATTAACAGAAAATGCTCATTTGATGTAGAAAAATTAATTGCTAGAATTAAAGTTAAAAGAAACAGAAGAGCGTAATTGCAATATATAAAAAATGAATGGAACTATTATGCATGTGTTGAATGATCTTAATGTGTAAAATAATAGACCTTCCACTGAGATTCTAAAATAGTAAGATTAATTCAATATGAAATTGATGTAATATCAAAAGAGAATAGAGTCTTATGAAACCTAAATAAAGAATTTGTAAACTCAGTTATAAGAAGCACTTATATCCAAAAATGAATAAAATCAAAGAATAACATAACTTTAAGAACATGATTCCTAATTGCTCAAGTAGATAGGAGCATTGGAATCATCTGTTAAAACATTGACTGGTCAATTGTAATTGTAAGGCAAACAAACTCAGGAATTCTCCTAATAATTGGAAGACCTTGAATTCGAGAGTCAGAAGGTCAAATTTTCTTAGAGTGTTAAAATCGAAGAATTAAACGAGGAGAACATGAAACTTAAAGAAGAATTGAAATCTCTTATGGGATAATACTTAAGAAAGACTTCTTCATCCATGTAAACTAGTGTACCAGCATCGCCTTAAAATATTAGATTGTAACCTCAACCTCCACAAACTACCACAACTCCTATTATTAAGAAATAGACACCTAAAAAGAGGACCACAACAATCACTTAATGGAAGAAATGATATCAACTTTATTATTATGTTATATAAATTATTGTAAAAATAAATATAAAATAATGGCAACATTCCAATAAAAATACGAATCATTGAAATAGGAATTTAATGAATTAGATATCAATGATGATGGCCGATTAGATAAGAATGAAATGTTCTAAGTTCTAGATTCTAAGGTATAACTTGTTTCATTTCTGTGTTGATTAGATTGGAAAATAATTCGATCGTGAGATTGCTGAAGAATTATGGTCTAATTTAGATATTAATCATGATGGTAAAGTGACAGTAAATGAATTCATTCAAATACTTTTGAAAGCTGAAGACAGTTTGAAAAGCAAAATAAACAATTGCAGAACTACTTTAGAATTAAACTATTAACAGAAAAGAGAAACAGAAACTAATTTAGATTATTGTTAATCAAATGAAAAATTGAATAACTTTGGAGTAATGGAAGGCAGTCAATTATGTGTTATTGTGATTCAAGCCGCAAATCTGAAGGCAGATGGAAAATAATTAGATCCTTTTATCACTTTACAATTTGATAAATTTGAAAAGCAAACAACTATTAATAAAGGTCCTAATCCTATTTGGAAAGAAACCTAAAAGTTCTATTTCCCTGTTTAAACTGGGAAGGAAGACTTAAAATTAACAGTTTGTGATTTTGATAAATATACTCCAAATATCGTGATTGCCAGGGTTGATTTAAATTTATCCAATAATGCTTTTAATCTGAAGAATCAGCAATTGCATGATATTTGGCTGGATTTATATGATGTCAATGGGAATAGAAGTGGATCTCAATTGAACATCCAAATCTAATGGGTCTATTCTAAGGTCAAATATCTTAGAGATGTACTTAACTCTTACTAATAATAAGTGTATTCATAAGAATAAGAATTACTGCAATATGAGAGAGATCTCTTTATTCTTTATGAGCCATTTGTTAAGTGGAGATAACTCAATACAAAAGGGTATTAGAAGCCCATCGCTTAAACACCCGCATCCATGATTCCAGTTTCATATTAATAGGCAGACCCAACAAAAATCATTAAGCCATTTTCTGATCCTCTTTTGGATAAAAATAGCAAATTCAAATTAATTACTATTTTGGTTGGTCTCATAGCTTGTCTTACTCTACTGATATTATTTTACAAGGCTTAATATTTTGATGTAATTAGAGTGTTGCTATAATTAGTTGCTCCTTATTATAGACTTCTATATCCTGTGGGAATTTAATGCTTTGAATGAGAATCGCATAAAGACTCTAGGGATCTTGTTCGGAATGAGTTGTTTCTTGGATGTTGTGTGGATCTTTTGCATTGGTATGAAATGGCTTGGTAATGATTCTCATGAGATTTTCATACCTTATGAAGTCTCCATCCAAAAAATGATCTCCATTTTAGTGATAATAAGTCTAATTGTGAGGGTAATTATGAATTTAATTCTTAGTTGTATCTAATACTAAACTTATTTTAATTATCTCAAGAGGTGTAAAACATTACTAATCCTTAACCTTAAAAAATACAACATAGGAATATCGTAAAAATAGATATGCAAAATACACATAATATTGAATCTAAAACCTACCTCCATAATGGACGACCAATTGTGATTTATTGAATATTTTTATTAATTATTTTATAATTGATATTCATATATGGGATGCTAAGTTGGAAAGACCAATCAAATTTAAATTAGATCCAAGTATAACAATCTCGTAGGAATTAAGTTTTAGTAAGCTATTGAAAATAGCAACCCTAAATTGAAATAATTGCAACATCAATGGAATCAATTTGAAATCAAAGACCTTAGTGCTGCTTTTAAATTCAAATAAAGTGATCCAGTCAGATTTAGAAAGTATCTTATGAATGGAGCAATCTCCTCCAATAGATGGCTTTTATGGAAAGTATCCTTATTTGTAGACAATATATTTGAATCAGGGTGTTATGAAGCCTTGTTGAAGAGTTAGCATCATCAGTTTGACATTGAAATTGAGAAGGACTTGCCCAGAACATTACCAGGTCATCAAGAATTTCATAAAAAATCTTAAGCATTATAAAATGTTCTCAAGGCTATCGCTATCTATAATAATGATTATGTGACAGGCATGAATCAAGTAGCTGGGTTCTTGTTATTAATAAGTGGAATGGAAGAGGAAGATACCTTTTGGATGGTAAATTATTTGAACATCAATCCGTAATTCAAATTTCTTTAATTATATCAAACGAATGATTCATAGAGTATAAAGTAATTTAGTTATTAGATTAAGGGAATCAATTTGAATATGTTACAAAATTATTAAGCATATTCCATAAGCATTTCTAAAGTCAAATGCCATTATTGTATCAACATTTTGAAACACAAGGCATCAACCAATATTGTTACATTTGGAAATGGATATTTACGCTATTTTTATATACATTCCCTTTTGAAGTGGTACTCTACTTCTTCGATTTCATGATTGCTAATAATATTTTGGCAATTATTTCACTATCTCTTGCTTTACTAAAACACTTCCACTCTCATCTACTTAAATTAAATCAAACTGAAATTGCTTAATTTATTACTCAATTCCAAGAATGCTCAGACGTCTTTGATAGATCAAGCCATTCAGATCACCTGTGTGTTGAATAAATCTTATGTTACGCTACCTAATTTCACGATTAATTGGGATTTTCGAGATTAGAAGAAACTTTGCAATGAAGTTTATAACATATTTCCTAAGTTACTTAATTAGTAAAATAATCATAATTATGTTTCTCCCTATGACGGTTAAACATAAGAATTCCAATCTTAGGGTTTCAAATCAATGTTCTATTCACTTAGATCCAACCACTTTATCCTTTTGCCATTATCCCACATTCCAATCTAACTCCTGCCATTCGGTAGTATGTATCTACCTTTCCCTTATTATTTGCCGTTAGACCAATATCCTTCGTATTTCTAATAAAGCTCAAATAATACTCATACCCTTCCATCTGGCCATGTGTAAATGCCATATCCATGTTTCTTATCGTTAACATACTGGCCTTCATATTATCTTCCATCCTTCCAAAAGTAGATCCCACGTCCACTCATCTGATTATTTAACCATTATCCTTCGTATCTCTAAATTAAATAAGGTTCAATACCCTCCCATCAGGCCAAGTGTACACTCCAAATCCAGACAACTTATTTTCACTCCAATTTCCAACATACACAGATCCATCTCCCCAGTAATACTTCCCAAATCCTTCTTTCTTGCCGTGCTAATAATTCCCCTCGAATCTCGCCTGATCAGCCCATGTTTCAATTCCAAATCCATGTTATAAATCATCCATCCAATCTCCTTCATACCTTGCTCCATTCGTATGAATATAAACCCCTTTCCCACATGCTTTATCATCCTTCCAATCTCCTTCAAACTAATCCCCATCTATATGCCAGAATCTCCCTTTCCCATTAGCCCTATTGTTTTTCCACTCTCCTTCATATTTTGCTCCATCACTCCAAATTTGAACCCCATATCCATCCCTGTTCTATCCAATCCATTCTCCTTCATAGAATGCTCCGCTCTATTAAATTAATATTTTCAACACTTTTCTACTTTAAATTGATGGCGAGCCCTCCTCTCTCTAACAGTATTCTCAGATTTAGGAACTTAAACATCATTAAGATCCTCCTAATTTCTTAGCATCATCTCGTTTTTTCTCTTCTTGCTATCTGCATTTGACTCTTGTTATCTTTTTCATAAATACCATTAGTCATGATCACTTGAACTTATGGAGTTTCAACTGGTTGAGCCCTGGTTTGTTCTGCATAGACAATAGCCTCATTTTTCTTAGGCGGATCCAAGTTCAAATATTGTTATATTATTGGACTTTGACCATCCTAATTCTTTTCCTCAAGGTCTTAAAAATTATTGTTAAAATCAATTTACGATCTTCATCTTCCTCTTCATTTGGTTGTTGCGAGTATTGATTCATTTGAGGGTTCGATTGTTGCTATACCTCGCTTATTAAGACTTCTTCCTTTTTCTAACAATTTTAACAGGTTGCACAATTGCTTCCCATGCTTTTCTTAATTAATATTAATCAATTAAGATGAATTCGAATTCAAAATCTCTATCTAACTCGATAAAGAAGGATCTCTATCAGCAAGCATGCAAATTGAAGGAGAACTCTATAGACAGTGAAGCTGAATCCTAGCTCAATGAACTGATAGACTCGCTTAAAACATCTGAAATAATTCAATAGGTTGAGGCATAAAGAGAGTGGTTACAGAAAATATTTTAAGCTTGGAGACTACAAACTGCAAAGACTTATAATGTATATCAAGTGGCGAGTTTTATAGAAACAAAAAAAAGGAAGTGGTTGAAAATACTCTTTAAGCAATGGCATCAATTTATCGAATCGATTCAAATTAGATAAGTCTTGCTTTTCAGATTCTAAACCAAAAGAGAAAAAAGACTCAAAGGCACATTGATGAAAGCCTGGGCTTAAGTTGTTTCAAATTTACAACAGAAATAAATTTATAAATATGATGCTCAACAATTCTACATAAAGAACACAAAAAACAAGTACTTTTAAGGCTGGCGTCGGTTCATCTAAAGAACATAAAATGATTTAATCGCTTAATAAGAATTGGTTCATCAATAATAAATGAAGTTATACTCAAAGTACTTTGGCATTATGAAATGCAAGATACATTAAACAGAGAAAAACTTAGAATAATACGCAATAAACAAATAGAAATAAAGGGTCTAAACAGTTTTTTAATCTTGGTTCTAATACACTTAATATCAGATCAATTAAAGAATAAATATTAAAGAGTTTATCAAAAAGAGGAATCTAAAACTCTTATTTGAAATTATCACTTTTTTAAAAAATTAAACTGAAAAGCATATAATTTATAGGAGACAAAAAAAACTGGCTTATTTGGGGAGGTGGAAAATGCTTATGTAAAAATCTTTTTATATTTTACTAAAATATAAAGGATAGCAATAAAACAAACGATATTTACATAAGATTAGGAAAGATAATCTATTGAAATCAGCGATATATACTCTAAAGGATACGAAAAATTTGGTTTAGAAATATAAAGAGATAGAAAAATGTCTTAGTTAAAAGAAAATGAAATAACTATTCTATTATTTATAAAATTATACATAAAAGCAAAAATATAAAAGATACTCATTAGAATTTGCATAATTTTTCAGGCGTAAATAATTATAGAAATGGTTGTTTTCGCTCATTAATTTATATCATAATTATCGCGTAAAAAAAAGAGATATGAATGAGAAAATGATGTAAGTACATTTAGTCAAATTTTGTAAGAGGATCTTACAGAAATGGAAGGAACATAATTAATAAACTCATCATAAAAAGCTTATTAAATAATAAATAGAATTCAGTAATTAATATAGAATAAAATAACAAATATTCAAAATAATGTCAAAAAAAAAATGATAATTCAATATTTTTTATATTATAATTTTTTAAGTTTTCTCTAGAATGCTTATTGTGCTTATGAGAATTCAAGATCTTTAATTATTTAGTTATTAAATCCAACCTAAGTCAATTATGTTATTTTCTTTTTGCTATCAGCTACAGGACTTACTCTCTCTTCTAAAAATTTAAAATATATTTTGCTATCACTAGTTTTAATATCCATAATATTGATTGGCGGTGATAGTTCTTTTGTTTTAAGTTCTGGTAATCTGAGACGATGGTTGAATCCTTTTTTGTTTTATTTTTCTATACTAATATTTCTGACTAATTTTCTTCTGTATTAATTCCATCTCTTCTTCTCCTCATGTAAATATTGAATATCGAAATCATCAGGATATCGTTTTAATTATTATTTATAAATTTAAATGACTTCCATAGTCAAAATCTTTTTAATGTTAAATGCACTTATTGTAATTATTTCACTCGGAATGGATGTTATGTAAGAAACATCAGATTCAATTTCATTTAATATTGCATAATCTCCAAATACATCATAATCACCTAATTCATCAATATCATAAAAGACATCCTTTTATTTTTAAGCAATTTCCTCTCTAGATGTTAGGCTACCACATTAGAACTTCGTCTTTCTTATCACTTAGACACATCCTTATTTAATAATATACATGTTTTGTGGTTCAGTGCCTTATTTTATTAATATCGTTTAAGAAGCAAAATTTTCTATGGTACATTTAGTGGAGATTTAAACTAGCATAGATTTCTAAACCATAAAAAAGATCGGCACTCTTTCCAAGAATGACAATAATTTATTTAAATTAGCTGTCTGCATCTCCTATTTATGATCCTTATTCAGATACTCATCAAATGTCTCTTTTGTCAAAACAATTAAATCACTTTTTTCTGCTGCCATAACTGCAGCTGTTCTTTTGGAATTATAGAGTAATGATATTTCTCCAAAAGCATCTCCTTTACGTAAAATAGCGATTTCTTTCTATCTAAATATTGAAACCTTACTAATTGCATAAAATTTCTAAATTCAGTAGGCTCTTCTATGAAAACCTTTACACTCCCACTTAGAATCACATAAAATGCATCCCCTGTTTCACCTTATTAAAATATATATTCTCTTTTATTATATGTCTTAAGAAATAAGTGTTTACATAAGTCTAAGAAATTTGGCTTACTTTTGTATTACTTCAAAAACTAGATTTCCTTTTCAAATCATAAATCATAAGTTACTCCTGCAATTTAAGCAATATCTTAGCATATTATTTAGTTTCTCCTTTCTAAAGGTACTTAGAGAAGTAATCTCATCTTTTCTATTTGATAAACAAATGTCTTTATATTGTTTTGATCTTCTGCAGTAAATTCTTAGACTATAAAAAAATTGATAATTTTTACATTCGTCTTAACCTTAAAGCATGTTAATATTATAATTAACAAATTAAATTAAGCAGGGATTTTTTGATAAATAAATGAAATATATAAACACTGAAAACCTTGAAAAATATATATAACTTATAAAGCAAATCGATCAATTACCCACCTATTAAAGAGAGTCAATCTCAGCATACCTAAATAATGAGTTCTCAATAAATATAAATTTTATTCTTAATCCCATTACTACTCGTTGCCAAAGAGCTTTAAGAAATACATTAATAAGATCTTAAAGAAACTTAATTAACTTAATTTGGTCTTAGTAGTATAATAGATTGAATAGTTTCTAAGACTTTTCATCCTTTTTCAGAATAAATTCCAAGCGTTTTTGGTTACTACTGTTATGCAGCCCCTCCTCCTTTGATTTTGTAACCTAACATTATTTCAGAATATGTTCCTGAAAAAAATGAAGAAATTTTGCAGATTGAAAATTTTTACAGAAATCAAAACCAAATTGAAGAAATAAAATATATGAGGCTAAGAATAGTAATAATACAACTAAACAGATTTAATAAATAATTATAGTTTATAATTCGTTAAATTATATCAGACCATTGACAGTAGGATAGTGAGCTTCGTTAGTTTAACCCTGCAAGAACTCAAAATGCTAATGACTTGTATTTCACATAGAATACAGAAAAATGTATATTAAATTGATAATCTAATTAACACAAAAATAAATTTGATCTTGGTTGAAATTTCAATTTAAAAACTAAGTTTTGTAGTGATTGGATGTTATTTAGTAATCTTATTCATATATTAAATCAGTAGGCCGTAGATGGTCACTTATTTGATGCTATTTTATATACTATTTTTGATATCTATGCTAATTTGGATCTATGCAGCGGAAATTCTAATAAAGGTCTGTTATTGTTTGCTTTTTTAAGTATTGCCTAAAATCGGTTAAAATCTGTTTAAATCTCAAACGATGAAGTCAGTGTTGATTAAATCAGGAATTTCTCTATTTATTTAGATAAAAATTGAACTATTGTTTTATCTGGAATGACTTAACTGATCATAATTTAATTGTAATTTCTATAAATTTTTTGTGCTGATAAATAATTATATATCATTTTCAATCATTGGATGATGTAATATTCATTTCAAATTTCACTCTCAGAATTGATAAATTGGAATGTTAAAATATTTAAAATAATTTAAAACTTAAACTAGTAATTTAGTCTTTTTTGCTGCAAGGAAGAATTATAAAAACAATTATATAATATAGAAACATTTAATCATTCTTCTACTTTGATTTTAATTGTTCTTTTTTTTCTGCGCAAATACTTTTCGGGATTTAAATGAAACTATCTAAAGCATCTTATTGCACATAGTGCTACGTTTATTTTATAATATATCTAACAAGCTTCACAAACAAAGCTTGATTTTTTGATTTTCTTACTTTTCTTTTGACAAACTTTGCATCTAAATTAAATAAATGAAATACTTTTAACTATGATTTCCTTTTTTTGGAAAATGGCAATTTTTAATATCTTAGAATATAGTTAATTCAGTTTGGGTTAAATGCAAGTATTCATTAATGTTTAACTTTTTTTAAATTATTGCATTCTAAGAAAAAAGATTCTATTTATATAATTTAAGTATTGCTATCATTTTATCTATATCTAACTATGTAGAAGGAGGTAAATTCATTAGAAATTGTGCTAAATACTCGATTTATTCTGGTGGCTCTCTTGGAATGATAGGTTTAATTAAATCCAGAAAGTTAAAGATCACAACCTGCTTCTCACATTATTCTAATTTAGACATAAACATTTGATGGGTCTCATTGATTTGATTTATTTATATTATCATGAATTCTTCGTAGGCCTTCAAGTCTTCTTTCAGATCTCGCTATATTTTCAGTAATGTCAGCAATGCACCAGTGTTTTTGGGGATTTTAATTTGAAGGTATGTGTTTGGAATTTAAGGTATATTTTGATATTCCATTACTAATATAATCTAGCTTTTTGGAAAAGTCTATTAAAGCCATTATTAAGCCTCTTCTTTTATTTTTAAATTATTAAGCTCCTTTACCGAAGCATAATTTACATAACAAATACAAGCTTAATGTTAATTTATTTCGAGAACGTCCTTCAAAAATTTTTCAACACTGGTGATATATTAATCAACTTTTCCCTCTTCTAATTTGTAGTGGTGTTGTTTAATAATAATTAATGAATTGGAACTGTACGCATAGAGAAATATAGTTCGAGAATCAGAAATATATCTTTCGAAAACTATAATTGTAGAGTATTTGTTGTCTATTTAGTTGTAATTCTATGATAATTATACTTCTGAATTTTAGATTAATATCTTATATAAAAAAGACATAGCTCCTTCCATTTAATTTTCAATTATTGAATTCATTTAATATTTAATATATTACCTCCATGTTTACAAAATCAAATATTTAAATAATAATATTTATGATTTAAAAGCATTTTCAATCCCTCAGCCCCACTCTTAAAATACTAAATAAACAGTCCCTTTAATATTAAAATATCATTAATTGAATAGCATTTTAATGCAATACTTTGTAATGTTTTAAATATTTCCACCAATATATGTCTCCTTTAATAATTTATAGAGTCCTAACTATAATTCAGATTAGATCTATATGATCATAATCATTAAAATGCAGTAAAAACTGATTTCAATTCAATTAATTCGTATATTCCTATTTTATCAACATATCATTTGATCTATTAACTAAAAGTAAGGGATCATTTTCTTTTTTATCAATCTAATCAATTATTAATGTTAACTAATCATTTATAATTAGTTAATTAATTCTCGAAGTTGTCAAGCCAAAAACAACCCCAAACTAAATTTTTCATTTATAAACCAAAAATGCTTCTATTATTTTCTTCTAAGTATTTAATACATATTTTTATTTTTATATTCATATATTTAATAACCAGGATACATAATAACTTTCTTTTAATTACCAAAAATTAAAATTTATTCCAGTGGAAATAATACCAGAATGAAACCTGTATATTATTATGTTAATAGCCTTTAATCCTTATGCAATTTATAATTTATTTATTCTATTATTTATATTATTTAGATTCATATTGATTTACCAAAACCAAATATATTACTTATTTTTACTACTTTTTTCAAAACCATCTTAAACAGACATAGTATGATGCAAATAATCTTGTTATTGGAGCAGTTGCGCTTAAACAGAACCAAAATATTGTAACTATTTTTTTTTGTAAAAAATTCTATTTATTTGTACTTAATACATTACTTAATTAAAGTAATATACATAAAAATGTACTAATATTTAGAAGGAATAATAAATATAAAAAAAAAGGAAAAGGAATTCAGGAAAAGAGAATAAACTGAATTAACTCAAAATGACTAACTATCTATTTAAATATCATTTATTGAAACTAATAAGGTCGAAATTATCGCAAATAATTAATCATTATGAATTGAATAAGAATAGTTCTGGAGAGCCATTCATAGCCAATTGATTTAGAATAAGTTATATATCTCAATAAAACAATTAAATGAGTAATTCGATTAAAAGAAATACTAATTATAAAATTAAATAAGAAACAAATCTTAATATTGGATAATTAAGCAATTGTAATCAACAATTATGCATGATTATTATATTGATATTATGAGGATGCCTTCTCTCTCTAATATAAATCAAATAATATATATATTTGTTTGATCATAATTGTAATAAAAATGACCAATTAAAAAGATCATATTATAAGATTAGAAACATAATAATACCTTGTTGTTATGACTTTCAGTTTAATAAGATAAAATTAATGATGCTTATATTATGTTTAAAATAATTTTCTTTATTTTCAAAATAACATCATTCCATAATTATTTAAAAATAATTGAATTATTAAATGTATTTTATAATAGCCTTATTTGTAATAATCTTTGCAGCTGCATTTTGGATTGTTTCAAAAAACAAATCTAGAGGTTAAACTATTAATGCTGATAATTCAGTAATATTTATTGTAGGAGATAAAAATGCAGGAAAAACTTCATTATTATATTGCGTATTCATCAGCTATATATGAATAGCTATCAAATTAAAATTCCTCAATTCAAACTACTAATTCAATTGAACCAAATTAAACAGAATTAATCAAACAAAATAATTAAAGTGTAATTGTAGTAGATGTACCAGGAAATATTTATCAAAAAGAATAGTTTTTAAATAAAATATAAGAAGCAAATAAAATAATATTAGTTAAAGACTCATCGGAAACCTCATAAATAGGAGCAACAGGAGTCATCTTATATAATATATTAATTTCTATTCCATTTTAGAAATCAAGAATCCCAATTTTGATAGTTTTGAATAAATAGGATAAAGAAAAAGCATATAAGGCTCCTGATTTCGAGATGTTTTTATCAAGGGAAATGTAAATATGCATTATGCAATTTTTAAAAGGAAATAATACTAAAAAGTTCGATAACAGATGGAAAACGGATGCATATTGATAGGGATTTCAAATGAAAGCAAAAAATTAGAATATATTGGAACTCTTTAGAAATATGATAAAATTTATTTCAGTTTATTGGTAAAAAGAGAAAAAAGGCTCATTAAATTGTAATTTTGGCTTAAGCATAAAATTATTCCAAACCTAAAATCAATCTTCACATAAATAGATCAAATGTTAAATCCTCTAATATGTTAAAATGTAATAAATCAGTTAAATACATTGTCAGAAATATACTAAGAAAATCAATTAAATACTAGAAAAATAGGTAAACGATAAATAGATACCCCATAAATAATCTAAACATTGGATAGAAGAAGAAATAATTTTGTATTTAAATCTAATTAATCTAAAACTAATTTAAGATGCAACTAAGTGGAAAATGAAAATTTTGGATTCACATCAAGATGACAACAATGGAATTTCAGATTCCTAAATTTATTTGAATAGGTTTAGAAGTGTTTCTACAATAACATCAAAATAAAATAACCATACTAATATCTTGAATGAAAATAAACATTAAAAGTGAGGCTATAAATTTAGATTCATTAAATTAATTTTTCTTTACATAGCTATAAGTAAGCAAGTAAAACAATGTCATATGATATTCAAGGAATATAAGCAATTAATAAGAAAAATATTTAAACTCAGTGATAACTTAGTAAAGAGATAATAAGAAAAATCATAATAGTGATAATTTAAAATCTATTTTGGGTTTATTTATTATTTTATGATAATAATTAAGATATCATTTGAGAATGATATTCATTTTCTGATTTTAGAATTCATAATCTGAAAACACAGCTATAATTTTTAGTGCATCGGCATTAGAATACATAGTCAAATGAATATTATTTACTCCTAATTTAATTTCTATAAAATTAAAGAATATAGAGACCTTTAGCTTTTGCGAACATTTAGATTTGTTCAGAGATTTCAGAGGGATCTTAAACACATGTGATCAAGAGATTTGAGGAGAGTGGACTAGTGTTGAATAATTGATTGTCATGATAATAGATCATATACTCGTCCTAAAAAGAAGTTGGTTAAAGTGATTAGAGAGGTTCAAAATAAATTCTTATCTAAAGTATTAGAGGATTATACACTTACTTATGAATCAAAAAATTAAATATTATTGAGATATTCTTTTGCAATAATTGCCTAATTTACTGATTAATATTTAATAAAGGCTCTGGAAAATGATTTTTCATATAAGATTTCTTCTAAATTGCCAAACTTAGAAAAGACATTATAAATCATTTTCCCAGTGATTTTAGAATCAAAGTTTAAGATTCGTAATAATCTTGATTACCTCTGTTGAAGTAATTTTTATATGTCTGAATGAAATTCTGAGATATTCAAAGGGATTGCCTATTTCCAAATCGTTAAATCATCTTCATCATCTGATTCTAACAGACGATTGATTTATTCGTTTCTAATAGGACTAGAATTAGCTCTTGGTGATTAAGTTTGACTAATATGATTAGTTAAATCAAGCTAAATATTTTCGTCAGTTCTTGAGTTTAGTATAGAATCCGAATTCTAACTATTACTACTAGCTTATGTATAATCTGTTCCTCTTGAATTATCCACTATTTCGAGATTAAGATTTTTAAGCCGAGAAAAATGAATTATCATTCTAAAAACAATAAAAAGTGATTAATTACTTTCCTCCTTAAACATTGCACCCATTCAATTACCTTCTAGCTTAAATAGCACTTTTCAGTTCATGAAATTCAACAAAGGCTTTGGTTGTTTTACCTCTTTCAAAAATAAGAATCTTATTAATATCTCCATACTCATTGAATTTTTGATGTATGAAAGAATTGTTCAAAGGAAAAGAGGAAGGCAATGAATTCAGAATTAGAAGAAGAATTTGATTAGGAGGATCTCTTGAATTATTATACATAAAAATTAATTAAATAAAATTACACGGTCATTTAAGAATAAATCAAGTAATTTTTGGGTTCAAGTAGTGGTGTTTTAATGAGACATATTTAATTTTATTAAAATATTGCTCTCAATTTTAAGGGTTTACTAATTCTATTAGAACTCCTTAATGAATTATTATATAAAATCTAAGAGCAATTTTAGAATATTTAGAAATATTCATTATAATTTATATCTGACATTTGATGAGCTTTTATTATACAGAAGAATACATTTAAATGATATATGATGATAATGCACCAATCAGTACTAAAGAAAAAACTAATACAAACAAGAATCCAATATGCAAAGTGGAAACATAAGAACAAAAAGGAAACTATTCAATACCATATAGAGTTACTTGGATTGACAATTTGCATAGAAAAATTATTGTAACTGTTCGCGTAACCTCTGATATCACTGTTAGAGAATTTTTATAAATGGTTATTGGAGAATTCAATTAAACTTTCAAGAGAGCAGAAATGGAATTATTTTTCTTTATAAACGATTTCAATATTTATGAGCTTTACGAAATGGATGAAGATGAAAGACCAGATGAAGAACTTCCGCGTACATTACAATCTAATTTTCTTAGCTTATGATGAACATTAAAAATTACGACAATTAGCGACAAAATGCTTTGCCTTGAAATAGACTTAAATAATGTTGAACTCTTTAATGGTTTCATCTTTAAGTGACCCATTATCTTGCAAATCACCAATATCACCAAGAAGTGAGGAAGAAAAAATAAATCCATAATACAACAATATATAGAATACAGAAAATATTGATGAGAAAATAGATTGTTAAGAAAAGGATCCCTTAAAAAAATCCAAAGAAACAGATCAAAAACCTTGGTGGTGTTTATGTTGTTATGAAGAATGAGATCCTACTAATGTGAGAAATTGTTTATAATACTACTTCAACGATTTTAGATAAATTTCTTTTTTGTAGAGTTGTACGTGCTATGAACGCTCTTAAATTTATTTTGTTGATCATTTAATTGGCTCAAAAGCTAATTACTTCTATTAAGAACAGTAATTTCCTTTTCGAAAATATCTTAAATAAGTAATTTTGATTCTGAATAATCACCAATTTAGGTTTCTATTAGAAATAAATAAATTATAAACTTGCTCTTTGATTTGATTTATACTATTTTTGTTTTTTCTTAATTTCACTATTGGTTTTATCATCTTATGACTACATTCTTCTTGAGTTTATTTATAAAATGCCCTAGCTTTCATCATCCATCATTTTAAATCTAAAAACATTTTTTTAAGTACTAAATATATTTTAAAGCCTTACGAATATATGCTTTTATCGTCAAAACTTGTATTCAAAGTTCCAAGTTTGGCATGTTTCATCCTTTCTTTTCTTTGAATTTAAAAGTTCATGCTATAGGCATCTTTTGTTGAAAATCCAAATTTTGGGTTATCTTTTGATATTTTTGATTTTTATAATCTTTATTTGATTCTCTCTTATGCTTCTTGAGATAAAAATCCATGTGTGATCATTTATGAAGCGCTTTCATCTTTTGATTTAAAGATATTATTCAGTTTTTTATAATTCTCAAGTTCTAATTGAAGGTATTTGACTACTTCATTAGTTTTAATCAATTCAGATTTATAATTATCCAAAATAAATTCCTTTTTTTAAATCTATTCAAGCATTTATTAATTATCCAATTTTGTTTTTTCTATTGTAGCCTTCTCTTCCAAATATTTAATTTTTTCTTATTAGATTTTCTATTCATCTAAGGTGTGTTGATTTTATAAGTTTTATAATTCCAATTGAAACTATTCTCTTTAACTTTGATTGATTTATAATAATCTAGATTGTTCTTATTCAGCTATCAATTTATTTTCTTGTATTTTATTTTCAATATCCTTAAGAGCTTAATCCTTTTTATTTAGAATATCTTCATATTTCTAATGAATATTCTCTTAATTTATTTCAAAAAGATTAATGGTTTCTTCTAATTCCTTAATTTTCTCATTGTTTTAATCAATTATTTCTTTCAATTTTTTAATTGTTAAGTTCTTTGAATCCAATTCTTCATTATGTAATAAATTCATTTCATTTTCAAATTATTTTAATTGGGAATCAAAATTAATTTTCTATGATTTTAATTAATTTTATAGATCCTGAATGTCTTGATTTTTTTATTCTAACTTCAAATCACACATTGATTAGGTGCTCTAAATTTTATTTTATAATTATGAGACAAGTAATTCTAACTTAAAATTAAAATAGTCACTATCACTTAATTCGCTCTCATATTAAGTTTCAGCATGATTAAATTAATATTACTAGACAAATTATTATCTAGTTTTTCGAATAGATGAGATCCTACCTCTTGAAGATGGAGTTTGATTAGAAATTTATTCTTCAGTTTGTGTAGCAACTTAAACAAATTTCAAATTTTATTCAGCACGTTAAGATAATGTGGCTGATGAAAAATGCTCATATTATATTTCTTGAATTGAACCCAACTTTTTTATTTAAATAGTTTAATTGAGTTCTTCAGGATTTGAATTTCTTTATAAACTGAATTAATCATTTGAGGTTCTCGTATTTTTTTCTAAATTTATCATTTGGTCCTATCTTTATTCAAATTAGTTATTATTTTCGAGCTTTTAAGAATCAGACATTTTCGAATTATCTTTAGATGACTTTTTAACAGCAATTGCAGCTTTTTACCAAAGCTAATGTGATTAAGGTCTTGATTCTAAAACTGGAGTTTGAGATTTAGATTATTGTTTTTATGGAGAATGCGAATAAATTTAGGTACCTGTCACACTCTTTTTCTTTGGATTTGTAGATTACTTGAGAGCACTTATTGCAGATCTAGTAGGTAAAAATTGAAATATACTTTTATTGATTTATTTCATTTTAGGCTTAAATGCCTAATTCTTCTTGAATTATCAATTTTTCTTCAAGAATTGAAATCACACTTTTTAAATCTTTATTTTGAAGTTCTAATTTATACTTTTGATCAATCAGTACTTCTTATTGTAGTAGCCATAACTTTTGTTTATCCATCT